CAACAGAGACTGTAAGTGAAGGGAAGGAAAAAGATATTCCATTCAAATGGAAATGGAAAAAAAAAGCAGGGGTAGCAATACACATATCAGACAAAATAGACTTTATTTATTTATTTATTTATTTATTTTACATCTTTATTGGAGTATAATTGCTTTACACTGGTGTGTTAGTTTCTGCTTTATAACAAAGTGTATCAGCTATACATGTACACGTATCCTCATATCTCTTCCCTCTTTTGCCTCCCTCCCTCCCACCCTCCCTATCCACACGGGGAGGGGGAAGGGTAATCTGGGACAAAGTGAGAGTGGCAGGTACATATATACCCTGCCAAATGTAAAACAAAATAGACTTTAAAACAAAGATTATAACAAGAGATAAGGAAGGACGTTACATAATGATAAAGAGGTCAATCCAAGAGGAGGATGTAATGTTTAAACATATATACATCTAACATAGGAGCATCTAAATATGTAAAGCAAATATTAACAGACATAAAGAGATAAATTGACAATAATACAATAATAGTAGGAAACTTTAACACCCTACATACATCAATGGACAGAACATCTAGACCAAAAATCAATAAGGGAACAGTGGCCTTAAATAACTCATTAGACCAGATGGACTTAATAGATACCTATGGAACATTCTATCCCAAAACTGCAGAATATGCATTCTTTCCAAGTGCACAGGAAACATTCTCCAGGACAGATCACATGCTAGGCCACAAAGCAAGTCTCAGCAAATTTAAGAGGATAGAAATTATATCAAGCATCTTTTCTGACCATAATGGTATAAAACTAGAAATCAATTCCAGGAAGAAAACGGGAAAAAGCACAAACACGTGGAGACTAAACAACATGCTACTAAAAAAACCAATGGGTCAGTAAGGAAATCAAAAAATAGCTTGAGATGAATGAAAATAGAAATACAACTTGCCAAAATTTATGGGTCATAGCAAAAGCAGATCTAAGAGTGAAGTATATAGGAATACAGGCCTATTTCAAGAAAAAAGAAAAATCTCAAATTAACAACCTAAGTTTACACCTAAAGGAATTAGAAAAAGAAGAATAAACAAAGCCCAAAGTTAGTAGAAGGAAAGAAATAACAACAATCAGAGTAGAAATAAATGAAATAGAGACCAAAACAAAACAAAACAAAAACAGTAGAAAAGATCAGTGAAACTAAGAACTGTTCTTTTCAAAAGATAAACAAAATTAATAAACCCTTAGACTCAATCAAGAAAAAAAGACCCAAATCAATAAAATTAGAAGTAAAAGAGAAGTTACAGCCAATATCACAGATATACAAAGAATCATAAGAGAATACTACAGAGAATTATAAGCCAAAGTGGACAACCCAGAAGAAATGTATAAATTCCTAGAAACATAAAATCTTCCAAGACTGAATTAGGAAGAAAAAGAAAATCTGAACAGACTGATCACTAGTAATGCAATTGAGTCAGTAATTTAAAAATAAAAAACAAAAACTCCCAACAAACAAAAGTCCAGGATCAGACAGCTTCACAGGTGAATTCTACTGAACATTTAAAGAAGAGTTAATACCTGTCCTTCTCAAATTATTCCAAAAAATTGAAGAGGAGGAAACACTACAAATTCATTCTGAGTGCAGCATTACTCTGATACCAAAACCTGACAAAGACACTGCAAAAAAAGAGAAGATTACAGGTCAGTATTCCTGATGAACATAGATGCAAAAACCCTCAACAAAATATTAGCAAACTGAATTCATCAGTACATTAAAAGGATCATACATGATGATCAAGTGGAGTTTATTCCAGGGATGTGAGGATGGTTCAATATGCACAAACCAATCAACATGATATACCAAATTAACAAAATGAAGGCTAAAAATCACATGATGATATGCAGAAAAAGCATTTGACAAAATCTCTCAACAAAATGGGTGGGGAGGGAACATACCTCAACATAATAAAGGCCATTTACGACAAACCCACAGCTAACGTCATACTCAGTGCCGAAAAGCTGAAAGCTTTTCCTCTAAGATCAGGAACGAGACAAGGACGCCCATCTCACCACTTTTATTCAACATGGTATTGGAAGCCCTAGCCACAATACCGGATAAGAAAAAGAAATAAAAGGCATCCAAATTGGAAGGGAAGAAGTAAAACTGTCACTATTTGAAGGTGAAATGATTCTACATATATAATACTCTAAAGACTCCACCAAAAAACCATTAGAACTAATACATGAATTCAATAAAGTTGCAGGATACAACATTAATATACAGAATCTGTTGCATTTCTATGCACTAATAATGAACCATCAGAAAGAGAAAACAATTTACAGTTGTATCAAAAAAATCTAATACCTAGGAATAAATTGAACCAAGGAGGTGAAAGACCTGTACTCTGTAAACTAGAAAACGTTACTGAAAGAAATAATGCACAAATAAATGGGAATATATTTCATTCTCATGAATTGGAAGAATTAATATTGTTAAAATGTCCATTCTACCCAAAGCAATCTACAGATTCAATGCAATCCCTATCAGAATACCCGTGGCATTTTCACTGAACTAGAAAAAATAATACTAAAGTTTGTATGGACCTACAAAAGACCCCAAATTGCCAGAGCAATCTTGAGAAAAACAACAAAGCTGTGTCATCCTCCCTGGCTTCAAACTCTACTACTATAATAATCAAAACAGTACGGCATTGGCACAAAAACAGACACACAGATCAGTGGGACAGAATAGAGAACCCAGAAATAAACCCGTATACATATGGTCAATTAATCTATGACAGAGGAGGCAAGAATATACAACAGAGAAAGACAGTGATGTTGGGAAAACTGGACAGCTACATGTGAAAGGATGAAACCAGGCCATTTTCTCATGCCTTATACAAAAATAAATTCAAAATTGATTAAAACTTAAAGACCTGAAACCATGAAACTTCTATAAAAAAACATAGGCAGTATGCTCTTTGACATTGGTCTTAGCAATATTTTCTTGGATCTATCCCCTGAGACAAGGGAAACAAAAGCAAAAATAAACAAATGGAACCATATCAAACTAAAAGCTTTGGCACAGGAAGGGAAACCATTAACAAAATGAAATGGCATTCTACTGAATGGGAGAATATAGTTGCAAGTGGTATGACCAGTAAAAGGATAATACCAAAATACATAACGAACTCATACAACTCAGTCTCAGAAAACAACAATCTAATTTAAAAATGGGCAGAGGACCTGAACAGACATTTTTTCAGAGAAGACCTACAGATACCAACAGGTACATGAAAAGATACTCAACATTACTAATGAAAAGGGAAATGCAGATCAAAACCATAATCAGGGATCAACTCACATCTGTCAGAATGGCTATCATCAAAAAACTAGAAATAACAAGTTGTGGTGCGGATGTGGAGAAAAGGGAACCCTGTGCACTGTTGGTAAATATAAATTGGCACAGCTGCTATGGAAAACAATATGGAGTTTCCTCAAAGAATTAAAAATGGAACCTACACAATTGCACTCCTGGATATTTATACAAAGAAAATGAAAACACTAATTCAAAAAGATACATATACCCCAATGTTATTGTAGTATTATTTTAAATAGCCAAGACATGGAAGCAACCCAAGTATCCATCAACAAATGAGTAGATAAAGATGTGGTGTATATATATACAATAGAATATTACTCAGCCATAAAAAAAAAAGAATGAAATCTTGCCATTTGTGACAACGTGGTGGACCTGGAGTGTATTATGCTAAGTGAAATAAGTCATACCGAAAAAGACAAATACTATGTGTTTTCATGTATGTGTGGAATCTAAAAAACAAAACAAATGAATACATAAAACAGAAACAAAATCATAGACACAGAGAACAAACTAGTTGTTGCCAGAAGGGAGGTGGATGGGATGGGAGAAATAGGTAAAGGGGACTAAGAGGTACAAACTACCAGTATAAAATAAAGAAGTCATAAGAATGTAATGTACAGCACAGGGAATATAGTTAATATTATAATAACTTTGTATGGTATATAATCTGTAAAAATATTGAATCACTATGTTGTACACCTATAAATAATATGATATCGTAAGTCAACTATACCTCAATTTAAAAAAAGATATTTCGAGAGACCACTTATGTTATTATAATTTTTATTATTAGTTATTGTTGTTAATATTTTTACCTAACTTATAAGTTAAACTTTATCACAGGTATGTATATACAGAAAAAAAACCAGTACATAAATGGTTTGGTACTATCCATGGTTTCAGGCATCCACTGGGGTTCTTAGAACCGTACTAACACATGGGAGTACCGTGCTAACACGGAATTATGTAATCATATGAATTCTGGTTGTAATATTTTTTAAAACATATCTGAAATTATTTTTCCCTAAGAATCACACTTTACAGAACACAAGAGATGAGAGCATATTTGGAGAACTAATATTTGGAGAACTAATAACCATTCCATATCAAGTGGCAGTGTGTCCGAGTGCCTCCTGTGGGTTTCCCATGGTGCTGATATAGAGGGAGGATAGAGCCATAGGGCAAGTCCTTGCTTCTCTGGCCTTCACATGTCTTTAATCTCCTTGGGGAGGCAGTGCTTACACACAAAGAGCCATAAAGAGCAACGACTGCAGAATTCCCAAAGTGTGAAGTTCTCAGGAACTGGAGCACTGTGAAGGCTTCATGGAGAGATGGTTCCAAAGCTGGTCCTGAAAGGAAGGATTTTGTAGGGAAGTCATGCTAGGCAGGAATGACCTCATAACTCCAGCTCTATCAATGCTGAGGTTCTTTTAGGGACTAGCTGCAAGGATTAGAGTGACTTCCAATTACAAGCTACCATTTCCAAGGCTTTGCTTACCATCCAACGACAGCTTTTCAGAGTTCAAGGAAAGTAACTACTTAGGTTCTAATCCTTGGATATATGGGCTGGTTGGGTCAGGCTGCAGTGGGAAAGGCACAGGTTCTGACAGAATGTCACTCTGACCCTCAGGGCTGGCTGCAGTGGACCACATCAACGCTGTTATTCGGGAAGGTGACCCTGAATACACACTGCTTGCACTGCAGAAACCAGAGGCCCAGCTGCCCACTGTTTATCCCTTTGCTGGTGCAATGTATCAGAATGAACTTTTCAACCTCCAGAAACAGAGCGCTATGGTAAGTCAGAGGAGACTCCAGGTACGGAGAGGTTAATTCTGAGTCCTAGCAATGAGGAGTGCTGTTGAGGAAAGGTGAGTGGGAGTGTAGTGTGTTTAATTTGTACCAATCCCTGGTCTCATTGGCCTCCCTGTACCAATTCCACGGCCACCTTCCTCTTTAACTCCTGCTTTTCATCTCCTTAAAGAATCTGAGAGCATAGGTGGGAAATGCAGGCAGGGCTCTACGCAAATACACCTTGAAAACTAGTTGTTCTCATTCTCTGTGTGATTTTTGAAGAACTTGGGATGAGTTAATAACTACATTGAAATATTTTTAAATATCTAATGTCTTCTGATATAGAAAAATAAGCTCTGAATCTGCATTTCTAGAAATCTGCAACCAGGAACATTAGCACCATGGCTTTGATTTTTGTCTTGGTGTGGTCCTTGCAATGCTAATAGTATTAAGCAGTAATAATCATATACGGTCCCAGTAAATAAGAGCATATGCACTAGTACAGGATTAAGCCAAACAGTGCAACAGAATGAACAGTACTAGAAGCAGCACCAAGAATTTCAATTATGAAAGAGCTAATATTTCAAAGACATGGGGAAAATAATGAAATCCTTAGAAGTATTTAACCATGTGGGAAAGAAAACATTACCTCACTACACATAACAGAATAAATTGCCGGTATGAAAGGTTAAGTGTAAAAAATAATTAAACTTCTAAGGAAACATGGAAGGACAATGAATCTGAAAAGCAAAAACAGTACTGCTCCACCAAAAAAAAACAAAAGAGGAGGAGGCCAAAAGCATAAACAGGCAATTCACAGGTATACCAGGATGTTTCACAGTATTATCTATAGTACTGAGAAGATACTACAGATATCTTCTATATCTATATAGAAGATAAACCACGTTTAACTAATAACAGATTGCACACCCTACTGTTAAGTGGAAAAAATGAAATTGAAATATATAGCATTATCTTGTTTTTTATGATAAGAAAAGAAAAATAATTAAAAAGTGAAAATCTCTATAAATGTTTGCATGAATTAAAAATTAATAAAAGTAGGGGCTTCCTTGGTGGCTTAGTGGTTAAGAATCCGCCTGCCAGTGCAGGAGACACGGGTTCAATCCCTGGTCCAGGAAGATCCCACATGCCGCGGAGCAGCTAAGCCCGTGTGCCACAGCTACTGAGCCTGCACTCTAGAGCTCATAAGCCACAACTACTGAGCCCACATGCCTCAACTACTGAAGCCCATGTGCTCTAGGACGCACGTGCCACAACTACTGAGCTCACATGCTGCAACTACTGAAGCCTGTGCGCCTAGAGCCCATGATCCACAATAAGAGAAGCCACCGCAATGAGAAGCCCGCACACTGAAACAAAGAGTAACCCCCGCTCACCGCAACTAGAGAAAGCCCACGCGCAGCAACGAAGACCCAGTGCAGCCAAAAAAATTAAAATTAAAAAAACAAAAAATAAGTGGCATTCTTTATTTAAAAAAATTAATGAAGTGTATGTCACTAAAGGGCTTGGGTAGTAAGGTTTGTTTTCTTATCCTTGCTTAGTAAGACATGATTCTATAAATAGAAAGATACTAGAGTTGACCCTTAAACGGGTAGGAACTGCACATACCACTTATATGTGGATCTTTTTCAATAGTAAGTACTATATTACCAAATGATACGCAGTTGGTTGAATCCAGGGATGCAGTACCTCAGATACAGAGGGACAGGTATATGGAGGATTAATTATACGCAGATTTTGAACTGCGTGGAGGTTCAGCGCTCCGAACCCCGGTGTTGCTCAGCGGTCAACTGTATTTTGTAATAAAAGAAAAATAAGTTATTTCCTTAAGCTGCACGTAGGTTCTCTTGATATTATTGTCCCTGTTTCTCTAGCTTTGAAGCCCAAGGCTACTTACACTCTAGCACATTCATCCCGTTTTTCTTTATTTGTCCTTATCTTTTTGGCTGTGTACCACTTTAGATAGTTGTGGTGAATCTCAAATGATTCCATTCTGCTCTTTACCTGTAATTTGATACCTTCCTTATATGTTAAAGTCATAGTTAATGTAAGGTATTTGGATAAAATTTACATGTTCCCTATAAAAACCCTTCTTCCCATTTGCTTTGGAACGTAAAATTATGCTTTGTTAGTCTAAAATCAATTTGCTGAGAGATTTCTGTGGAGAATCAGCTATAATGCATTTTAGTATAAACATTATATTATATATATGAAATATATAATATTCTAAATTTAAAGATAGATATCAGGGTTTTTAAAAATCTGTTTTCATGCTCCCTCTGTGTTCCTTCAGTATGATGGAAGAAATAACCCTTTTGAAGTTGGGCCAAGTCAGTATAAAATGGTTAAAAGGAAGACAACATTGAAGGGGGAAAGTGTTCTGTAATCTGAGATGTACTTTTTAAGTAAGCCCAATCCTTACTTGCTTTTCACTAAGATTTACCTCACATGTCTTCAAATATCTAGACCTTAGGGTATGTTTAAAAATTTCTACCCATTTATAAAAACGTGACTTAGACTAACTTTTTTTGGAATTAGAATCAATATTCTTGGCTTAAAGACTGATTTACTTCTCCGGGGTTATCACCTTTAGGTGAAATTCTCCCCTTTTCCTTACCCTTAGTTCAAACTGAAAATCATTAGCTATACTAATACCTTAACCTTGCACTTGCAGACAGTAACAACGTTATCTAATCTGTGGCTTCATTATTTGGTAAGATTGAGCCTGTTAGCAGCCGATATAATAGCTGCGAGTAGGAATCAGCTATGGCAATGCAGATGTTTGTGGAATCATAACTGAGGACTGTAATTAACTCAGTGCCCAAAATGATCATCTCAGGAAAACCCAGAAGCCATTGACGTGTTCTTTAAAGCCAATGAAAGATAGGTGGCCAGGGAGCCCTGTTGGTCCTGGGTTCTCACAATCTTTGACTTTTCTTTATTCTTTGAAAAGTGTAACAGATTGTTACGCTTTTCAAAGAATAAAGAAGTGTACATTCTGAACCCCCATCACATACACGGGCTGTGTAGATTTGGGGATCTTATACTGCCATATGTTTTCCAACAGAACTACTTGGCCCATGAGGAGCTCTTGATTGCAGTGGAAATGCTATCTGCTGTAGCTTTACTAAACCAGGCCTTGGAGAGCAACGATCTTGTGTCTGTGCAGAATCAACTCAGAAGCCCAACAATGGGCTTCAACAATCTGGACGAGACATACGTGGAACGGTAAGGGAACATTTTCCAAAACTCCTTTCAGTGCAGAAATATGTGTTTGGTAGATTTGTTCTACCAATTTGAAGGATTTGTTCCTTCCTGAAACAATCCATATACCCATGCTTATTTTCTTGAAAGCCAGTCTACTTTGTTCTGAGAGTCCTAATGTTCAAATCCTACTTCACAGTATTCCTTTTAGAGGAACAAAAAGTCTAAGGAGGATCCTATGGCAGTTACTGACTGTCTTTGACATTAGCAAAAATTATTTCATAGGCAAAAAATACATGTTGAAAGCATACCTTCCCTTGGGCTTCTTTTGGAAACGACAGAATGTAGAAGAGTTGGAAACAACTTTAATAATCATCCAGTCCAATTTTCTTGTTTTACTGGTGAGGAAACTGGATCTGGATTTGTGGACCCAAAGTAGGGCAGTTGGGCCCCAATCCCCATTCTTTTTTTTTTAACATCTTTACTGGAGTATAATTGCTTTACAATATTGTGTTATTTTCTGCTGTATAACAAAGTGAATCAGCTATATGTATACATATATCCCCATATCCCCTGCCTCTTGTGTCTCCCTCCCACCCTCCGCATCCCACCCCTCTAGGTGGTCACGAAGCAGCGAGCTGATCTCCCTGTGCTATGCACCTGCTTCCCACTAGCTATCTGTTTTACGTTTGGCAGTGTATATATGTCCATGCCACTCTCTCACTTCGTCCCAGTTTACCCTCCCCCCTGCCCATGTCCTCAAGTCCATTCTCTACATTCTTTTGACGATTAAACCAAAGGAATCCTGAGACCACAGTGGATCACGGCAGTGGGTAACAATCTCAACTTAGTGTCTTTTATTTCATGTTCCTGAGATAAACTACTAGATAGTATTGTTGATAGAATTATAAAACACTATAGCAGATCTAGAGAGAAAATTAAGGGGCGGGAAGGAGGAGCCCATTAGAGATTAAGACAAAAGCCCAAGTTAAAATGAATGAATTTCCATCTTGGATTCTTGTGACCACCAGGGGGAGATGTCTGCATAGATCTTGACAAAAGCACTGTTGTCAAGATACTGGTTCTGGAACTGCTGAAATAGGTAATTCTCTTGGGTCACGTACGGTTGTACAGGAAAAATTAAAATTAGACTTTTTTTTAAATGGTGTTTGACCACTTGTCTGTGTAGAGAATGGCCCCAAAGTAGAACAGTGGCTTTTCCTTGTTTTTAGTCATCTTGGAAAAACTGATGCTCTTACGCTACTTAAATTTGACCGCCTGTTCCTATAACTCCTCAGAGTTTATTTCCAAGGTAATTTATTTCTACCTCCACTGTTTATATTAATGGCACCATCCTCTCCTCCAAGCTTAGAAACTCGAGTTAACTTGAGTTTTCCTCTGACCCTCTGTGAGGCACCCTTGTGCTGTGAATAGTCTGCTCACTTTTCTCCCCAACAGCAGCCAATATGTGTGCACAATACCTCTGCATAATGTTTCCCTTTCCCAGCAACCATCTCATTTAGACATTTTACCTTTGCTTTTGTAATAACCTCCAAATTGGTCTTACCCTGTCTTTTCTCTTCTCATTCATTCTTATGTAACTAGGCTTTGCTGCTCTCTCAGTGCTAGAGACGGCAGAGTTGGTCACTCCCTTATGAAGCCTAATAGTCTAATGAGGCTTGTTGATAAAATAATTATCAAGGCACATATGGAGCATCCCTGGCCACTTCCCTCTAAATAACAGTACCCCCCTCCCTCCAAATCACCCATTTTGATTATCAAAAATCCTCTCTTCCCCCCATCCCAATTTACAAATAACCCATTAAGGAAATAGTCCCAAACCCCATTTGAGAACCAGTTTTATTCCTGTGATTTTCAGCTGGGGCCACAGACACAGCTTCAGAGTGCAAGTATTCTGTGTGAAACACTTTAAAAATTTGTGTTTGTTTAAATAATCTTTTAAAAATTTTATTTAAGTACTTTCTGGGTCACCTGGGTGACCCAATACCGACATGAGATTCCAGGGCCCCCTTTGGTTCTTGTATTGAACATTCCAATGGCCCCAAGTGATTTTTCACAGCCTCAACATTTCAATTTCCATGTCAGCTTTTAACCCAGTTCTTGGAAGCCCAAGTTGGCAGGTGTTCAGGTTTAAGGAACACTGGGCCTCTCCCTTATGGTTGTACAACTTCTTTATAGTACACGGGTGCTGGGCAGGGCTACCTGGATGAATTCTTACTAAGTCTCTACCAGTTTACCATGGCTTCTGCCCTTGGGGCTGTGTTTTCCCAGAAAGGTTGTTTTGTCCAGTTCTCACAAGAGTGACATAGGGTTGGCATTGGTTCTAGGCATGCCCTGTTCGCAAATTAATTGTTCTAAAATGTAGCTCTGTTTATAATGCTCCTCTATTTGATTGTTGTCGCTTCTTATCTGAATTAACCCTCAACGTGGTGTTCTGCCCTTTGCTCCAGCTACACCCCTCCTTGTATTTTACACTTCAGCCAAGATGGATCTGAACACTCTGTTCATTCTGGCTTATCTGCTCCTATGCATGCTTCTCTCACCACCAGGAACGCGGTGCCTATCACCCATCTCCGCCTGGCACAGTACTGGAGCTTCCAAGCCCTTCCTGCCATAGAGGGTGCTTCCGTGAACTATTTGCATGTTTCTCCCACCCCAGCTAATGTCATCTTTTCTGAGAACCAGCATGATGTGGTTAAAGGAACATAACCTTGGAGCCCAAAATATCTAAGTTTGACTCTTCCTAGCCGGGCCCCTTTCTGTTCATCTGTAAAGCACAAAAACAAACACACACAACAAAAACACCTACTCTGCATCTGCCTATGGAACTATGTTGTGTTATTCATAAAATTTTTCCCTTTGGCTAGTATTTGTTCATTTCTGAAGAAATGATGGGTGATTGTGGGTTTTGTTTTTTTTTTCTGTGTTCATCCTTAAGCTTTTTCATTTTATTCCCATTGGGTCATCATTAAATGTCAGACGTGAAATGCCTGTAAGGATTTTGCACTTTCTTATCGAATGGTCCCCATCTATAAGGGATGCTAACGAGTGCAAGTTGCCATTTATCCATATTGTCATTGTGGTCAGTATTATTTAGTATATATTGCTACTAGTAAGTATAGAAGAGTATTTTCTTAGGTTTATAACTCTTGATAAAATGAAAATCTCACACAGGACACTGAAACAATTTCAAGCCTGTGTTTGGTGATGCCTTGTTCAGGCACAGAGAATGAATCGTCTCCCCCACTTCCCATTCTGAATGATGTTTTTCTCTCCCAAGCTACACTCAGTAGAAGACACCTCAGTGTCATCTTGAAGCAGGCATAACTTTGAGAAAATCCGTCGCAATGAGAAAACAATTATAGACGCAATGTGATCTTACTTCTTGGAACCTCTACTGTTAGCAAATCCGTAGGTTCTATTCAGAAGTCATACTGCAGAGTGAATCAATATGTACATAGAGGATTGCTCTTTATTTCCCTGGTGTAAAGATGCACAAGCAAATTAAACTATTGAGTTTCTATACTTCAGGCTGGAATAGCTCACTCATGTTAGCTTATGGTTGTAACATTGGTTCTGTAGTGGGTTTTTTTGTTTTGTTTTGTTTTGTTTTTAATTTATTTTATTTTTGGCTGCGTTGGGTCTTCGTTGCTGCATGCGGGCTTTCTCTAGTTGCGGCGAGAGGGAGCTCCTCTTCGTTGCGGTACGCAGGCTTCTCATTGCGGTGGCTTCTCTTGTTGTGGAGCACAGGCTCTAGGCACACGAGCTTCAGTAGTTGTGGCACGCGGGCTCAGTAGTTGTGGCTCACAGGCTCTAGAGCGCAGGCTCAGTAGTTGTGGCGCACGGGCTTAGTTGCTCTGTGGCATGAGGGATCTTCCCGGACCAGGGCTCGAACCCGCGTCCCCTGCACTGGAAGGCGAATTCTTAACCACTGTGCCACCAGGGAAGTCCGGTTCTATAGTTTTTAAATGGGGAAATTGATGATTGAAAAATGAAAGTTTCTTAGTAATATGTCAAGGTGGATCATCTTTTTTTCCTAAAATTTCTCAAGACAGGAAAAATAATCAGAGTGTTGGCCAAACTATTTTCCAGAGGGCTGCAGAGTGAGGAGGGTCAGGGATCAGAATGAGGGGAGAGAATGTAATGGCGGTGAGTGGACCCAGGAGAGAGGTGGTGAGGGGCTGCTGAAGCCTGAGGAACGGGCAGGTGAAGAGGAAACTAGGATGTTCTGGGTCAACTGAGGCACCACCTCTTCAAGAAAACAGGCAGTGAAGATGTGTGTTATTCAGCAAGGTTTCTGGAACAGCATTTGCTTTTTATTTGATTTGTCACTGGAAGTATTAGGCCACAAGGTAACCCAGCTGTGTTAGGGTTACAGTTAAAAAAAAAAAAAAAAAAGGCCTCTCAAGGCTTGGATTTGGGGAATGAACGAGAAAAAAAAAAAGGGACCTTTGATGGAAAGATTAGGAACCGTGGTAATTCCGAATTTTATCCCATAATACTCATCTGGAGACTAAGCAGAACTAAGACATACAAAGGGAAGGAAAAATAGTTACTAAAAAAAGCAAGTAATTTCACAGAGTTAAGAACTTTGAGGTTTTTTTGCTTGAGTTAAGTGCAAGATTGGAATTTGAGGAACTTGCATTAAAAAGCATTGTTACCTCAAAGTATTTTTAAGGGAAAAAAAAACACCCTTAGTCTAAGTGAGCTTGGTGTATGTTGACAAAGCTGCAGAAGACAATTTTACTTGCCTTTATCCTGTTGGTCTAACCTCATAACATCACATTGAGCCACATGTGTCAAACTTAAGATGCATGTCCAATTTAAGATGCATAACATGAACAAAGAATGAACGTCTCTGATTAGTATCATGCTTGTTTTCTCTTCTACAGTTACGCAAATGCACTACTCTCCATTAAACTGGAGGCCTTATCCCAAGGGCAAGATAGCTTAAGCTGGAATGAAATTCAGAATTGTATTGATATGGTTAATATTGAAATTCAAGAAGAAAATGACCGTAAGTATGGAACAGTATCCTTCTCTAGTTATAGTGGGAGAATAAGGTAGCTGGACAAAACGGTCCTCTACATCAGGGCTGCCCTAGAGCCCTATGAGAACACTCTCCCCTAACAAGTCTGTATGTATTTATATGTAAATGTTATTTTTGTACTACTGTCCCAACATATTATAAACATTACAAAGCAAACATAAGCCATAAAAGGATAGAATAAAAGTACATAAATACAAGTCCTAATATCATTCTATTTATTGGTACTTGAAAGATGACTGCTGTAAATAACTCAGCTTTTTAAGCAAGCACTCAACTTTATTTTGACCTTTCATGTACGTGGACGTTTTTCTGAAATATGACACATGTCCCTGCCCTAAGAAGAAATTGCAACACAGTCTGACTGTTGTTTTATGATCTCAAATCATGGTGATTTGCTGTGTTTCTAGAACTTAGGAGCACTGAGCATGAAAGTGGACAGTCCAAGAAGATGTGCGCTGAGACACGCTTTCGTGAATGTCAGCTTGCTTCCCTGTCCTGCCTCTTACTTATAAAAACAGAGTGACGAATGGGGAGCTCTGTAACTTAGGCAATGAGTATAATTGCTGCTTTGTGACCACACGAGTTTCTGCTGCCTCTCTGCGTTTTCTTTCAGTGAGGCATTTGGGGATCCCTGCCTCAGATGGCTGACACATCACACACTTGGCTCTTTTCTGGCATGTTGGCTTGGGAGCTGGTAGTTCTTGGCAGATGCTAGTTACGAGGGAAGCACTAATGTAAGCAGATGTTCAGCATCATCAGTGGGGGGCGGCGTAGGGGACGAGCCTGGTGTGTGTGTCCGCTTACAAAGCTCAGGTCCCCAGCTTCCTGCCATCCTGCCTCCTCCTTGATCCTCCCCAGCTCCACACTCTCAGACTCCAGCGATGGTTTGGGTGCTTTGGCTGATGCCACTCAAGGGCTGGCAAAACACAAAATCATGTTCCATCTTTGTTTTCTAACTTTTCCCTTATTCTTTGGGACAACATGCACAATCCAGGTTTGCTTTGGTGACTTATGGATGTCCTGCTTATGCAGGTGAAGGTGCGTTAATTCTCAGTACTGAACAAGTGTAGTTTTACTCTCATTCTTGACATTGACAAAGGGGTACGAGGAAGGACCTGCCATTTTTTGTCCCAGATTATCAGATAGAGCCTTTGCTTTTACCAGGAAAAGAAAAACAGTATCATGTGTATAACTTTGAAAGAAAGTGGTCTTTTGTAGGTGGATGTTTTTAAGCGAAAGTCTCTTTGGATTTGTATGACATTTACCTAGGTAACCGTACTAAGTTGTTCTCCATGGGACATTTCACACGGCCATTACCACATTGCTTTCAACCGTCTCGGCGTGAAGCATATATGCCATAACCAGAATAGTAATTTTAGAGGCTAATATTTCCTTTCTAGAATTTGGGGGACTTAATAGAAAAGATTTAACTTCTCTCTGTTTTGGTTTGTTGTTTTGTCAAAACGGGGTATTTTTGTTGAAAGTTCTTGAATTATTGAGCTTGATATCATCTGTTTAGGTAATTGCTTTAACAGCTAAATTAAAATAAATATACCGTTGCGAGTAGGCCCCAATTGCACAATATAGAAATTAAATCATCTGAAAGAGCTGAGAACTTTTCATGGACATCTTGAAAGTGCGTTACTCTCCCCATCCCACCCCTGCCACACGCTCCAGAATCCAATCCTATGTCTGAATTGTGGTGTGGATGAGGTGTGTAGCTAATGGGAAATGATAAACGTGGAAGGTGAATTGAATGGAGAAGCTGCTAAATGCATTTCCTGAGATTTGGATGCTCTGCTGATTTCTTAATGGAAAGTTTACTTTTCCCAGTCGAGCCTTAGAGGAGTATTATTTTAACCAGGTAACTTAGACAAGGAAGTTTTCTTCCTGTGAAGTTTTGCTTTTTAAATTTGGTAGGTACCATTCTTTGTGAGTTACCTCATCTGCTGTCTCAAATGCAACACCTCTAAGGGGATGCCCGCTCTCTCCTTGGACTAGAATGTTATCGTATCACATGGTGATTTAAATCAGTGGGCCACGAACTGAGGCTCAGCAATCTGTGCTCAAATGGGATTTTCTCTTTATTTTTAAACAGAGGAAGTGATGCAGATGGACCCAGGGGACTTATGGGAAGGTTTTTCAGCTCCTATGAAGTCATTTACTGTGACATCAGCAGCTTGTGTTCTTAGAAACACACCCAAAACTTAAGCAGGTGATTTCAATCAAGTCAGCCGACATGCACTCATTCCCAGGTGACCAGCTGCTAGGAACACACGTTCTCTTTCTTAGATGTAGTTCTGTAAAGATCATTTTTGGATGGGATGTTTAAAAGTATTTAGACCAGTTAACCCAAGGAGGTCAACTGACATAAGGGGTCAACTGTCACTTCCAGAGAATGATATAAGTATGCCATGTTCTCCAGTGTATAAATATTACGGGGTGAAATGATAATACCTTGTATGTGGGTAGTACTTAGACTTTCTCAAGTTCTTCCAATGTTTTGAGATAACCTAACTTGCATGTTAGAGAAGTATTTTAGCTGCTTCTTCCACCATATTGGAGTATTATAGTCTGAAATAATTTCTAGACATTTTAGATTGTCCCTTTTCTCCTACAGGTTTTTTCATTCTTAGCAATGGTCTTTATGGGGTCATTCATTCAGGAGATACTTAGCTAAATATTTTACTTTAATTTGAATGTCAAAATGAAGATACCTCTTAAAAATTAGAAGTATGTATTCTGTTTCATAGCATATCACATTTGTAGAGTGGCTTCTGATTGTTTTTGAAGAAAAATAACTGACAAAATGAGAGAATGTTTGGCTTTAAGTATGTTTATTTTCTAAGCTTACTTCTCATTAATGTTTAGTTTCTTTATTAATTCTTGTCCATGAGCACTCACTTGGGAAGCGGAAGCCCCCTGTTAGTATGTGAATGTGTGTGTGTATGTGTACACATGTGTACCTATATCCATGAATAATGCACCCATACATACATACACTATAGTATTTTATGACTGGATGATAGTTTATTTTTAAGAATAAGGTAGTATTGAGAAGTGACCTCCAAATAGATCCCTTGTACTAGACTTTCAAAAACTTTTCCAACTGCATGGCTTGGCTTCTGTGCTTTTCATTCCTGGACCTTACAGTCTATGTCCTAAGATCCTGTATGTAGTAGAGATAGTAGAAGGTTAAACTGGTGGATATGCTTATTCATCCTTTGGTACATCCATGAATTAGGGTTCCAGATGTAATTTTAGCAGCCCGCATTAGAGAATTTGTGACATTAATTATCCACACTTGAACCTTAAAAACGTCCCCAAACATGCATGACTTTGTTAATTTCTATGGAGCCGACCTACACTTGGCAGCCACATGTGGCTATTTTAACTAATTAAAATTAAATAAAATGTAAAATGAAGTTCTTCAGTCATACTAGCCACATTTTTTAACATCTTTATTGGAGTATAATTGCTTTACAATAGTGTGTTAGTTTCTGCTTTATAACAAAGTGAATCAGCTATACATATACATATATCCCCATATCTCCTCCCTCTTGCGTCTCCCTCCCACCCTCCCTATCCCACCCCTCTAGGTGGTCACAAAGCACCGAGCTGATCTCCCTGTGCTATGCAGCTGCTTCCCACTAGCTATCTATATTTGGTAGTGTATATATGTCCATGACACTCTCTCACTTCGTGCCAGCTTACCCTTCCCCTTCCCTGTGTCCTCAAGTCCATTCTCTGTCTGCGTTTTTATTCCTGTCCTACCCCTAGGTTCTTCAGAACCTTTTTTTTTTTTTTTAGATTCCATATATATGTGTTAGCATACAGTATTTGTTTTTCTCTTTCTGACTTCCTTCACTCTGTGTGACAGACTCTAGGTCCATCCACCTTGCTACAAATAACTCAATTTCATTTCTTTTTATGGCTGAGTAATATTCCATTGTATATATGTGCCACATCTTCTTTATCCATTCATCTGTCGATGGACACTTAGGTTGCTTCCATGTCCTGGCTATTGTAAACAGAGCTGCAGTGAACATGGTGGTACATGACTCTTTTTGAATTAAGGTTTTCTCAGGGTATATGCCCAGTAGTGGGATTGCTGGGTCATATGGTAGTTCTATTTGTAGTTTTTTAAGGAACCTCCATACTGTTCTCCATAGTGGCTCATACTAGCCACATTTTAAATGCTCATCAGGTGCATGTGGCTACTGGTTACCATATTGGATGGCCCAGAACATTTTCATCATCACAGAACATTCCGCTGGACAGCACTGGACTATACTGACCTTGAAAGTCACTCTGCTAACACTCTAGGGAATTGTTTGGTTTTGAACTGTCTCTTTGGCATTCTTTACAGAGTGGTGAAGTAGAGTAAACCAACTAATAGTGTATATCCAAATCTCTTTGCACTTCCGTTTTCTTTTCTGTACATCTCTACATTAAATTCTTCCAGCTCTGCTATTCTATGGTTCCATCATCCAGTACTTTGGCATTATTATGTAAGTGAGGGTTACACAAGAAATGAGCATCTCTGCTGCTACTTGTATGTCAGATTATCTCCCCTTTTTATAACAGCTTTATTGAGATATAATTCATATACCATAAAATTCACACTTTTATTGTGTTTTTATGGTAGTTTTTTATGTATTTAAAAAATTGTGGAACCATCACTAGTATCTAAATTCAGAATATCTTCATCACCCCGAAAAGAAACTTTATACCCGTTAGCAGTCACTCCCTTTTCCCCCTCCCCCCACCCTCTGGCAACCACTCATCTACTTTTTTTCTATGGATTTTCCGATTCTGGTTATTTCATATAAATAGAGCCATGTAATATGGCGCCTTTTGTGTCTGGCTTTTTTCTCTTAGCATAATGTTTTCAAGGTTCATCCATGTTGTATCATGTATCATTATACTTCATATTCCTTTCTAGCTCAAGTAATATTCCATTCTAGGGATATACATTTTGTTTATCCAGTCTTCAGTTGATGGATATTTGGGTAGTTTCTACTTTTTAGCTATTATAAATATTGCTTCTATAAAGATTCAAGTATAAGCTTTTGTGTAACTATATGGTTTCACTTCTCTTGAGTATATTCCTAGGAGTGGAACTGCTGGATCACATGGCAGTTGTATGTTTGATATGTTAAAGAACTGCCTGTTTCCCAAGGTGACTACCATTTTCCATTCCCACCAGCAACGTATGAGAGTTCCAGTTTCACCCCATCTTCACAACACTTGTTATTGCCTTTTTTAATATAGCCATCCTAGTGGTTATGAAGTGGTATTGCATTGTGATTTGGATTTGCATTTTCCTAATAACTAGTGATACTGAGCATCTTTTCATGTGCTTATTAGCCATTTGTATATCTTCTTTAAAGAAATACCTGATCAAGTCCTTTACCTGTTTTAAATTTTTTTTCTTTTTCTGTTGTTAAGAGTTCCTTATATAGTTATTATGCTTGTATATCAGGTATATAAGGGGTTTTTTTAATCAGATATCGGACTTGTAAGTATTTCCTCCCATTCTATAGATTGTCTTCACTTTTTTTGAGGGTGTCCTTGGAAACATAAAAGGTTTAATTTTTATTTATTTATTTATTTTATTTAGTTTTGGCTGCATTGGGTCTTCGTTGCTGCATGCGGGCTTTTCTCTAGTTGCAGCGAGCGGGGGCTGCTCTTTGTTGTGGTGCCCGGGCTTATGGCTGTGGCTTCTCTTGTTGCGGAGCATGGGCTCTAGGCGCACGGGCTTCAGTAGTTGTGTCGTGCGGGCTCAGTAGTTGTAGCTCACAGGCTCTAGAGCACAGGCTCAGTAGTTGTGGTGCACGGGCTTAGTTGCTTTGTGGCATGTGGGATCTTCCTGGACCAGGGCTCGAACCCATGTCCCCTGCACTGGCAGGCAGATTCTTAACCACTGCACCACCAGAGAAGCCCAAAAGGTTTAATTTTTTTTTGAAGTGTAGTTAATTTACGATATTGTATAAGTTACAGATGTTTAATGCAGTGATGCACAATTTTTTAAGGTTATATTCTGTTTGTAGTTACTTCATGAGATTGGCTGTATTGCCTATGTTGTACAATATATCCTTATAGCTTATTTTATACATAATAGTTTGTACCTCTTAAAGGTTTAATTTTTACAACATCCCATGTATTCGTTTCTTTTTTTTATTTATGTTTTTGGTGGTCACAGGTAAAAAGTATTGCCGACCACAAAGGTTTACTCTTAAATTTCTTCTAAAAGATTAAAAAGTTATATTTTAAAGCTTTTTTGTGTAGATTTATGATCCATATTGAGTTACTTTTTGTGTATGATGTGACGTAGGGAGTCCAACTTTATTCTTACGCAGTGGACATTCAGTTGTCTGTGCCATTTGTTATAAAGACTGTTATTTACCTGTTGCATTGTCTTGGCACCCTTGGTTAAAAATCAATTGACTATACGTGTAAAGGTTTATTTCTGAACTCTAAATTCTATTCCATTAATCTTTAAGTCTGTCTTTATGTCAGTACCATGCAATATTAACTGTAGCTTTGTAGTAAATTTGAAATTGGGAAGAGTCCTCCAACTCTTTTTTTTCCAACATTGCATTGGTTATTTCTTGATCCCTTGCATTTCCATGTGAATTTTAGAATCAGCTGGTCAATTTCTGTTTAAAAAAAAAAGGCAGCTGGAATTTTGATAGGGGCTACACTGACTCTGTACATCAGTTGGAGTACTGCCATCTTATTAATATTAAGTCTTTTGATCCATGAACATGGGCCGATTTTTCCCTTTATTTAGGTCTTTTTTTCCAATGGTGTTTCATAATTTGCAGTGTCTCATCCTTGTTTTATTAAATTTATTCCTAAGTGTTTATTCTTTTTGTAATTGTAATATATTTGTAATTGGAGTCTATTACAGAATTTTTCCTTAACTTCATTTTCAGATTGCACATTGCAACTATAGAAAGATACAATTCACTTCTGTACATTGACCTACTATGTAAGCCTTAGCTGTACTTGTTTATTAGCTCTTGCAGTTTGTGTGTGTGTGTGTGTGTGTGTGTGTGTGTGTGTGTGTGTGTGGTTTCTTCAGCCCCCGTTTCTAACTCAATCTTTGCTATAGGTGATTGGAGAAAGCTTATAATGTACTATGACTTAAAAGGAAACTTTTTTCCTTTATTTTCTAGGAGTTGTAGCTGTAGGGTACATCAATGAAGCCATTGATGAAAGGGATCCTTTGAAAACCTTAGATAGTCTGCTGCTACCCACTGCTAGGATTAAAGATGTGGACCCAGACTCTGCCCAGCACTACCAGGATGTTTTATACCAGGCTAAAACACAGAAATTCATGGTAAGTCTTAGTAGGTGTGTTTCTTTTAAATTTACAGACCAGGTTGGGGACAGAGGGGCAAGAGGGAGGATTTTTTTTACCCATTTTTCCTAAAGCTCATAATTTGCTTATCTATGTATGGATCAGATTACAAGTTAATAGGGCTGTTATTTTCCTGGTGTCAAACATGAGGGGGAAACTAGCTCCAGAGCTGCTGACTGCTTCTACTCTTTCACTAAAAATGCACTGTGGGTGAGTTCTTGTTCACAGTCCAAGTTATTGGATATTTACTGAGCACACACTGTATTCATGGTGCAGTATATGGCATCTGGTAGGGGAAAGGGGGATCCGAGGAACACATGATACCATTTGAATGTTCTGTCCTTATCCTCAAGATGCTTAGAAAGTTACTAAGACAGTGGGCATTCTCATATAGAATAGTTATATAGCAGTAGAGATGGGTATGTGGCCAAATGTCAAGACGAGGAATGCCCAGAGTGATTCAGAGATGGTTGGGATTTCTGTGAACTGGAGCCCTAAGGTAGGTTGGTGTGGAGATAGAACAGGAGCTGCTCCTGAAGGGTAAGGAAGTGGTTTGGTGAGTGGGAAGCAGGATAATGCAGGCAGGTAATGGCAGGGCTAGATGGGTACCAGCTTGGTTTGTTCTAGGCACAGGAGGAAACTGACCTGGCCAGGTCCCACCGAAGAGCAGAGGGCTTTATCTGGCGGCAGAGCTTGTACTGTTGTTGTGAGACATCCCCCAGATACTAGCCACTATTGGAAGAACTGAGTGGAGAGGAAGACCTATCACCTGATGCTACCTGGGACGTAACCACTTGTGGCTTGAATGCCAGGCCAGTGACTGGGAGAATGAGACTCAAACCTGACCTCATGTCCCCAAACCCCTGGGGAGGAGAGTGGACCCTGTCAGCAAGGAGGACTGGACCGCCCCCTGCTGTTTGCACTGATGTAGCTGTGGCTGTAGCACGTGCCACAGCATCGAAAGCTAAAGGTATTAGCTTTGGAGACAGGCACCATTCAAACCTTGGCTTTGCCACAAATTAGGTAGAGACTTTAGTCAAGTCACCAAAAGTCTCTGTGCTTCAGTTTTCGCATGTGTAAAATGAGAATAATAGTACCTACCTTATAGGATTACGGTGAGGCTTAAATGATTACATAATATAATAAATGAGTAATATATATTTATATTTTTACATATTAACATATAATTACATTGATTATAGTGTGTGTATGTATAAGTGTAGAGCATTTGACATGGAGCATGTCACCCCAAAAAAGTGCTGAAATAATGTAGCTAGTATTTTTGTGGGCACTTCTGGCTGTCACACAGGTCAGTGGGTGGTGAGTGATGTCTTTGTCACAAGGTCTTTACTCGACACAGGTTTACTTTACTCTGTTCACTAGTTGGGATCTTCTGGGTGCAGGATAGAGACAGACCTGGGTTTCTCTCTGCCAACAGCCACATCGGTGTTTGTCGTTAAGGTGAAACTAACTCCACAAACCTTTTATAGGCAAGCAGTGGAGGTCCCCTCCTGAGCATCCCAGTGTAAGGGCTCTAGGTCAAGACGGAATTCCACAGCACCTCTCCAGGGCACTCAGCAAGAAGCCTTGCTGGTGTCCATGCTGTGCCTCTTCTCTGTTGGGCATCCTTCCTGAGTGTGAAAGAAGTTTTTTAATAGTGTAATTAGAACAGGGAATATGAGCGTAGGGATCTGAGTTAGAGCTCAGGCATTAAACCACTTGTGGCCTATAAAGTTAGGAGCGTGAACTACATTGACAATAATTGAGGGATTAAAAACATTGCAGTAAGCAATGAGTCTGGTTTGGTTAAGTTGCCGCTTTTCAACACACTTCTCTTTCTCTGCCCATTAATTTTGAAACTTTGTTTTCTCAGCCCATTCTCTTTCCCTGGAAAAAAATCTGATTCTGTTATTTGGTGGGGTCTCTATTTGCTTTTTAACCTCTGCTGTTGTGATACCTGGAAATTTTCAGTTGTTTTTATGGGGCTGTTTCTGTGCTTTGCTTTCCAAAGGTCTAGCCTTGGAAAATAATAGAAGAAAATTACATTATTGGTATTGTCAATATAAAGTAAAGCTTGTGCCAAAGTATACAGCCATTAAAAGTCACGATGGATAACATCTTAATAGAATGCTCAGTTTTATCAAAGATTGAGGACAGTGGTGTAAGTTGGTGAGAATTCTTGGTCCTCGTTAACAGTATTTCAAGTATGACCTTGTGTAGGCACCAGATTCCTTCCATCTCTTGAGGGCAAAGGCTGAGTAGTGGGCATGTTGGCATACACCTAACAGAGAACACACTTTCTGCGTGTATTCACTAGAGGCAGTGAACTGTCAGCTATTTTTATTTTTCTTATTTTTTTATTTTTTTAACATCTTTTTTGGAGTATAATTGCTTTACAGTGCTGTGTTAGTTTCTGCTGTATAACAAAGTGAATCAGCCATACATATACATATATCCGCATATCTCCTCCCTCTTGCATCTCCCTCCCACCCTCCCTCCCTATCCCACCCCTCTAGGTGGTCACAAAGCAGCAAGCTGATCTCCCTGTCCTATGCAGCTGCTTCCCACTTGCTATCTATTTTACATTTGGTAGTGTATATATGTCCATGCCACTCTCTCACTGCGTCCCAGCTTACCCTTCCCCATTCCCATGTTCTCAAGTCCATTCTCTACATGTGAGCTATTTTTAAATTGAAGGCTTTGCTTTAGAATTTTGGAAGGTACATGACTTATACACCCCCAAAGCTCTCTTTTCCTGCATGCATAATTACTGCATAAAAATTAAGTGTGCTTTTAACAAGTGAATAGTGTTGTATTTTTTCTGTAGGTAAAACTGTCTTACAGTTTATGACTTTGTTTGCAGAAAGTCAGTTTCTTCCATTGAAGTTTTGGGCATCTTGAAACTTACTTGATTAGTTTTTCTTGCTTTGCTTTAGTGTTTATTTTTACTCTTCACATAACCACACAGATACTATAAATGGCCTTCATGTGCATTTTTGCATTTTTTAATCTGCGTCCAATGAAATAGGAAACTCTGCACACTCAAAAATAGGCATTTAAAATGTTTTTTTATTGTTTTGGTGGGCACTACAAAGTATATGGTCAATGCACATTCCTACAGGCTTGAAAATTCATCTCACAATCCTTCATGCCCTTAACCACTGATATTCTACCTTCTGTCTAATCTCCAAACTAAAGGAAATATAGTCATTTCCCTACAGGAATGTACTGGGCATTTATAACGAAATATCATTTCCCCATTAAAAACTAGGTATAAGGACAAAAATAATGGAGTCATTATTTTAAATTTATAAATGACCTCATGAATATATCCTTAGCTTTCTTTCTTTTTTTTTTTTTTAAATATAGCCAACCAAAAATAATGTGCCATGTTATATGGAATAACTTTCTTTCTCAGTATGAATTTAATTGGCTTTCATGCTGTTTAGATGCTTTGGGATTTTACTCTTTCATTCATTCAGCCACATGATGTGCAAAGTATGGAGCCTGGCTCCACAGACCCTGGGAAGACGTGGGCCTGGCATTGCTACAGGAAGCTTAAGGAAGAGGACAAGCCCCTTCTCTACTGCACATGGTGCTTAATAAGTGCTTATGGAATTAATATTTGTATATAAATGAGCCCTATATAAATGCCATAAGAAAAATACAAAAAAATGCTTTGAAGGTTCAGGTGAGAAAAATGAACTCTGGCTAGAGAGTCAGGGAAGAATTGTCCTTTGAGGACTTTGAGAGATGGAAAGAGTTAAGGCAAACATATGAGAAATAGCTTTCCGGTTAGTGGCAGGGGCAAAATGAGAAGTCTGGATCACAGCAAAGCAAGAAGCTCGGCAGGTGCCTATATCACATGCCAGGTTTTTTGGGAAATAAAATCAGTGTTAGCCTGAATGCGAAGCTAAAGATTTATAATTCCAGAGCAGTGAATGGTCAATGGAGGTCTCTGAACTGGGGGTTTTGAGTGATGTATTCAAACTGGTATTTGAGGAAGAGTAATCTGGCAGTGGACTGAGAAGTGGAGGGTAGGCTGGCAGTGATGAATGGTTAGAAAGCAAAGGTGGGGCTAGGATAGCGGACCCTACTGAGAGACATTACACACATAGAATCATGATGAGGCAGCCACCAGCATGAGAGCTGAAGGAGGCAGAAGAATTACAAATGACCCCAGACACTAAAACTGAGATCTTAGCTCCCCCCATGCTGCACCCTTGCCCCCTGTTCCATCCACCTCCTCCAGATCATCTAGAATAGAAACCTCTTAGAAGTAGGGAAGATGGAGATTTAAAGAACTTGAAGTACCAGTCAGGCAGGTGGAGATATCTTTTCTCCTGAATTTTCATTCTTAAAATACTGATAGGTTCTTTTTTAGGTCACTGTTTATGTAATGTTTTATTTTGAAACACCATTTCCTAGGAGCTCACAAATGGAGCTAGAGAATAGAGGTCCTTGCAGTATACATATGTTATCCCAAGAGTGTATGTCTTCACACATAGCTTTCCTTGTTCTCTAAGATGATTTCACCATTGTAAGGTAAGCCGTGGAGTGATTCGTGATTTTTGACATGAGAAAATAAAGGAATGGATCTAGGCAACTATTCAAGCTACCAAGGCACAAAGCTATGAGATAGATGAAGTATAAGCCATCGGCGTTGTTGTAGTAGTAGTTTGCGTGGTGAATAATGAGTAAGATGTTGCTTGGAGCAAAGCAAATGGTAAAAACCACAAGAATGAGGAGACTCGCCTTAACATACCACAGCCACCTACGATCTTTTGCATTAAGCGTCCAAATGATGGCTGTGTAGCAGTAGATAATGACCAAAAATGGAATTAAGAATCCAAAGAATGCCAAGGAGATGAAGTAGTAGAGTTGGAAGGGAGACGAGGACTCGCATGTGTTGTGGACATCATGGCAGGTGGTGATGTCCTGCTGGACAAGATAGTACTCCTGCTTCAGAATGAAAAATGGCAGCATATATAAGAAGACCGTTGTCCACACCAATCCACACGTTAGCAAGGCATAGGTGCGCTTGGGCAGCCCCCGGTAAGTGAACGGATGGACAATGGCCAGGTAGCGGTTGATACTGATGCAGGCGAGGAGCAGAATGGAACAGTACATGTTGCCATAGAAGATGACTGTGGTGGCCCGGCACATGACCTCTCCAAATACCCAGTTGTTCCCGTTGAGATGGTATGCTATTCTAAAGGGCAGTGTAACGCAAAGAAGAAAGTCTGCAATGGCCAGGTTGGCGTAGAAGACGTTCATACGGATGGATCTGGTCCTGAAGAAGAGCATCCACAGGGTCACCACGTTGGCTGGCACACCTACTACAAACACCAGGATGTAGATGGCAGGTATCAGTCTGGTACTTAAAGAGCTGCTCAGGTACCTCCTGGTAGCATTATTCACATGGAGACTTGAAACACTTTCTTCAGGGCACTTAATTTTTACAGTTGTGGTGGTTCCTGTCCAGCCTTCTATGGCAGAAAGGGGGAACTCTTCAAAAGAATTCAGGGGAGCGCCACGGAAGGTCTTAATAGGTAAGGTTGGCTTTGCCAAGTTGTCTGTATCACATTCCATGCCTGTAATTGAAAAGAAGTATTAACATATGATTTGTTGCTGAGTCATATCTATGGTTCAGGAGACAATAAAACTAGATGTCTTATGCTACATAATTTCTGTAATGGTAGAATTTAGGGTCATTTTTATTTTTAAAAATCATTATAAAAAAAAAATCATTATAGATGAGGTAATCAACAGGAATGCATTTAATGTATTATCATTTGCCCCAGCAGCATGCTAACCCGTGCAGGAACCCAAACTAGATGACAACTCCTTGTATGTAAGGAGTTTGTAATATTGATACTATAAGAGGAAACAAAAATAGCACATCAGACCATTGTAGGCTAACGTCATATTGATTATAAACTGTATAGACTGTATAGATTATAAACTCTTCAGGCGAGAGTTAATAGATTTAGATGTTTGAGCAAAATGTCAAGGAAAAGATGAACATGAGCAAAGATGAGCAAGGTTCATAAAGAGGTGGAATTTAATAGAAGAATAAGATTCTGGTAAGTGATGAATGGGCAAAGGCATTGTGTAGGCTGACATGGGGTCTGGAAATATCAGATGAGTTGATTCAACAAATGTTTATTGCATATTTATATGCCAGTGATATACCCAGTTTTAAATCAACGCCATCCCTGTCTTCAACTCTCAAACTAATGGAGAAGATGCACAAAAACACATTCTTATGCAAATAAGGTACATCTGACAGATGAAGTTGAAAGAGTAGGTTACAGCCAAATCTCTGAAGGGCCCGTAAACTGTACTAAGAAATCATGTGCCCATTCACAGATGCTGGAGTCGTACACAGACAAAGTGATGAACAGAGGAATGGCCGTTGAGGTAGGCAGCATGATGGCTCCCCAAAGCTTCCATCTGCTAATGCCTAGAACCTGTAAATATGTTACCTTCTATGGCAAAAGGGCCTTTTGCAGATGTGCTTCAGGGTCTTGAGATGGAATGAGTATCCTGAATCGGTCAGTGGGCCAAATGTAATCATAAGACTCCTATAAGAGGAGGAGGAAAAGGGTCAAAATTGGAGATACTGGAAAATGCTATGCTGCCGGCTTTGAAGGTTGAAGAAGGGGCCACGAGCCAAAGAATGCACGTGCTTCTAGGGGCTGACCAGAGCAAGAAAACAGATTCTCCCCTGGAGCCGCCTTGCTGACACCTCGATTTTAGGACCTGTGACCTTCAGAAATACAAAAAATCTGTGTTTTAAGCCACTAAGGTAGTGGTAATTTGTTACAGCAGCAGTAGGAAACGAATATAATCATGATTTGATTTGTGTTTAAGGTGACTTTGATGACAGCGTAGAGAACAGGCTAAAAAGGTAAGAAATTAGAGGCAAGGGGGTCTGATTTGGAGGCTACTGTAGTCGTCTCAAACTCAAGCTGGTGGGTTACAGAGCTAGAGCAATGGCACTGGAGAGGTAAAGATGAACGCGTGAGACTCTGTAACAGAGGCTCAGGGGGACTTGCCTCTGACTGGCTCTGGAAGCGGTGCAGGAGAAGCAGGAAGCAAAAGTGACTGGGAGGTTTGTACTCTGGATGTCTTGGAGGAGAGGCGGATGGAGCATGGGACGGGGCAGGGGGACTGAGGGTGCCACACAGGGAGAAGCTAAGATCTTAGTTTTGAGTATTCCTGAGTGTGAATTGCTGGTGCAATATTAGAATGTAAAATGTCCCATGACAGGTTAGAAGACTTAAACGTGGAGTCCAAAATCTCAGGAGCCCAAATGAGAGTTATGGGTTTTTTAGTCTGCGTGGAGACCATACTTTGCTTTAGTGCTTGAATGCCCTAGGGAGAGATGTGAAAAGAAAGAACCCAATGGCAGACTTGAGCGGAAATGCCAGCTTTTAAGGGGAAAGGAGACAAAGGAAGAAAAATCAGAAGAGGAAATTGATCAACTGATTCCAGAAGTTGGAAATGAGAAAAAAGAAAAAGAGGATAGAAACAAATTACATACTATAAATATTTGACTGTTAGTGGCATGTTGATACTAATAATCGTAATTCATGAAAGAGCAATTTCAAAGACAAAGTAAACCTTAACACTCAAACCTGCTTTTCACTGTGTAATTTTCTGTAAGTTAATCCTTGACATGTAGAGAAAGCAGATTCTCTCACATTTCTAATGTTACCTTAAGATGAGCTTTTATGCTGAATATAAACCTAATACTTATATCGATTTAAAATGCCATTGCTCTGCCAGTTACCTCTTTTCCTACATGTTGAATCCTTGAGGTTAGTATTTAGTAACCTGGCTGTCATTCAAAGCCAGTTTCTCTTCCTGATTTAATCTCTACCAGTTCACCCCCGGGTGAAATTGAAGCCTCCCTCAGAACCTGGAGATTGCACAAACTGAATCCGGGGTGTAACGCAGAGGGAGAGTGTTGCTGAACAAGCAAGGATGAGGAGGTGTTCAGGTGTCCTTAAGGGAAGAAAGGTTAGAGAAAAGGAAAGAGAACTCGGGGAAGTGGCATTCTTCTGTGCCAGTGTGTAGATGTGGACTTAGAAGGCATGTTGTGTGACACCTGAGCACAGCCACTCAAATCCTGCTGCTTAGGGCTTCCCTGGTGGCGCAGTGATTGAGAGTCCGCCTGCCGATGCAGGGGACACGGATTCGTGCCCCGGTCCGGGAAGATCCCACATGCCGCGGAGCGGCTGGGCCCGTGAGCCATGGCCGCTGAGCCTGCGCGTCTGGAGCCTGTGCTCCGCAACGGGAGAGGTCACAAGAGGCCCACGTACCGCAAAAAAAACAAACAAAAAAAATCCTGCTGCTTACTTTGGCATTTTGGAAAATTCTTTCATCTGACATCACCCAAAGACAAGTGCCTTTCCAGACAGGCACAAAGCTGAAATATGTGGGCTGAAAAACATGCTATACGAGTTATGTCCCTTCAAGATCTGAGAAGAGAGCTGTTGAAACCATAGTGTTTGTCACTTTTCAGAAAATTCCAGTGATTGAGCAAGACATCATGCCTGAAAACATGCTAAACAGTGACTCTGTGAACAAGCCTTGATTCCATTTCCTTGAGAATTCTGGCTCTTTTATTCCTTAGGGCCTAGTTTTCCTTAAGAAATAGTACTTGTTAAATTACATATATATTTTGTAATTTGTTTGAGTTTTTTATACAGGTTTATTTGGCATGATGTTTCTGAAATGTTTTTCAACCTGAGAAAAGGCCTTGGAGAGGGACTGATCCCCAAAGGGAACAGACGTCAGCCACTAAATAACAGGGTCTTCCTTCACATTTCTCCCCAACCCCTACTAACGAAAGCAAATTCACTGCCTTTCACTTTGTCACCTTTTCTTAAAAATAATTTTTTAAGCTGAAGTATAGTTAATTTACAGTGTTGTGTTAGTTTCAAGTGTACAGCAAAGTGATTGTTTTATATACATAAAATATATTTTTTATATATATTCTCTTTCAGATTCTTTTCCATTATAGGTTGTTATAAGATACTGAGTATAGTTCCCCATGCTATACAGTAGGTCCTTGTTGTTCACCTATATTATATATAGGAGTGTGTATATGTTAATCCCAAACTCCTAATTTATCTCCCCCACTCCCCCGCTATCCCATTACTTTGTCACCTTTTAAATTCCCCCCTTTTCACATCCACCAAACCCCACCAGCACCTTGAAGGAACCACCTCCCCAAACCTCTTTTCTTTTGCTCTTCTGCTTCATTTTGGTTCATCCACTCACAGAGCACTCACTCATCTGTAAATCTCAAACGAGCTACTGCTCTCTACTCGTTCTCTCAGCGCCGTCCTTCAGCCACCTCAGTGATTCCAACTGCCAGTGTTAGCAGCATTCCTTTATAGATCCTTGGTTTTTAAAATTTTTGTCCCCCCCCCCCCCCATTGTCACTTCTTCCCTTCAGCTTTCCTGTTCCTAAAACGTTGGCTGGGGTAGGACCCCAACAGTAAGGGGGTTGTGGATATCTCTATCCCAAATTGATTACTTTTAGAGCAAGCAGGAGGTTACAGGCTAACATTGTATTGAGTGAAATAGGAAACACATATTTCTTTTGGGAAACACAAATTCATTAGCATAACTGATTACTGAAAGCAGACCACTCCGTCTATCAGGGAGTATTCTTGTTTCCAGAAGGTATAAACATAGGATTTTTAAAATCTCTTAAAAAAAAGTTATCTTTGCCAAATCAGAGGAAATTCTTAGAAAATCAAAAACTTTTAAAGAAAACTGATTCTTGACTTCATTGTAGAGATCTAACATCTTGACTATGCCACAAAATTTTAAATATCAACGGAGAACACTTAGTCTTTGACAAGTTTGGAATAGTGAACAGACTACATCTCTTCACGTCCATAATTCCACGTTTTAATAACTAAGATTTGGGGTTGCAATTTGTGTGAAATGTAAAAGAGATTAGATTCATTGGACTCTTGGGACACAAACCAGCATTCCCACTCTACCCCATAAGAAAAGAGCTTACCACTTTGACAGGAAGCAGGTGACAGAAGCAGTGCTCCAACAGCTACAAAGATGACAGCTTTCATCTTGATCATCTGAGCCCCGTTTCTCAAATGTTTAAAATTAGGGAGTATGGTTTCACTTCGGTTCCATGTGTTGGCACCAGTTGGAAACCTGGTTCTCTCTGTAGAAGCGTGTTCTCTTGTGCTCTGCAGGCAGGAAGCCTGCCAGGGTCCTCTGCAGGGAAAGGGTGTGACAGCACTCATGTTTCAGTGTGCATGACTCAGCCTGAGCCTCTGAGCACGTTACGTTATCCCCGGAGAAAGTCACTGAACTCCTCCCTATCCCTCACAGGAGAGAAGCTGTCATTCCCACCCAGTGAATTTATGTGCATTGAATGAATACCCTTAAGAACAGTCCTTAAAAAAAAAAAAAGAACAGTCCTTGACAGAAGTAAGCTGGAAACAGATGCTGAGCAGCAGTTAGATTTGAATCTGTCCCATATCTCATTTTTACCCAGTTTAAAAATGAAGTTCTAGAGTGTCATTTCTACTTAGCGACTGAGCTGTCAGAAATTATCCTTTCCTTTATCCTTCCAGCTATTTTAAGTCTTAATTCTTAAACTCATTACATAATTGTAGGCTAAATGAATCATGGAAAGCAAACTTTTTTTTAAGAAGTTAAAATTGTTTTAAGCTCTTGATTACTTTGAAAATTCTCCTTCAGTGTCACATTAGTCTGAATTTGTCATCGGTGCTTGGCCAAAACTTGGTTTCATTGTGTTTTGTTTTGCCACAGCTAAACATATTCTAAGCCATTCAATAATTCTGTAGGGTCAGATAACTAGGGAACCCCGCCCAAAAATACTGTTTGATTAAACTAAAATCATAATATAACATTAAAACACAGAGGACTCCCTTTATCCCATGGGTATCGGTGAGCAGGTTTACAGTAAGCTTTTTTTCTTAACTGTGGTAAAATGTACATAACATAAAATTTACCATCTTAACACTTATGAAGTGTTCAACTTAGTAATGTTAAACACATTCACGTAGTTGTTTAACATATAAGATTTTATGTGTAGTTATGTTCTGCAGGATATAATTTAATATGTAGTAAAAAAAAAAAGCTGCATTATAACACATTTTCCTATAATTAACAAAACTTAAATGCTAAGCCAGACAACCCAAAGCCTGTTAACTATAAAAATGAAGTAAGAATCAGAAAATGCAAATTTCACAAGCCTTAAGGTTAAGGAATAAGGTGGGAGAAAATGGATCTGTGTAAACTTTTCCCATCTTGGTTGAATGTTATCACACCAAGAATTTTACAATCAAAAGTCAGTGTTTAATACTTCAACCAAATAATATATGGTAGCACAAACTGAGATAGAATGCTATTTCATTGCAGAAATAGTAACCAAAACTCACAAAATATTGAAGAGAAGTTACTTTTTTATTTAAAATTTTCTAGGAATCATTTAAATTCAGGAATTTATTACTTGATTTTCAGATGGCCTACTTTCTGTTGACTTAAGCAATCTGTAACCCATATGTTGAACCTGGATGTTTAGCTGGAGATAGAGTCACGGCCATCCTGTAAATATCCTATTTCCAGTCTTCTAGTGCGCGGTTGAAAGGGAGACCTTACACTGGTAGGCTTCAGTTTTTACTCTTGGTTTTCCATTTAATTGTAGCAACCTTTACGTCTGTGGGTCATGATTTAAACTGTTGACTTAAATTCTTTTGATTGGCAAAGTCTCTCTTGGGTTTAGGTTACAAAACTGATACTTTCAGCTTTGAAGTGGGATTGTAACTTCCTTCGCATCTGGGTAAAAGTTTGTATGGTACATCTTCTACACTGATAAGTTATGAAGGAATTTGGTAAATACTCTTCAAAAAGAACCTGAGGAAAACAGAAATGAACTTGTGTGGAGCTTAGTTTTTAGGCTATACCTTGGGGTGTGGTTGGGTTCTCTTTGGCTTAGAAGCAGAGAAAAAAATACTTTCTATTCCCGTCTCTTCATTCCTCTTCTAGTTTTCAACTTCCCATCTTACTTCTTGTTTGAACCTTCCGCATCCATTCTCCCCCAAAATGGAAACTCTTATTAGCTGGTGGTTCCCATGTGGCAGATCTAGCTAAAGGTGATTGTGCAAGCAGGAACCAAGCCTTCCTCAATGGTCTTCATTAGTCTGGAGGTTACAGGATGAAATAGCAGATACTTTGTCTCATTTTCAGAGCCCTCTCCACATATATCATCTCCTGTTAGCCTCTGCGGGAAATAGGGCTGAAGCCTCCCAAAGAAGCTGGTGAATGTTATTTCTCCTTCCTGCCCCCCATCCTTCTTGAGTCCTAAGTGATGGAGCTGGTTCTCCATGGGTCCAATGACCTACCTTCTGTTCATTCAGTCTTGCTTCAGTCTCTAGTACATGACACTTACTCCTACAAATAGGCTAATGCTCCCACTTTTTAAAATGAAATGTCTCATCTTCTCTGAAAATATTTAATTTCTACTGCTAACAAAATTTACTTGTAATCTTAGACAAGTTTATATGAAACGCAGTGCTGTCTGAAAATCCTATTTAATTACATTATATCAGCACCACATTTGGAGTAAGATCATCAGAATCAACCCAAAAGTAAAAACTAGTAAAGATAACTCAATACCTTTTTATTGCTGCTACCACTTCCTTTCTGAAGCTATCCTTAACTACTTGGTCTTTTCTCTGCCTGCAACTCAACACTCCTAATATAAATTAATCTCTTCTTGGCTATTTCTAGATTGTGTATCTACAGGTAATATTGCTCTGATCACATTGTATTATAATCATATATTCTTTTCCATTATGGTTTATTACAGGATATTGAACATAGTTCCCTGTGCTATACAGTAGGACCTTGTTGTTTATCCAATAATTATAATTTTTTGATGCATCTTTCTCTCTTGCTAAACTGTTAGCTCCTTGAAGCCCATCACCATGTTTCTGTTTGGATATTTTTGTTCTTATATTTGTCCCTGTGTCTGATAAAATTCAAGTATCATTGTTTCCCACAAATTGAAAGTATTTCCATGGCACCCTGGGCCACATTGGAAACCACAGTTACTGAGTGCTTGGGAGAGAGAGTATTTGATTGACTAAGGTAGCCAGAGAAGGCTTTTTTGGAAGAGGTGCCATTTGAATTAAGGCCTGAATGATAAGAAAAAACCAACAGCCATGCAGCTGGGGTAGAATGATGTGATCTGAAGGAGGCTGATGTGAAAATCTGAAACAGTGAGTAGAGAAGAGTGAGGTAAAGCTGGAGGGGTCGGCAGGGCCAGATTCTCAGATCCCCACAGTTCATGGGAAGGGAGTGTTGTTTCCTTCAAACTGCTGGGAAAACCTTCTAAAGGAGTTTAAATAGAGGGATGGCGTGATGATCTGTCCCTTTTGGAGAGATCATCTGGTTCTCTATAGGGGACCACTGTGGTGAAAGGCAAACTTGGAAACAATGAAAGGAAGTAGGAGATCGAAGCAGCTGTCCAGTGAGAGATGATGGGGGACTGGACTAAAGGGGTGGCCGTGGAGAAGGTTGAACTGGTCCAATTGGGAGTCTGTTTCATCAGTAGCTTGTACAGTTTGTGGCTGTGCTGGGTAGTTGCTCAGTAAGAGTTTGTGGAGATTTTAATAAAGTGGCTCCTAAAAAGCCGTTATTAATTCTGTTTCATCATCATTCACTGTTCTTTCTTTTATTCTGTGCCCATATTCTCAGGACCCTCAAAGTGCTTCTAAAATTCTTTGGCTGGATGAGATACAGCATGCGGTCAATGAGGCCAACAAGGACATGGACAAAGCAAAACACTGTAAGCCCTCACCTCCTTCTGCTGGCCAAACTGGCCTTGCTTGCGTCTGGTTATGCCCCTCAATTTTTATTTTAATTCCTAATTTTTTTTTAAGTAGACCATCTTTAATTTCTGAAAAGATATGGACTCTCTCTACCAATTTTAATTCTTGAATGCATATTTATACAAAAATAAGATTGGTCGGTTGCACTGTTTTTAGCGGTTAGGTACTATCTCCAGCAAAATCTGAGATTGTTGCTGAACAAAATCCAGAAAGCAAAAAATAATTTCTCAACTCTTAAATCTGTAGTGTAATCAAGTCCTTTTTTATCTTGATCCTTAGAAAACTAGGCTCTTTCTGCTTATTAAATGCCTTCCATTGCAGTAGTCAGGGTTTTCCAAAAACAGAGCAACATATATTTTTTTTCTCTAGAAAAAACAGACTTATATATATATATTCTGTTTCTCTGGAAAGTATATAGTATGTGTACTATCTACCTGTCTATACACCCACATATATATATAGAAAGAAAGAGGGAGATTTATTTTAAGAAATAGTCTCATGCAATTGTGGAGAGGCTGGCAAGTCCAAAATCTGTAGGTCAGGCTGGCAGAGGCCAGGGGACAGCACTTAATTGCCAAAGACAAGTGGGTGTGGTTATTATAACGGACAGCCGAGTCGAAGCAGTAATTAGAAAAATGTGACTCACAGAGACCTATAGAATTTGCTAATTGATCATGGTGTTCCTAGAAGTGAAATAGAGAGTCTACTAAACTCTTACTTGATTTGCACAAGTGGAAGAAGAGTTCTAGGTCAGGTGAATGTAAGTAAAACAACAGAAAGTCATGGTCCCTCCGTTAGTTCCCAGACTCGAGCCATTTACAGCCCCAGAACCCCCTGAATGAAGGATGGGCTGGGTCCCCTTGGGAAAGGACCCTGCTACATTATCAACATGTTATACCCTACTGTGGTGACTGTGCTGGGAGGAAAGGACATAATCACACGTTTCAGAGATTACTGGACACTGACTCTGAACTGACACTAATTCCAGGAGACCTAAAATTTCACTGTGGTCCACCAGTCAGGGGAGGGGCTTATGGAGGTGAGATGATCACTGTGGTGTTGCTAAGGTCCGTCTCATAGTGGGTCTAGTGGGGCCTCAAACCCACCCTAGGATTATTTCCCCAGGTCCGAAATGCATAAATGGAGTAGACATACTCAGCAATTGGCAGAACCCACATTAGCTCAAATGATAGTTGTCTTTTTTTAAAGCATCTATTTTCACAGAAGAATAATAAGAAAATTCACATGGCAATCTAAAATAGCTTCAAGATTGATATGCTAGGGACTTCCCTGGTGGCGTAGTGGTTAAGAATCTGCCTGCCAGGGCTTCCCTGGTGGCGCAGTGGTTGAGAGTCTGCCTGCCAATGCAGGGGACACGGGTTCGTGCCCTGGTCCGGGAAGATCCCACATGCCGCGGAGCGGCTGGGCCTGCGAGCCATGGCCGCTGGGCCTGCGCATCCGGAGCCTGTGCTCTGCAACAGGAGAGGCCACAATGGTGAGAGGCCTGTGTACCGCGAAAAAAAAAAAAAAAGAATCTGCCTGCCAACGCAGGGGACACGGGTTCGAGCCCTGGTCCAGGAAGATCCCACATGCCGCCGAGCAACTAAGCCCGTGCGCCACAACTACTGAAGCCCATGTGCCTAGAGCCTGTGCTCTGCAACAAGAGAAGCCTCCGCAATGAAGAGTTGCCCGCGCAGCAACGAATACCCAACACAGCCAAAAATACATAAGTAAATAAATAGATTTATTTTTTTTAAAATATTGATATGCTAACACTCTACATATATAAATAACCTACGTAAATTAAGATCCTAAAGGTGCAGTTCATTAACCTCTCCATTCATGACATAATTAGAATCTATCCTGTTGTATCAAGTCATAGTCTTGCTCCAGAAATGTGCTTTTAAATGTCACAGGCATCTGTAAGGAACATCTGGTTTTTATTTCCTTAGCCTGGAAAAATATGTGTATTTCTCCAACCTGAATTTTTATACCCTTAGGATCTTTGAAGTCTTTCCATTACAGCACTCTAATCCTTTTTTTTAATCGTCATTTGAGCTTCTTGCTTTTTTTTTTGTTTTTTAAATTCCTGGTTGCGCTGTGTCTTCATTGCTTCCCCGTGGGCTTTCTCTAGTTGTGGTGAGTGGGGGCTACTCTTCGTTGCAGTGCGCGGGCTTCTCATTGTGGTGGCTTTTCTTGTTGCGGAGCATGGGCTCTAGGTGCGCAGGCTTCAGTAGTTGTGGCACGTGGGCTCAGTAGTTGTGGCTCGCGGGCTCTAGAGCACAGGCTCAGTAGCTGTGGCGCACGGGCTTAGTTGCTCCACGGCATGTGGGCTCTTCCCATATCAGGGATCGAACCGTGTCCCCTGCACTGGCAGGCGGATTCTTAACCACTGTGCCACCAGGCAAGTCCCATCTAGCACTCTAATCCTTAAGAAAAAAAATAAAATTGAGTTGTGTACACAAGAGATTTAAATTTATATATAAGACTGAAGGCAGCCTTAGTTTGAAGGAACACTTTTAAGAAATTAGATTATCATACAGGCACTCAAATAGCCTAAAAGGGTTATGATTTTTCTCTTAAAGATCAAACCAGTTTAGAAGTTATTTTATTCCTTTTTATTCTGTGTTCTGCTTATATTTGGCCTGCAAATGTTAAGTTGATCCTCTTGAGACTCAACGTTTCTATTTACTATGAATATAAGAAATTTTCTCAAATGTGTGATTCTTTACTCCACACTTGCATATTTAAAATCCTTTCTTCTACTTCTGTCCTATCCCTTGAAAGAGTTGATACAGTGTCTTCTATGATATATAACAACAAATAGATGTTCTGAAGATAAAACCATCTATATTCTTATACTGAGTTGAGAATTTTCCAGTTTTATCAACAAGGAATTTAATCTTACTTTTAAAAGCATTCTTCATCCTTTGTATGAAGACTTAAAAACAGATTCTGATCACATGGTGCAATTATCAAAGCCACTCCCAGATAATTTGATAAAAGAAAATGTGCTGACCCGTGTATTTTACCACAGGCAAGATTTAAAAGGGCATAGTACCTCAACACTCCTTCGTTTTGGCCCAATGTCCATTTTCACTGGAGCATCCTGCTTTCTTAAAGTAGGGTTTTCTCCATTTTTTGACTCCTTAGAGCAATGTTTTTCAGCCTTTTTCCATTACTGCACCCTAAGGAATCTTTGTAGCCTTTTTTTTTTTCCCATGGTGCTCTTTACCATGACATTTTAATACCACAGATATATCGTCTACCTCTTTATGTGCCATATGTAGATCTGTGCTTTTATACATAAAAAGATTTTTTACTTTCTCGTCCTAAGAACCCACGTAAAGCAAACGCATTTTTGGATCTCTTAGGAGGTTTGGGGGAGGTTTTCTTCATTTGTTCCATAGCAGAAACATACCTGACTTTCCGGATATCATTTATCTGTCATTCTCAACTATCTGGAACTTAATCACAACCCATAGATGAAGAAAAAAGCAAGCAATATAGCTGTCTCAAAGCCTGTGTACTACAACTGATTTTTCTCAACTCAGTGGGGACCACCTGGACAGCTACTTTGAGCCTGTTTATTCTTATCTTCAGCATAAGGCTAATCTCTTGGTTGTATCTCTTCCCAGCTCAGAAGCCATGAACTACAAGGAAGTTAGGTGTTTGGGCTGCCCCGTGCAGGCACTCAGACAGGAGCAAGAGGTGATAACTGACAGTGACGTTAGAGGAAAACTAAAAAGAAGAGGAATTTGAGGCCATTTAGTGCAGGAGCAAAGCAGCCCCAACACCTCCATAAGTCCTTGAAGTTACCACTCACCGTATTACAGCACAGTATAATTTTAATGACATGAAGGACTCTTCTGGCAGCCCTCGGCAAATGTTAAACGCCTGATACGTACCAGGGACTGTGGGTACAATGATGAGCAGGATAGAAACTGTCCTGTTAGGGTTTTTACCGGGGCTTTAGATTTTCATGGCGCATGATTCTGTTAAGATGAAGGTTGGCACCTAAAGGAGTCAGCTTCAGTTATCTGGAAGATTAACCCATGGACCCACTGCTTGCACATCAATACATACATTTGCAAGAAATGTTTGCCTGCGTAATATCCATCTTTTAAGGAAAACAGCATTTCACTGGGTTCGATGAAGCTGTCGGATGTAATTCACGTGAGGATCCTTTGTCATTTCCTTGTTCTTTCCACATCTCTCAGACCACAGACATCTCCAACACCAGTACTGCCTTCTTGTTCTACAAAGCTTTCCTGGAGAAGAGGAAAGGGGGGCAGCTTACCCGTTCCCATTAACTTTATAATTGAAAGAACCTACTGGTGTAGCTTTTGTTCAGCAACAACTGGAGTTGGCTGTGGGAGGTCTTTACTCTTCACCTGCTCCTTGAGATTTGCATGACGTGGACTCATGGCTGTCGAAAGTCAGACTCTGTTTTTCTTACCACGTCAGCCTTCACAGTTCTATGCACGTGTGAACATAAGTTGATGACAGCAGTATACCATTTAGCATTTGTATGGCAGAGTTTGACGTGTGTGTTTAAAAAGAAAGAAAGAAAAAAAAATCCATCTCTCTCCTCTCTTTTCATCAAGATGTTTTTTCATCTAGAAAGTGCTTAACCTGGTTTCTTCCATTTTTTTTGTTCTGCCTTGCTAATTCAGTGCATTTATAGGTTGTGAAGACAGTAGGTCCATTGGTGGGCCAGAATATCCTTACCTGGAACTAAAATAGATGATAAAGGATTCACCACGTTAACTTTCTTGAGGCAACCAAGAGTCCAGTGAGGTTTTATTTGTGGGGAGAGGCAGAAATGTGAAATGGGATAACATGCTTTCTAGGTCTAAATTGGTTCCACAGTTAAGTTTCTGGACTTCACTGCACATATCCACCAGCTGTGCCTGTTGCCTTCCTAGAACATTCGTTCAGGTTGCTGAGGACAATGTTAAACTTGCACTATACCAGAGAATTTCAGGATTTCTGTGGCTTAGATAGCATTTTACTTGTTCTAAAATAAATACATGTCTTCATAAAGCTAGTTCTCAAATACAGATTAATGACCTGCCTAAGGGCTGCATAACTACTGTCAATATGTGTCCCCCCCCCGCCCCATTTCACAGATCACCACGATGAGCAGAACCTAGTACCTTGATATCACACAAGAGTAACCAGGAAATACTGTGATTTTTGATAAACAATGCTCCTATGGGATTGTATTCCTCTTAACAACCTGAGCAGTTGGTGACTCTCTGTGGCGTATGTAGTGCATACTCTCAAAGGGTAAACAGGTTTAATACCAATGCATTCCTAAAAGGTTGAATTATATCTTTGCATGCCTCTGGGGTGAGTAGAAGATAACGATTAACAGAAACATTTATTTTTCATTACCCAGGGGTTACACTGGTCGTTGATGTTAATGAATTTTTGGAGAAGGAGAAGCAAAGCGATATTTTGTCTGTTTTGAAGTCTGCCGTTGGTAATACAAACGATGTAATGCCCGAATGTGCTGACAGGTACTATGACACCCTTGCGAAGGCAAAAGAGCAAAAATCTAAAAGTGGTAAGCTTCTTCATCGTTTAGCACAAACTAAATCGGCATTTTGAATAGGATGGTTTCTGTGGTATTGTGTTACCTTAATTTTAAGACAGATAATCGCTTTCAAATGAACGTTTCTGAAATGTTTATCATCTCTGGCAAAGGAAATTTTTTAGGTGTTGCTTTTCCTTTTTTGTCTCTTAGAAAGCTGTGATTAACTTGCTGGCTGTGTGTGGGTGCCATATACTTGAGAAAATACAGTATTAAAGGAGACTTACAGAAAGTAGGGCAGATATAGGGTAGCCTCCTCAAAGACATCTGCTTTCCTTTAAAAGAGTTATTGTCTTTCTCTCAAACCTTAATCCTTGTCCTTTTGCCCCAGAGTCCCCATGCTTCTAAAATGGAGTTCTGATAGTGTCTGTCATAATGAAAGAGTCATATCCAAGTGTATGGATCTTGGAAATAAATACTGGAATCGCTTCTCAAAAAAAAAAAGACGACTTTGCTTCCTATAGATCTTGCTGTTGAGCCATCCCTCTAGTGGTACAAACTGATTTTTACACTAATATTTCTCTCCATCCTTTTTGAAACAAATGACACATTATTATACAATATTAAGTGGAAGTAAAAAGTAATTTTGAAAGTACAAAATAAGCAGCAAATTGGTCTCCAAGAGCCTTGGCATATACGTAGGCCTGTACAATCCAATGGCAGGTCATGAAATATTAGCTGTGGAAACTGTGTTTTAGATCATGAGTTTAAGACTCATTTTTCAGATTTAGAAAATCACCTTGATGACATTTTGGACAGAGGGAGAAAATGACAAATCCAAGGAGATTAATTTTTGGCAGAGATAATCCATCATCTCTTTAGTAGGTTTTTGTTGAGCACTTGCTATGTCCTAGTGTCAAGGATCAAGGTGTCTCCTGACTCTTAGGCTGGTGTTTACTTGTACCACATCATGGGTCATGTACATAGTACTTTTCATCTTTAGGAAACTGCTGTGACAATATATGGCCTTAGAAGTGGAACTTAAGGAAAAAAAATATTTTTTTTTTTTTTAGTTCACTGGAAGTCTGTCCAAAAGTACCCTATGTACTTCCTTGTAAATTAGTCTGATGTATTTCTTACTTGGGAATTCTACCCTCCAATTCCACAAATTTTCTGTTAATGAAATGGAAACGGGGCTACTGGCCATCCTCTCCTACTTGGCACCTGATCACCCTTGAGCCTCTCTCTGTTCCCTTCACAACTCTTCATCAGGAGTTACTGTAGTGCCCCTACCTCATCCTTCACGAGGAAAGAATTGTACAACTGTATTTATGCAGGGGTGAGTTCCTAGAGATGACCCATCATAATCTCAAAATCATCCTGGCCCAAACTTAGTTTTATCTTCTTTTCCCTAAACTTGCCTACTCCTCTTCCCAAGTGCCATGTCCTGGTCAGTGAAGAAAAAATGTCCCGAGGTAGCCAATTTAGAAACATAGGAGATACCTTAGATTCATTTTTTTCTGGAAACAAAAAGAGAGTTGGGACTTTGTTAGAATTGTGTTGAAGCTGTAGATCAGTTTGAAGCATATTGCCGTCTTGACAGTATTAAGTCTTCTGATCCATGTACATGGTATGTCTTTGCTTTTAATTAGGTTTTTAATTCTTTCAACAATGTTTTGTAGTTTTCAATGTATAGGGCTTGCATTTCTTTAGTTGCATTTATTCCTACATATTTTATTATTTTTGATGCCATTGTAAATGTTGTTTTCTTAATTTCACTTTGGGGTTGTTTATTGCTCACATATAGAAATATAATTGATTTTTTTATTGAGATATATCACATACCATTAAATTCACTCTTTTAAGGTGTGAAATTCAGAAGTTTTTACTTAACACTAAAAACACCACCACTGGTTAATTTGCCTTTTAATAAAGGATATTTTTCCTTATAATAAACAAAGCCCCTTACCTATTACCCATTGCTCCCCACCCCCAACTTTCAGTCCCAGGCAATCGCTAATCTACTCTCTGTCTCTCTGAATTTGCCTCTTCTGCACATTTCATATAAATTAAGTCATACTGTGTTTGGCTTCTTTCACGTAGTGTAATGTTTTCAAAGTTCAACCATGTTGTAGCATGTATCAGTTCTTCATTTCTTTTTATGGCTGATAATATTCCATTGTATGAGTATGCCACATTTTGTTTATCCATTCATCAGTTGATAGAATTTAGATTTTTTTTCTCCAGTTTTGGCTATCCTGAATAATACTTCTGTAAACATTTGTATACAAACTTTTGTGTGGGCATATTTTCATAATATTGATTTTGTATCCTGCAACGTTCCTGGACTCATTTATTCTAATAGTTTTTTAGTGGATTCTTGGGCTGCCACCTGTTGTTATAAATAAAGTTTTATTGTGATTCAGCCACACTCATTAATTTACATATCGTCTCTGGCTGCTTTCATGCTACAGTGGCAGAGTCAAGTAGTTGTATGAGAGACCTGTAGCACACAAGACTGAAAATATTTACTCTCTGGCCCTTTATAGAAAAAGATTGCCAACCCCTGTTCTAGAAGGAAGAGGAAAAACTTTCTAGCCAATTAAAGACTAACTTTCATTCCCAGAAGAGCTGTGAACATTGTTTGGGGTAGTGAACAGGATAATTTATTCTTACTCTTTCACCTCTGATTCTAGGATGTCTATTTTTTCCCAAACAAGTGTTCACTCTTTGGTAGATCACTCAGCCTTATGGTTCAGTTTAGGTCTTATACAGGTATGATTTTGTCTGGAAGGCATCTAGAAAGTATGCTTCCTTATAGAATGCTCACCACCTCTTAACTCACGGGTATCTTTCTCTTGTATGTTTCCTCAAAGGCCCGTAATTAGTCTTTTCCCTAAGTAACAAACCAACTGTATTTCTCCTGTTCTGGAGATGCCCTCCTCAGCCTTTGATCTGACTCTAAACTCATACTTGATGTGAAAATGATAAAATTCTCTTTTTCTATTATCCACTGACATCCCAACTCAAATAACCCTTACAGTGCCAATGTGGTTGTCTTTTATTTATTTATTTATTTATTTATTATTTTTATTTTTGGCTGCGTTGGGTCTTCGTTACTGAATACAGGCTTTCTCTAGTTGCAGCGAGCAGGGGCTACTCTTCATCACAGTGGTGTGTGGGCTTCTCATTGCGGTGGCTTCTCTTGTTGCAGAGCACAGGCTCTAGGCATGCGGGCTTCAGTAGTTGTGGCACGGGGGCTCAGTAGTTGTGGCTCATAGCTTAGTTGCTCCGCGGCATGTGGGATCTTTCTGGACCAGGGCTCAAACCCGTGTCCCCTGCATTGACAGGCGGATTCTTAACCACTGTGCCACCAGGGAAGCCCCAATGTGGTTGGCTTTTAACCAACTAAGAACTTTTTACTTCTCAGTTCTTATGAAAATAAAACATACCCATTTTCACCATCTTTATTTGCTTTCTTTCCTTCCCACTGAGAGAGTTGCCTTAAAAAGGGTTTTCATTATTCTGAAAGCACTTGTGAATCTGACAACTCTTGGTGATTGAAAATATAATTATTACTTGTGATCATCTTAATTTGACTATACAATATATTTTCTAGTAGACCAGCATTTCTAAACAGATAACAACTGCCTGACTGCCCATTTGAAGACAGATATATCTCTGTTCCTGGGCATTGACAGAACAGTTGAGGGGCATTAAAAGCCAAGTAAAGAATCAACACACATGGGCTTCCCTGGTGGCGCAGTGGTTGAGAGTCCGCCTACCGATGCAGGGGACACGGGTTCGTGCCCCGGTCCGGGAAGATCCCGCATGCCACGGAGCGGCTGGGCCAGTGAGCCATGGCCACTGAGCCTGCGCGTCCAGAGCCTGTGCTCCGCAACGGAAGAGGCCACAACAGTGAGAGGCCCGCATACCGCAAAAAAAAAAAAAAAAGAATCAATACACAAAACCAAATAAAGAATCAACACACATTAAATCAACACGCCTTAAAGTTATCTCTGCTTAGATATTTGAATCCATTTAAATATTCTTTGAGGAAATGCAGTCAAATTTTGATTTATCTATAATTGCTCTAATGCGCACTTGGTAGCAGTTGGCTTAGCTTGGTCAGAAGTTTGTTTTATTGTTGTTTTTAGCTCTCTGATCTGGGACAAGAATCATAACCATTCAACAAAATAAATAGATTGCTAAATAGGAAGTATAGCACATTCATGAGGAGATATTCTTCTTGGCCAATTTAAGCCATGACTGCCATAGTTTTGTTTTGTTTTTTTCTAGTATCCACCCCACGCCCCCCCCCCCCCCCAAATTAAGTTCTTTCAACATTTTTTTTCTGCTTTTGTGTGGTTGTGTAGAGCAAGATGAGTCAGAGGGACCAGGAATTTTCCTTTTCCCTGCTTAGTGACCTCAGAGGTTGTGTATGCCATTTTGTGCTTTGAATAAAGTTGTCTGCAAAGATGAGTCACTTCTGCTTTGGTTTAATGCAGATCATTAAATAAAGGGTTCTCAGGACTTCCCTGGTGGTGCAGTGGTTAAGAATCCGCCTGCCAGTGCAGGGGACACGGGTTACATCCCTGGTCCAGGAAGATCCCACATGCTGCAGAACAACTAAGCCCGTGCACCACAACTACTGAGCCTGTACTCTAGAGCTCAGAAGCCACAACTACTGAGCCCGCAAGCCACAACTACTGAAGCCCATGCGCCTGGAGCCCGTGTTCCACAACAACAGAAGCCACTGCAATAAGAAGCCCATGCACCACAACAAAGAGTAGCCCCCGGTCACCGCAACTAGAGAAAGCCTGCATGCGGCAACGAAGACCCAGCACAGCCAAAAATTAATTAGTTAATTAATTTAAAAAATAATAATAATGGGTTCTCCTTAAATAATGGGTCACAGCCCTTGTAGGTCACTCCTTTTCAAAGAAGTTGCTGGAAGCCTTTCTAAATAAAGACGATTCTTCCTCATCGGTCTCCCCTGTCTCCTTGTGTTGCTATCCACATCTACCTAGGGTATCCATCCTTGTTTGCTTTTCCTTCTTGTTGGCCATTTGCAACTCTTTTCATCCTCATGAAAAATTTGGTATGCGGAGCCAGCATTAGACATTACTCTCTCCTCCTTTTTCTTTGGCTTAGCAGGGAGCTGCCATTGAATACATAGCATTCATTCCATTTTAATGAGCCCTTGCTAATGATTTTAACACACTGTCTGAATGTTTGGTGAAAAGCATATTCATTCAATTAATTTACTTATTGAAGAAACTACATTAATGTTGAAAGTTTCCATGTTCCTCTCTGGAATTTAACAAACCTTTTTCTTTAGCGTCTACTGAAGGTTCGTGGCTCAAACTCAACCTGCAGGAGAAATATGATTACTACTACAACATCGATTCAAAAGAGAGTTCCTGGGTCACACCTGAATCCTGCTTGCTTAAGGAATCATGGCTCATGGGAAAAGAAATTGAGGTAGGAGGTTGGTGTTTGATGAGAAGGTGTACTATATAAAGATAAGTGTGATTGCTTTTCTACTTTTGAATCATGGAATTGATGGGAAGAACTAATTTATTTGAAGACCGGATAGGGAGTAAAGTCTTCATGAACTACAGTTGGATGTGGCTGCATGGTTACTAACTTTTAGAATGTTTTCCGTATGTCAGAGCAACACCAAACAGCACTAGGGGAATAAAGCTCTTTCAGCTTCTTTAGGACGACAGATTATCCTAAGAAATCAATCTCCAGGTTTTCCTTGACACCAAAGCTCAATTAGTGGTAATTCCTTGGTTGTAAGTATTCAAAATGTCTTATTTCTTTCCCCCCAACCTCAACCTATGACAAAGATACATTAATGGACATTAGGTCCATTAAAGTGAATAATGCTTCCCCAGGAGAAATACTCTTGAAGGAATGTTCACCAAGATTGCTTTGGACTTGAGACCAAAAGTTGGACCCGGAAGATGTGAAAATTGCTCTTTGATCCAGGCATTGTAGTGTGTTTACAGAGAAAATACTTCTAATAATTGAGTTTGGTCTTGAATAAAATAGAACTCACAAATGGAGATCTTATAGAACTGTTCACAGTCACCAGCATCAAAGATACTGCAGGGTAGCAGTATTGTGGACAGAATCACCGGTGCGGTATTTACCAAAACTCGGAGAAAACACTGTGGCTTGGGGATGACAATGCCACAGAAATCCTGAATGACAAGAAGATCGTGAAAAACATATTTATTAACTAATTTCAAATGTGTAAAGTTCCCAGAGTTTATAGGAAAATGGCATTGTGGAAATGAACTATTAGTGCTGCTTTGTTGAAAAATGAAATTATGGCCAGTATTTAAAAACCGTATGCTCTCATTGAAAGGATATGTCAAACTGTGAAGAAGCAGCATTGAAGGGTTAAACTCAGAGCCAGAACTGCTCGTGTGGCATCCAAAGATGCCCTAGGTATAACTTTGTGAAGTGGAGTATCAGGATTAATAAAAAGTGGAGGGTCTGTGCTGTTAAAAAAAAAAAATTCTAGTCAATCTGAAATTACTGAATTTATTCAAGAATGTACATATGTCTTCTTAAAAGTATTTATGCATCTTTTATATGATTTCACTTTTAATTGTTTAAATTAACCATCCATTGAGTCCAGTCACACTGGATAAGAGACATCCGCCATAGAAGCGAGTCCAGTCTTTGCTTGAGTCTCTCAAAGAACATAAAAGTAAACCCAGTTCATCATCCACATGAAGACTTCTCACAATCCCCCTTCTTCCTTTTTTCTCATTCATCTAGGTTTCCCTGTCTGCCCTCAATAGCACTTATCTTTCCTCTCCCACCGCCTTTTCTTCTGCTCCAAGTCTTTTATTTTCTCCCAAGTTTATTTTGAGTTTTCCCCTACTCATTGCAGGGATCTGCCTCCTCTGGCCTGGGCAAGAAAAGCCCAAGGACTTCATGGGCACTGCAGTCTTTCCCTCAGGAGAGGGAGGAGGTGATGCGTACTCTTACTGTAATTATCCTTGTCTCTTTTACACTCTGAGGAGATCAGGCCTCTTGCCTGGTCCCTGCCAGCATCATCTATACACCTCTACCTCCAAATCCTGAGACCATTCAACCTCATTCTCATACCATCTCAGCACAAAGTTCAGAGGATTCCAGAACCGTATCACTAGAGAGAAGCTGAGCCAGTTCCTCCCTCGGCTCTGGTCAGATCTTTTTTACGCCAAGCCAGAAAAAGCTATGCAGATCATTTTCTGAAAGATAAAATTTCCAGAAGCTGCTCTCTATGCTCCTTTCATCTGATGTGTGAAGTGTAACCATAAGAAATATCTCTTGCCAGGACATTATTGAGGAAGTCACAGCAGATTACATTCGTGAGAAGATGTGGTCTGCTACCGAAGATATGCTTCTGCGCTTTCAAGCCGCAACCTCAGGACCCCTCCTTAGGAAAGAGTATGAAGCTAGGAAGTCATTTTTGTATGAACAAGAAGAGCATGTGATCAAAGTACAGGTATGTGAGTCACCTACCACTCGTTACAGAAAACTGTCATTCCATGAAAATGTTATTTGATAACAGGACAGTCAACTACCAGCATTCTAATAAACGAATGTGACTGCAGATTTTGTTCTTAATCAGTGCCCCTGAGTCTACTTTATTGAAGACTCCGAGATGGGAAGGATGTTGGATGATTTTTCACCTGTGGTCTTCTGGAAAGTATTCAGGACACTGTGAATAGTCAGAGGCAGGGGAATACCTGAGATCAGAGTTGAAATCCTGTTTCTCTAAAAAGGCGGATATCCTTGTGTCACCTACTGTCTGACCTCAGGTGCTTTTGAATTGGTTTCTTAGTGGTTAGTGGATGTTGAGTGGCGTCTGAGTTTCTATGCTCTTGTAGCCTAAAGAACAGAATAGCTCATGAAATAAATGTAGCATCTCTGAGGCTATCTTCGCTCTTATATAATCCCCTTCTTCATTCAGGCCTGCAAGAGGCATCCTCATTCCCAACCTTTTTCTTCTTAAGCTTGCATGACTTGTCCGAATGTTCTGGTTGGCAGGAGAGGAACTTGCTAGATTTAGATGTTTCTATTCTGTGTTCCCCTAGCATCCTCTCTCAACCACCACGCTGGTTTCCAAAAGGCCGTGTGTTTGTTCCTTTTTCTGCATCCAAAGTGATACTGTTGTTGATGAGCAGAGTTTGGTGGCTTTTGGCTTTGGCCAGTAACTATTAAATTTCCAAAATTGAAAGGTTGTAAGTTGAAGGGCTTCTCTTTTGTGATCATTGCTGTACTGATCTGCTTCCCCACCTAACTATAATATTGTACAGGGCAGAAGATGAGTTTTTAAAACTTTTGTATTCTTGTGTCTTGCATACGATAGGTGCTCAAATATCTGAGTTTGCTCAGAGCTTAAGATGTTAGAAGGCAGGAATGATTAATCTTTTAAAAGAAATTTCTTCTATAAACTTGATAGTCAGGCTTCACTGGTGGCGCAGTGGTTAAGAATCCGCCTGCCGATGCAGGGGACACGGGTTCGAGCCCTGGTCCGGGAAGATCCCACATGCCACGGAGCAACTAAGCCCGTGCACCATAACTACTGAGCCTGCACTCTAGAGCCCACGAGCCACAACTACTGAGCCCGCGAGCCACAACTACTGAAGCCCGCACACCTAGAGCCCGTGCTCTGCAACAAGAGAAGCCACCCCAATGAGAAGCCCATGCACTGCAACAAAGAGTAGCCCTCACTCGCTGCAACTAGAGAAAGCCCGTGCACAGCAATAGAGACCCAACACAACTAAAAATCAAATAAATAAAATAACTAAATTTAAAAAAAAACTTGATGCTCAAAGGATTTTTCTAGGTGAACCCGTAAGTTTTCCAGTTTATTCCTTCTTTAAATAAATGGTAGACAAAACACACAGGAAGTGAACAAAATCTTAAGTATAATATCATCTACACTGATGTTGAGGCTCTACTTTTGCACAGAATTCGAAGAGTGTTAGCCAGTGTGACACAATTTGGACCAACCTCAAGCTCTCCAGTCTGCCCAGAGCTGTGTTATAGTTGGAAGACACTCTACAGAGCCCTCTAGTATAAAATCTGCCTGATATTAGGACCCAGGGCTAAAATCGTGAGAGAGCTGGGGAAAAGATGGAAACAGTCACCTGGAGCCTTTCCTCCCCACCTCCGTGGAAGCAGCAGTATTGAAGAAGAAGCCATTACACTATGAAGTCACCCCATGATGACTTCCTTCCCCCTGCTTCTGACAGTTTTCTAACAAGGAGGGCGTGAGGTCTAAAGTCAGGCCATAGCCTGGAGATGAATGTGGTCTGACCCAGAAAACCAGAGGACCATGAACCAAAGGGCATCATGCTAATCTCATTTTTTGCAGAAGTGGCTGATTCATTCCAAATTAGGGGAATGATGTCAAATCTGAAGATTTCCCCTCCGTAGAACAGCTCAAACTTCTTAGCTGGCTGCATCAACCCCAGACACAGTAGTCTCAACAAATTCAGAGAAAAATCTCCCAGGCTGAGGGCAACCACACCCCAGCTCCACTGTGCTACCACCGACAGTCTCCTCCCAAGGAACTAGATATGGTACAGAGAGTATATGTCATCAGCAGCCAATCCTTTGTCTCAGACAATTCAGAAGATGGCCAAGTAAACACAGAGGAAGGTAATGAGAATCTATTATAACCATATTATATTTGAACAGTAAGAAAGCCCTGAAAAAATGGCCAACATTTAAGAAGAGAGCCAGAAAAAAATCTCAAACAAAAATGAAAATTTTATAGCAAAAAAAAAAAAAGAAAAATGGATGTAAGTTGTAAAACATAAATTAACATCTAAGGATTCTCATATTCCAGGAGACAGTAGAAATGTTTATACTGAAACTGCTTTATGCTTTTAAGAAATTTAATAAGATGCATGATGAAACAAGACAGCATGATAAAATGAAAAGATAACCCATAGCTACAGAGAGGAAGAAAAATGACATCCTAGAATGTGAATGAACTTATAACTGCAGAATGTAGAACAGACACTGAAAGTGATTGAAACACGTGGAGAACTTGAGAAAAATCACAGGAAAAGCTAAGAATAGATGACTTAAAATACATTTTCTCATCTGAAGATGATAATACCCATTTTATCGCAGGGTTGTAGGGATTAAATGGGATAATACACATAACAGACTTTGCCCAGTATGCTATTAAGTGCTCAACAAGTGTTCGAAGTGATGAGGCGGTAGAGATTGTGACTCAGAGGGCAGGTAGTGGGGATCCAACATCCAGGTGGTTGGTTGGCCCAGGAAGAGATCAGAAAAATCAAGACAGGAAAAAAGAGTTAGCTACAATATTTTTTTCCTTGAACTGAAGAACGCTGAAATGCCACTTTGTAGGAAAAAGCGTAATAGTGAAATACCAAAACTTAGCCCTGAGAATTACTAAATTATTGAACTTCAGGTCAGAGAGTGCCACAAGCATGGGGGCAAAGAAAAAGAAACAAGCTTCTGTGAAGCAAGTGCAGGTTGTCAGGAGCTGTGGCAGAATCTGGGGCCGGGAGGAAGGGGGTGACCTGATGGGACAGTCCTTCATTACATTGTTTGAATGTAACTGACTACTCTTGCAGGTTGCGGGATTGTAGCTTTAAGCAGAGTGGGAAAAGAGGCCAATATTTAGGGTTTTCTTGGCTAACAGAGAGATCACAGAATTTGTGCTTCAGAAGTTGGTAATTTGAATATTACTCTCCTGAGTGCCCAATTATCAAACGAGGCAACCAATGTAGCAAGCCAGATTTTCTAGAGATTGACAATTAGAATCTATAAAACAGAGCAGTAACTTCTGAGGCCTAGGTATCTTGGGAAACTCCTTTGTTACAGCTGAATTGCACAGAAAATATATTTATGGTAACAAAAAACAAAACAAAAACATGGCTATTATAAATTTTCACGCAAGTTCTCATACCAGTCAAGAGAGAGATTGATGTTTTGGTAAACGCCTTGTCTCTAATTGTTTATAAAAAGCTGCTTCTAAATGGCTTTATGGTTTAGAATTCTGTCTCCTTTTGCATTTTTATCAATAGCATCTTCCTCCCAACTTTATACCTATAATTATTTTTAATAAAGAGCCTCTAATTAGAAGAGCCTGCAGTCTCTGGGCCTTGCACAGGAGTTGTGCTGTTAGCACAGAATGAGAAAAGTCAATCCTAATGAAACTAAAACTTACAAACTAAAAAAGAAGAATGTTAAATTTTGACAAATAAAATAGGAAGCCTGTAGTACTCTGCTTCTATAGACCAGAACTTCAAAACCCAGCCAAGTTGCCTTGGTGTGGAAAGGTAGCAATAAAAATATAAATGTAGATTCCAGAAAAATCTACATAATCATTAAAGAGATGAAACACAAAATGAAATCTTCAGGAAAGTACTGTTGGTGAGCGTTGAATCCTTAGGACATTAAAAACAGTACAAAACGGACAAGTGGGTTCATTCCACTAATGCAAACGTGCTTCAGTGTTAGATCTTCTGTTACTACAACAGATTCCTTATCCAGAATCTTTGAGAATCTGAGCTAATAGAGATTAATAGTGTTTCTGGAATTGAGATAATTCCAAAAACGCAGAATGAGAAATCGAGCTAATCCCAGTATCTTGGTTGCCTTTCAATTTGGATCAAGGAATGGGATGTATAATATTATTGGCACATTTGCACCTCTGTGCTTTAAAACAGTGTTAGCCACAAAAACACGAGTCACCATTGAGACCCATCATGACAAATAAGTTACTAGTTAGATTGCCATTAGTATGAGTGCAATCACAGTTTATCCCGTTTCCCTATTTGTCAATATTCTGTTCTCTACATATTTTCGGTATTACAAACAATGCTGCAACAAAAATGCTTATATATTGTTTTTCTACACAGGTACTTATATTTCCTTAGGCTGGGTATATTGAAAATTAGAAACACTGGGTGAAACGCTAAATACTTTTAAATTTGATACTGCTAAATTCCCTCCAAAAAGGCTATAATCTTTTGTACTTTTCCCAATCCCTACTCCCCATGTATGCTTTTATTCCCCTCACTGCTTGGCAATGAGTGATGCGACAACTTTCCCAAAATTTCTCAGACTGACATTCAAGGCTCTCTCAAGCTTAGAGCCATCTCACATTTTTTGTAGAGGTTCCCAACATTTGTAGAATTGTGTTCTGTGGTTCCCTCTTTCAGCCAATTCAAGCTACCTTCTCTCTTCCAAGATCCCTCATAGTTTTTGACCCATATGCCTTCTTGTGTTCTAGCACTATGATGGATTGCTTTAAAAGCATATTTGTAAGATGTTTCCGTTGGAGGAAGCTGGATAAAAGGGTACATGGAACTCAATGGATTACTGTTGCAGCTTCCTATGAGTCGATAATTATTTCAAAATTAAGTTTTTTTAAAAAGCATATTTATCATTTCTAGGGATTTAAATTGAGAGGGGAAGTCTGGAGCAAGTACTCAGTTGGGTACTTATTGCATCATGACTGTTTTGTTTTGAATCATTACCAAAAAGTATATTATTTTTTAAATGGCAATAAAATTCCGCATACCTTTTTAAGAAGAAGGAATGAGGTAGATTGATATATGCAGATGTGAAAAGAAATTTATAAAAAAATAACTTGAACAAACAAACAAAAAAAAACCACTTGATTTTGGGGGATTCCCTGGTGTCCCAGTGGTTAGAACTCGGTGCTTTCATTGCCGTGGCCCGGGTTCAGTCCCTGGTCAGGGAGCTAAGATCCCGCAAGCTGCGCTGCGAGGCCAAAAAAAAACTTGATTTTTTTGTATTTGTCCTTTTTAACACAGAACTTGTATTTCATTTCTAACCTGATAAACAAAATCAGAGAATTGGAGTGAATTACAAAGATATGTTTCAATAAAAAGATTCTCAAAAATGAATTGGAATAAACTTTATAACAGCTATGGATTTATCGTTCTAAAGATACCAGTTTGTGTCCACTTTTTGCAAATGTTTCCTGTAAAAGTTCTCTTTGATGGTGATAACCTTGTAAAGCTATGTTGATGAAGCCTCATTAAACTTTATGTAAAATTAGATGCAATAATTAAAGATCAATCACAGTACTCCTATTTTCAGGGATCCAGAGTCATCTTCCTTTTCAGTCTGGATCACAGTGGCCCACTTGTTGGAGGAAAGCTAATTACTAGTCATTATTTTGAAGCATCTTATATTGTTACCAAATAATACCAGCACCCAATTGATCTGTTTGTATGTTTCAGGGCAATTCCATATTATTATGACTTCTTATCACCCAGGGCCTTGGTAAAATTAAACTTTCAAACCAGAAACTGGGCTTCCACCTGGTAATTCTGTTCCCAAACTTGGGGCAAGCCTCAGGTGTGAGCTGGTATGCTCTGCCCAGTTTAATGTCCACCCCTAGAGATGGTGTCCAGATGAGATTTGAAAGGGAGGATCCCCGACATTGTCCCAACTCAGTGTCTCCTGAGATGTACTCCGTCCTTGCACTTTCTAAAATAAACTGTTACATGTAAGTAATTCTGTAACTCATTATTTTCCACAGGCTTTTTGGAAGGGACATAAACAGCGGGCCTCTTATATGCACAGGAGACAAATGTTCATTGATAATATTCCTTCTGTTGTGAAGGTAAACACCCTTTCCTACCTTAGTGCTTGACTTAAACTCTTCCCTTCATTTTCGTTTTGCTTCTAGAAGACAGACTATGTTTGAGCCTTGACATCAGAAGCAAGTCCTGGGTTTGAGTCATACCTCCACTACTCACTTAGCTGATCACCTTCAAGCAAGTCCATGAAAACACTCTATTGTCTCTGGTCCTTTATAATATATGCTCTTTCTCTAACAAGTCCAAATTGATTATTTAAAATCTGGAGGAAGCCCAGTTTTATTTTATGTTCTTCTTATGGTCTTCGCTAATGATGTTTAGAATGCTCAAATTTAACAGTGCAAACCTTAGTTGTAACGCAAATGCAAAGCCAATGACAAGAGAAAGTAGAGCTGAGTTAGGGCCTGTATTTAGGTGGTGGGCTGTTCTAACCCAGCTTCCCACCAAGGCTGGTTGCTCCGAGCTTAGAGAAAGAACACGCAATGGAGTGCCCACTGTCTCAGAGCTGAAAACTAAAGAACTGTACAGCAGTGAACTTGTAGAAACTTGGAAATCCAGATCAGAGTCACAAGAGTGGGACTGGAGAGAGATGGGACTCAGATGAGATTTGTGAAGACTTTTTAAACCGTGAGGACAAAGAATGACATGGTCTAGACCCCTTGTGCATTACTAGCTCCTGAATGAAATGTCCTTTGCTCACCCTGGAACACATGCTTATTCGCTCAGAAAACCATGGGTCACAGTTGGTCCCTCGTGAGACCTCTTGAAATGTTTTCCTGTAAAGACCTAAAGAATATTCGCTGCGTTTAAGAGATGTGGGAAGCAACCCTGAACTTGGTTTCATTTGATCCCCTGACCCGTGGCAACTCTCAGCAAAATGCCTTGCCTGCTTGGCTTTTATTTACTGAGATTAAAGCCAAATAGTACGAAGAGCTACATTACCTTCCCCACCATAACGTGTAACATGTTCTGAACCCCTAGGAGAAAAAGCAACGAAGGAAGTAGAAGGTGAAGATTAAGCTTTAGATGTTTATTAGTTGGTAGGCTGCTAATTTTTACTTTTTTATCAAATTATCTCTCTATTATTTTTAAAAGACTCCATAAAGAGATATGAAAGGTTATCTGGTAATTGCCTGGATTTCTCTTTTTAACTTATTTTTAGATTCAGTCCTGGTTCCGGATGGTAACAGCACGAAAGAATTACCTCTCACGACTGAAGTATTTCAGAGATCATGTAAGAGACACGCATGTGGATTTTTATCCTGGCTGAGAATGAACTAAATGAATACTTTGTTGAATGTTAGCATTGAATGATTTTTATTAAATGGTGGAAATGAACACTAGGAGGAGAAAATAGGTTTTAGAACTCAATGTGATACCATTTGGAGGCTTCTTACATTTTTTTATTCAGAACTCAGGTTCAGAGTGAGACTTCACCATTCGGAACTGGAAAGGAAGTGGGTGAGAGAAAACTGATGTGGGCTAGTAATGCCAGGGAGAAAAGATTCAACTTTCCAACATTACTTGTAAAGTGCTTATTACTGCTAACCGAGTAATTTAAATAGACACCCGCAGGAGGAATTTTTTTAGGATCTTTGAAGAATAGATATGTGAACATAGATTGGACCAACTAAATTTGGTGGTAAAATTCTTTTCCCTTTTTAAATCTCTTTATTTAAACGGTCCCTTTGCAGTCTTGTTTATATTTTAGCTAACTTATTTGCCCCTTTCTTCAAAGAGAATGCAAAAATAAACATTGACTGCACCACATCTAAATACTATCAGTTCTAAATAGTGTCGCTTTTGAAAACGCTGTCACTTCTTAAATAGTTCTAAATTCTAAAATAGTGGAGTAGATGGGACTCTGGGAGGTTGTGACTGGTCTTGTTTTTTCCGCAGAACAATGAAATTGTGAAAATACAGTCTCTATTGAGAGCAAACAAAGCTAGAGATGACTACAAAACATTGGGTAAGTGGGAGCATTCTGAGACAAAGTATCCCTTATTAACCAGGCAAGGACAAGTTATTTCCATCTGAGTCACTTCAGTGGCGGCTCCAAAAACAGAGGATGCCCGTTATTTCCAGTAGATTTTGACCATCTCAGGCCCCAGGTTCTGAACCAGTACACAAAGGAAGATGTGATGACAGGAAGTGGGCCCTTCTATCTAAATGGAGTGGGGTAAATGCAGTAGATGTGATTTCTTCTTCAAAAGGAATGGGCTGCATGGGGTGGGGGGATAAAGTAGGAGTTTGAGATTAACATATACACACTACTATATATAAAATAGATAATCAACAAGGACCTACCATATAGCACAGGGAACTATATTCAATATCTTATAATAACCTATAATGAAAAAGAATATTAAATATATATATATATATATATCTGAATCACTTCACTGTACACCTGAAACTAACACAACATTGTAAATCAACTACACTTCAATTTTTAAAATATGGAGTTGGTATAAATGCTGATGTTTTATATTAAATTTGAGCTAGAGGCAGGAATCTAATGCAAAAGAGCCAGAAGATAAACTTAAATCTGAATACTGTTTAATCTATTACCTGGCCTGTGATTTTTTTTCCTCTCATTTTAAGAATGAAACAGTCATATAAGAAATTTGGAAATATGAATAAGAAGGGAAAAAGCACACAGTTTCACCTCCCAAAGATAACTACAAACATCTTCCTATAATTTCATTCTGGACTTCTCATAGTACCTATGGTTTTTTAAATCATCTTCCTTATACTAATAGTATATGCCATTTGTAGAAAGTTTGAAAACAGCAAAATAAAATAAAAATCACCCAGAAATAGCATTTGTGCTGTCAGTTTCAGCTCTGCGTATGTTTGTCATTCTGTTGTTGTTGTTGTTTTTACATAGTGAAGATCATTCTTTATATGCTAAAGTTTTAACATTCTTACTATCACAAGAACATGTAATAAAGAACGTGTCATAGATTAAGTCTAGAAGGGCTTGCTGATAAGTTTATTAGTACTGCCTAAATTCTTCAAATATTCAGGTCATTCAAGATTAGTTTTGAGAGGGCAAAACAAATCAGTGTGTATTTTAGTAATGAAAATGGCCATTATGTTCTAACTGCCTTGTTTCTTACTTTTTTTTTTTTTGGAGGAAATAAAGAACTGTTCAGTTATGTTGCTAGCACAGTGCTACTAAGTAGTTTCACCAACACCCTTTATTGTCAAAAGTCTGTCTGAATTATGGAGTGAAGTGTATGGCCTAAGAAAGATCTTCCCTGGTACTTGTTAAGGAAAAGTATCCGGCAGCCTCAGAGGCCAGGTTCTGCCTCAAGCCCGTGGAATCTTCTGGATACTACCTCATTCTACTAGATTCCAGAATCCAGCATGCAAACTGAGGGAGGAAAGGTCCCCAGTCTTTCCAATGCCACACTGCTCCACTTTGGAATTGATGAGATTCGTCTCTTAGTTGGTAGATAATCTTTAATTTTTTATAAGGAAGCTGAATAGGGGGTTTGTTTTCTGAGCCCTAACACACTAAAATAGGTAATTTAAGGGTAAGTTTTCCAAACAAACACAGGCTGCTTTTCGTTTCCTTCTAGGGAACATGTTTTTGTAGGTGGTTGTGATGATGCTTGTTACTTGCTTACTTTTTTTTTTTTTTTTTAAGTTACAAAGATAAAAGAAATTCCAGTTTAAAAATCTAAGTGAGGGCTTCCCTGGTGGCGCAGTGGTTGAGAGTCTGCCTGCCGATGCAGGGGACACGGGTTCGTGCCCCGGTCCGGGAAGATCCCACATGCCGCGGAGCGGCTGGGTCCGTGAGCCATGGCCACTGAGCCCGCGCGTCCGGAGCCTGTGCTCCGCAACGGGAGAGGCCACAACAGTGAGAGGCCCGCGTACCGCAAAAAAAAAAAAAAAAAAAAATCTAGGTGATTTCCTGTTAAAGCATAGAAGGCAGATAGAAACTATGTTAGTGAATAAATCAGATAGATCAAAACTGCTCTGGGTTTTGGCAAATAGGGTGGCTTTGTGGTAACTGAATTGTAAATTTTCATTTCTTTCTCAATTCAGCATCTTCATAAAACGAAGGCATTTTTTTCAGCTGAAAAACATCACTTTTATTAGTCTGTCATGATTCATTTTCACCCATTCCCTCCAGAAAGGCACTGAATGCATTCAGGTTTAGAAGTTGCTGGAACCGTAATGTGGCCATTTGTAAGTGCTGACTGTTAAGTTGTGTGGTTTCCTGAAATGAAAGTACCACCAAGTGGTATGAAGATATCATGAAGATGCCAAAAAGCCAACTGTTGATAGAGGAACTATTACATTTGAGCCATAATAATTAGTAAAGCTAAAATATTAATTTGTCTCTACCAGGCCTGTTAGCACATAAAATGATACACAGTTTTTGAGAGCCAGGAGAGAGAACTTTAGACACAAATGCGGTGGCTTATGTTCTCTCAGCTACATGAATGAGCTCTGGTGTGTGGCTCAGGCTGTTTCAGAAATGGTCATGTCATCAGCAACATCTTTGCTGAAATAGAAGGAAAATAAATTCATGTATGCTTCAGTGATCAGGAAGAAAAGGGTCCATGATCCAAGGTGACTTGGAATCTAGTGGAATATGAGCTATTATTATCCAGTAAATTCTGAGCCTGGAAGCAGAATTGGACCTCTAAAGCTTCCTAAGGCTTTTCTTTGACAAGTGCCAATAAAGACCATCAGATGGGGAACAACAGTAATACAGATGACTCTAGATTTGGTTGTTCATGATGAGTTCATGCTGTTAATTGTGTTGTTGGTTGAGCTCTGTATTCCTTAAGTGTCAAGAGACCACAGAACTAAACAGAAGTATAAGGAAGCAGTGCAAGAGAATTAAAGCACAATTAAGGTTCAAGGCACTAAGGGAAAGCCCTTGTAGAATTTATATAGGTATTCCTCTCAACAACTGAGCCTGGTCTCCTAGGTGCTGAATGCCCTCCCTGGTCCATCCTGAAAGGACTCAGGATTCAGTTTCTAAAATTGCTTCATTTCTGCCAAGTAGAACATGTGTTCCAGTTGTCATTCTGTTGGCTCCTGTTAGACCTTACAGTTCTCCCTTGACTGACATTTTCTAATTCACCTTTCACCTAATTCCTGCTCCTTCCCCAAGGTCTTTTGGGCTGGGAAAACAAAAAACAAAAAAAAACCACCTCTTTCTGCTTCCTGCAGCAAGAACAGAAATCTCTTATCTGGCTCAGCCACAAGCTCTTAGAGCCGGGGCAACTCACGTTAGCATTCTTTCCCAGGTTCCTCATCAATAAGACACTGATAGATAGAGCTATCTCCTCAGTGCGTGGTCCTGGGAACAGCATGAGAGAGGGCTGATAAACGGGTGCTAGATGAGGAATTAGTGAGGCCCAACCTTATCAGTGGTGTGCATTTATTTATACGATCCGTTTCCCCGTCCAGATTTGACATGAGGCAGGATGATTCACTCTGGAGACCAAGCACGTCTGTCGCTCTATTTTTCTGTCAATGCTTTATTTAAAGACCTGATTTCTTTCCTACTGATGATCCGTTCAAGCACGCCCAGTTAAAGCACACCTTTCCTTTCCTTGCAGTTGGCTCTGAAAACCCGCCGTTAACAGTAATCCGCAAATTTGTACACCTGTTGGACCAAAGTGACTTGGATTTCCAGGAGGCTCTGGAGGTAGCACGATTAAGGGAAGAAGTGGTGACCAAGATCAGAGGCAATCAACAGCTGGAGAAAGACCTGAACCTGATGGACATTAAGATTGGGCTCCTGGTAAAGAACAGGATCACACTGGAGGTCAGTGGGGTTTGTGGGACTGTTGGTTCCCAGAAGAGAGAAGACGCTCGTATATTTGCCCACAACACTCTGGTCCAGCTAAGTTCCTTTGGAGTCCAGAAGGAGTGGCCCAAAGTTTATTTACCATTTTCATTACCACTTTATGGTCTTAGACCTGCAAAATTCTGTGCCCCCCTTTTATGACATTTGGTAAGACTTCTTTACCATTCTGAAAGGAGATTTATGTAAAATAAAACCAACTTACATATGTACCTTCATAGCAAGGCTAAGGCCTTTCTATAAATATAAAAGAGAAATTCAAAGAAATGAATTTATAGTAAAAATACATATTTCAATATGAAAATACATGGGCCTGATGCCATTAGATGTGATAATGTTACCAGAGACTTGGGCCTCTTCACAGAATAACCACAGATTGAGAGAGCTACAGATGAGACTGGTCAGGTGAGTGGTGGAACTGGCCATGAGTTCTTTTTTCCAAAGTGGAGAACAACTCTTTGTAATAAGCCCTTGAACAGCAAAGTGTGGTCTTTCTCCACCCCCCACCACTTGACATGGAGTTGCCATCCTAGAAAATTAAGTTTATATTAAAATTGTGAGAATCTATGTTGTGCTTATATGTAAAACTATTAGATTCTAGGCTCAAGCAATTATGCACAGAATTTTGACCTACGTGAATGACCAGCAGGACATTAAAAAATCCAGCCATGCGACATATGGACAGTTATTTACACAGGACCATCCTACAAACTGCAGGACAGCAGAGCATCTGTCCTCCCCAGGCCCCGCTTACTGGAAGCCAGTGGTGTCTCCAATCCATCAGATGTTAGCCCTCCCCAATCCACATTTCCAAAATGACCCCCTACAGAGTGGCATTTCCCTAATAATAGCCTCCAAATAAATAATGCTGTAGTTTTGTATCTGTGAGAAACCTGCCAGTGTCAAAGCTCCCCCAAACTATGTGAAAAGTGTCATTTTTACCCAAGAAAAGGAGATTTCCAGGGTAAGACCTCTCTCCATGTCCCTGTTCCCATGCCACGTCAGTTTTCAGAAAACCAACAGGGCGGGGCAGGGCAAGTTGACCTTCCGGATGCCCTGAGAAGGCTACAGTGGGTCAGAGGTAGAGAGCCAGCTGCTGGTGTGGTTCTGGAAAACTACCAGGTGAACAGGCATGGGAGGCTACCAGCTAAGTGGACATGGGATCGCCTCACTCTTGTCTCCGGCCCTCACAGAGATACCAGCAAAATAGTGCCGAGAAAATAAGGAAACGAGAGCAACTCGTAAGACAGGAAATGATCATCTTTTCTAAATATTAAGGGAAAAAACTACAAATTTAAAAGTTCTGCTTTTAACTCTATTTTCATTGTTTTATCCAGGAAAGCAATAGTACTTTAGTCTTTTAAAAAAATAATAATGTGTTTGTATTGTTGGATACATATGAAAACTTTTAAAGTATAATATATTCCAGAAGGTCCTTCAGAGAATGCCTTTTATAGCTTTACACTGCTGTTGTACCCTACTCCCATAAAGTTGTAAACAGGAAATGCCTTGCCTTTTAAAATAAAGGCTTAGTTGCAAAAGAGTAGTAGAAATATGTAGCTTGTGGAAATACAAATGTGGCAGATTTTCGGATCTTTACGAGTGTTTAAGATTTTTTAAAGCATTACTAATTGTTAGCATTGTGAAACAAAGTTAATTTTTCGCCTTATATTTTCAAACACCAAATATTTATCAAACACTGATTAGAAGTTAAACTAATGATTCTCAAGGACGTACTCTTTTGTCTTATCATTAATAGTAGCATTTTTGGTTTGATGATAAGAATAGTGCAGTTGAAGTTTTATTTACAGTAGTGAAATAATGGGGAACAACCCAAACCCGAAAACAACAAACAGAGGACAGTAGAACCAGTCCGACATGTATGTTACACAACCACTAAAACTAACGTTTCTGAAGAATATTTAAGGGCAGGGGAAAGGGTTGCAATATAATGGAGAAGAAAATAGTACCTAAAACAGTACGATTTCATTTGTTGTAAAAAGTAGATATACACTTAAGCTAAAAGAAAAAAATTAAGCTCTTTTTCTTTGCATGGTAGAATTAGCCATATATATATATATATTTTTTTTTAACATCTTTATTGGAGTAAAATTGCTTTACAGTGTTGTGTTAGTTTCTGCTGTATAACAAAGTGAATCAGCTATACATATACATATATCCCCATATCCCCTCCCTCTTGCGTCTCCCTCCCACCCTCCCTATCCCACCCCTCTAGGTGGTCACAAAGCACAGAGCTTATCCCCCTGTGCTATGCAGCTGCTTCCCACTAGCTGTTTTGCATTTGGTAGTGTATATATTCCATGCCACTCTCTCACTTCGTCCCAGCTTACCCTTCCCCCTCCCCGTGTCTTCAAGTCCATTCTCTACATCTGCGTCTTTATTCCTGTCCTGCCCCTAGGTTCATCAGTACCTTTTTTTTTTTAGATTCCATATATATGTGTTAGCATACGATATTTGTTCTTGTCTTTCTGACTTACTTCACTCTGTATGACAGACTCTAGGTCCATCCACCTCACTACAAATAACTCAGTTTTGTTTTTTTTATGGCTGAGTAATATTCCATTGTATATATGTGCCACATCTTCTTTATCCATTCATCTGTCAGTGGACCCTTAGGTTGCTTCCACGTCCCGGTATAGTTTTTAATTTTTTTAACAATGAGCATTTGTTGAGAAAAAAGTTTAAAGGGAAGTGGCTTAGTTCTTACAGAGCAACTCTGGCTCTCTCTAGTAACCATGTGTCTTACAATTCTTTTAAAATTGGCGTTCCTTCTGGAAACCTCAGAAAGTCGGTGGGCGAGTGAGTGAAGTAGCTAATATTGGTTTTAAGCAAAAGAAGAGGTTTGGAAATGGAGACAGACAGCTGAAGTAGAAGTTTCTGGGAGGCATAGGGAGGAAGAAAGGTCTAGATTCAAACTAGCTTGAAGGAAAACCAAAGTAGAAATTGAAAGTAATCTTGAATTGCTAAAATTCCTATTGATGGGTGTGTCGTATCACATGAGTGCAGACTTGTAGGCCAGGGCTGTCTGTAACCCAGGATTGAAATTTATTGTATTGCTTAACTTCTTTGCTTCTTTATGAGCATATTTCCTTGGGTATATTCCTTAACCTCTCTAAGCCTTGTTTTTCTTCACTGGAAAATGTGCTAAGTGCCCTACGTGGATTGTTTTTTTGTTTGTTTTTTTGTTTGTTTGTTTTGCGGTACGTGGGCCTCTCACTGTTGTGGCCTCTCCCGCTGCGGAGCACAGGCTCCGGACGCGCAGGCTCAGCGGCCATGGCTCACGGGCCCAGCCGCTCCGCGGCATGCGGGATCTTCCCGGACCGGGGCACGAACCCACGTCCCCTGCATCGGCAGGCAGACTCTCAACAACTGCGCCACCAGGGAAGCCGCATGGATTGTTTTTATCTTCACAGAAGCTCAGTAAGATTGCTATCATTAAACCCATTTTATAGATTTAAGGAAACTGAGTCTTAGGTTAACCTGAGCAAGGTCACAAAACTAACTGTGCTTTGCAGATACTTGTATTTTTATGACTCCAAAGCCCAAGCCCCTTGCCTTAGTCCACACCTTCTACAAAAGTGCGTATACTCTAGCATATTACCTGCATGCGGATATCCTGTTACCAGGGGAAGGGAAAAGATGGTGGCAACTAAGGCAACATTGAGATGTGGGAATATTATGAACAAGTTAAATACTGTTGCTCCTTCGAACCAGTATTCCTCAAATGTTCAATATTTATTGGTAAGAATGGAGGACATTGGGCTTCCCTGGTGACACAGTGGTTGGGGGTCCGCCTGCCGATGCAGGGGACGTGGGTTCGTGCCCCAGTCCGGGAAGATCCCACATGCCGCGGAGCGGCTGGGCCCGTGAGCCATGGCCGCTGAGCCTGCGCGTCCGGAGCCTGTGCTCCGCAACGGGAGAGGCCACAACAGTGAGAGGCCCGCATACCGCAAAAAAAAAAAAAAAAAAAAGAATAGAGGACATGAGATCTCTATTAATAAAAAGCATATGCCTCTCTTTGGAATGCCTGTCTGGGTTGGCCTTTGTCCCCTTCTTCAAGCTTTCCAAGGCAAACCTCCATTCACACCAGAGCTTTTGTGAGCCAGGTGTAATTTCACAGGGAAGACAGAAGAAGGGCTTATCCCATTGAAGCGTGCTGCTCTGTACTTGGATCTCCAGCAGACAGACGGTTCCCGTGGCACAGCTGCTGGCTCTCCTCTCCCCTCCCACTTCCCCTCCAGGGCTCAGCATTTGACTCTGCTCTTTCCCTTCCTCCAGTGCTCTTCCTGAGCTGTCTTCACCAAATCTGTTAATAATGCGAAGGAACTTGGTTCTGCCCTAGAGCTTGCTTACCACCCCATCCTCTGTGCTCTTCTGTATATGTCAAAAACATTACCCTAAAGATGAAAGTCTGCAGCAAAACAAAGGAATAGTCTCCAGTTTCCAGAGCTACTTCCATTGCAAGTAGTTGGGGGACATCGGGGGTGAGGGGGGCCAGTGATGGGGAGGTTAAGTACCAAGATTTTTTTTCTTCTGTATATTTAAAATCAAGATAATCAATTTATTCCATGTATTTGGGGGAATTGAATCTCTACACATCACCAGTTATCTGAAGAGGAGAAACCTGGGTTAAATGGAACCGTAAGCCAGTTAGTCTAGTGATGTCTTAGGACTTCTTATAGATAAGGGTATCAGGCCACCGCCTGCCTAGACTTCTCCCGAACCTCCATCTGGAGGTAACTACGCTTCCTTTCTTCATCTTGAATGTGATTTATATATTTGTGAAAGAAGGGGGGAAGTGTCGCCTTCTTAAAATTTTTATAGAAATGAAAATCAAATTCCTCCTCTTTCCCCATATAAACAATTAGGGGAACAGAAGTAAAGGATTAAGTCAAGTTTCCCCTCTCTCAGCTGAGAATAAAGAAGAATGAAGTCATAGACCTTGAAGGCAATGGATGTAACCACATAGAACTATCTAATCTCAACGCTCCAAGGGTTGTTTTGGGGTTTTTTTTCTACCTATGAGCTGACCCCAGCTATGGGAGAAGGGGGTGCTGGGGGGTGAATAGATTTGGAGCTTGTCCTGTACAGTGGTTCTCATCCGCAGGGATAATTGGAAATGGGGACAGGCACATTTTTTGTTGTCAAAATGACAGGAGTCCCTACTGGCATTTGGTGGAGAAGGGCCCAGGATGCAAGATGGGCAGCAGTGCATGCACAGCAAAGCATGGTAGTGCCTGAAATGCCCGGAGGGCCCCCCTCAGGACTGGTGGTGGAGAATCCTGATACTGGCTGCAAACAGAGTCCTCATGTGGAGGCTGGGCTAAGAGCTCAGGGAAGCAGATGGAAGAAGTTTTAGGAAAAACAACTTTCTTGCCATCTATGCTCTGGGATGGTGACCCAGTGTTCAGTGGCAAAGGAGGCATTCTAGAGCTGTGGCTTTCGTGTAAGTCACATTCCATTAGTGAGTCATGAAATCAATTTAGTGTATCACTTCAGCAGATTTTAAAAATGGAATAGAAAAAAAGCAAATTGAAACGGTCAGAGTGTGTCCCAGTAGTAAGAATAAGCATCCTTTCGTATAGTGTGTGTGGGTAAGTTTGCCAATAAAAGACATAAAATGTATTTTTTACTGTGGGTTTCTGTAAAAATGTTTGGTAGATCCATATCTAAACGATCTACTCTGGTTCATGAGCCTTTAAGCCCCTGAAGGGGACACAGTAGCCTCAGTGACCTCTTGACAATGTTTCCAGCCACACATTTTCCACATTTCCCTGTAAATAAAGGAGCATGATTGGGAGGGAAAACCCTTAACTTTGTTAAATATTTAGAGGCTTCTCTTCCCTTCCATTTCTAATTTCTACATTGCATATTTTTTGCAAGTGCTTCTATAGTTTCAAAAGATATAATTCATTCTTTGAAAGGTTACAGGTTAGTAGTGTTTAGTATATTCCCAAAATTGTACAACTATCACCTCTCTCTGACTCTAGAACATTTCATCACCCCAAAAAGAAACCCCAAAGAAAATGTTCTGGAATTGGATTGTGGTGACAGTTGCACAACCTTGCAACTAGATGGAACACCACTGAATTGTACTCTTTAAAAGGATGAATTGTATAGTAAATGAATACTATTTCAATTGAAAAAATACCCATATTCATTAACAGTCATTGCCTATTCACTCCAACTCCCAGCCACAGCAACCTTTAGTATACTTTCTATCTTGATAGATTTGCCTGTTCTGGTTTTTCATATTAATAGAGTCACACAATATGTCTTCTGTTGTGACCAGCTTCTTTCACTTAGCATAGTGTTGGGTTTTTTTTTCGCGGTACGCGGGCCTCTCACTGTTGTGGCCTCTCCCGTTGTGGAGCACAGGCTCCGGACGCGCAGGCTCAGCGGCCTATGGCTCACGGGCCCAGCCGCTCCGCGGCATGTGGGATCTTCCCAGACCGGGGCACGAACCCGTGTCCCCTGCATCGGCAGGCGGACTCTCAACCACTGCGCCACCAGGGAAGCCCATAGTGTTTTTAAAGTTCACTATTTTGTAGTAGCATAAATCAATCCTTCATTCCTCTTTACTGATCAATAACATTCCATTGTGTGGATGCACCACATTTTGTTTGCCCATTTATCAGTTGATGGACACTTGAGTTGTTCCCTCTTTTCAGCTGTTATGAGTAATTCTGCTATGAGCATTCATGTACATGTTTTTCTGTGGACATATGTTTTCAGTTCTCTTCAGTATATACCTAACAGTGAAGTTGCAGGGTCGCATGGTCACCTGTGTTTAACTTCTGAGGAGCTGCCAAATAACTGTTGACGTTGAGCATCTCTTCGTGTGCTTATTAGCCACTCGTAGGTCTTCTTTGGGAAAACGTCTGTTCACATCCTTTGCCCATTTTTTAATTGGGTTATTTGTCTTTTTATTTTTGAGATGTAGGAGTTCTTTATAGTATATTGTGGGTACAAGTCCCTTATCTAAGAAATGATTTGCAAATATTTTGTCTCATTCTATGGGTTTTCTTTATTGATAATGTACTTTGAAGCACAAAGGTTTTAATTTTTATGAAATCCACTTTATTTTTTTCTTTTGTTGCTAGTGCTTTTGGTGTCGTATGTAAGAAACCATTATCTACATGCACAAAGATGCATGTACAAGAAGGCTCCCTACACACTCTGAAATAGTAATAAAATGTAAAGAAACTGTCTATCAAAAGGAATATGATTAAATAAATTATCACACACACACACCCCTAAAAGAAACCATTGCTTAATCCAGGGTAACAAACATTTTTGCCTAGGTTTTCTTAGAAGAGTTTTATAGTTTTAGCTCCTACATTTAGTTCTTTGATCTCTCTTTTTTTTTTTTTTACATCTTTATTGGAGTATAATTGCTTTACAATGGTGTCTTAGTTTCTTCTTTATAACAAAGTGAATCAGTTATACATATACATATGTTCCCATATCTCTTCCCTCTTGCGTCTCCCTCCCTCCCACCCTCCCTATCCCACCCCTCTAGGTGGTCACAAAGCACTGAGCTTATCTCCCTGTGCTATGCGGCTGCTTCCCACTAGCTATCTATTTTACGTTTGGTACTGTATATGTGTCTATGCCACTCTCACTTTGTTTTGAGTTAATTTTTGTTTATGGGATGAGATCTGACTTCTTTCTTTTGAACCTGGATATCCAGTTGTCCCAGCATCATTTTTTGAAAGATTATCCTCTCCCTGTTGAATTGTCTTGGGACCTACATCACATCCTAAGAACAAATGCATACAGCTTTGGAGAACAAATATTACAAAAGCCAAATTCACCTGCAATTTGGATTTTCTTAATTTCTTTAACATTCTCTGTCCGTTTGTTTCTTCGTGAGGGAAATGTGGAAAATTAATCTTTCCAACTGTGTGCGTCTCAGGGTGTCTGAGAAGGAAGGGGGTAAAGAGTACCAGCATAAAAAGTAGTAATTTCATAAAAATTTTTTCCAGGATGTAATTTCACACAGAACAAAACTGAATAAGAAAAAAGGTGGAGAAATGCAAATACTGAATAACACTGACAACCAAGGGATCAAAAGTTTGAGTAAGGAGAGAAGAAAAACACTGGAAACATATCAGCAGCTTTTTTATCTTTTACAGGTGAGAACAATTTCTTTCACTGTGAGTTTTGGGTAAATGCTATGTCCCCGTTGGTGTTTTACAGTAGATCTTGTCCCATGCTAAGGCTATAATCGTTTACATGTTCTGAGCACTATTAAGTACCAAGTGCTATTCTAGGTGCTTGATATACATTATCTCATTTTAATTCTTAGTACAGCCCTGGGAACCATCAAAAAATAATTTACTGATATTCCTGTATTACATGTGAGAAAACTGAGACACAGCCAGTAAATGGGAAAACAAGGGTATTGGGACCCTGGCAGTTTGACTTAAAACTTCAGTCACGCTCTTCATGACTACGTTATACTGCTATCGGCAGAAACAGTATAAATCTAATAATAGCATCAGATGCTGTCAAACATGAAAAGATTAAAGTAACTGTATGAAAAACAGATCTGTACCAGGACCAGACTGCCCTTCTTTTGAGGGAGGAGCCAGAGAGTTTGGATTAGGGAAATGGGATCCCTTTTTTATTTCATTATTTCCATGGCATGACTGTGATCTAAGTGAACAGTAATTTTCCATTGCTTCAAGAGTGTGGGTGAGAACTAAGCTGGACTGGTTAGGGCTGGACTCTGTCTGGTGGACTAGTTTTTTGTTTGTTTGACCATTGATCAACCTCATCCGCCCACCAGCACATACAATTAGTCCCAAAGGAAACAGTGAGCGATAGTGAGAGATAGAAACAAAGCCTCGCCTCGGCAGGAAAACTTTCCCAAAAAAAGATGGATCAGCAGTTCTTCCTTGAAAGTCAGGTGTCCCTGGGGCCGCTGCTGCTGGCAGTGATTCCGTCAAGGCGTGGAGATGCTTGAATCTTTGCTTGAGGACGTCGCTGGCATTAGGTGCACAGAGAACACATTACCCAAAATATAAATGAGGTGTGGCTAGACCCGTTGAGAGAAGAGACGTTAATTTTGGTAGAGTTGAGAATTCTCTACTTTGAGTGGCGAACAGGTGTAGTACTCCAGATGTCCACCATGTGGCAGCATAGAAGGAAAAATGTTAAAACAGAATTGTCCATGGAATCCAGTGCTTAACAACAGCTTCCTTTCCAGAAAGAAAGGGGGCTCGCACTAGGCAGGGGAAGGTTTTTTTGTCTGCTGAAATTAGGTTAATAGGCATCCACCAGTTATAAATTTAATCTTAAGCATTTATCATTTTTTTATTAATTTTTATTGGAGTATACCTGCTTTACAATGTTGTTAGTTTCTACTCTACAGCAAAGTGAATCAGCTATACGTATACATATATCCCCTCTTTTTTGGATTTCCTTCCCATTTAGGTCACCACAGAGCATTGAGTAGAGTTCCCTGTGCTATACAGTAGGTTCTCACATTTATCACTTTTGACATCCATGAACTTCCAAGTGTACGAAGCTTCTTTAGGATTTAGTTTTCTATTGTTGGATTTTCATAGAATTTGTGTCATTTAGGAAGGTGAAAATTTAGTCACTGGCCTAAGATTTGTATAGTTTACCCTGTTATGTAAGTGGAGGCTCATTAATGGGAAGGAGAAAAAGCATAGGAGCGTGTTTAGAATAATTCCACAAGGTTTATTCCCTAAACGATCCAAAACTAATAGAACCAGAGCATGACCATTCAGTACTGAGTGAAGTGTCAAAAAATCGTTTATTTTTCTTCACCTTTTCTCCTGTCTGCTTTGGAGACATTAACCCAAGACCAATGAGGAAGCTATAGAAAAGCAAATGGCGTGGATCCCTTTCGCCTTTGGCATTTCTTAGCCAAAGTAGCAGGTCAGCTAGTGTAGGTTTTGCTATGGGCTTGTCTCTTCTGTATGAGCCTAAATTTAAAGTTTTTAGGTCATCGGAGAGGAATGAGGCTTCTTTGGCTTTAGAGTAATTTTCCTTTCTCAGAAGCCGATATGCTTAGTGTGGGAAAAGAATCACCCCAGAATGCTAAGAAAAAGGTTGTCCTGAGCTGCTTATTCATAAAATTTCAGCCAGTCATTATGAGCTTGAAAGTAAATCTAAGTGGTAAACTAAACTAGAATTAGGGTTTTCTTAAAATTTTTAAAGCCAAACTGCTTGAGACTCTTAAATACTGGTTTCCATGTATGGAAAATTTTCTTTTCTCATCGGAAGGAGGATAAAGAGTAGGACTATCAAATTTCTCTGTCACCTTAATATTATATTTTTTTCTTCTAACCTCCATCTGGTGTAACTCCTTCAGAAAAACCACATTACCACAAAGACTGGTGCTACATCTCTTGAACTCCATCCTAAGCTGAACTACATGTCAAGTTTTTTTTAATTCTTGTCCATCTTTAAATTTTTTTTTAATTTAAAGAGATTCTCTCTTCGGATACCAGGTCTATCAGCCACCCCCCTCTCTCTTCTCTTCTTTTTATCTTAGCCTTCTGGGGTGGTTCTTTTCCCACACTAAGCATATGGGCTTCTTGTCAGGTTCTTCTGGCATTTCCCCCATGAACTATCCTGACCTTCACCCCTCTGTTCAGCCTCCCTGCCTCACTCCTACCTTCTCATGCTTTCTAAAACATCATGGCCATCCCACTGTCTCCACATGTAAATGTATCCTTTTCTTTTCCTTTCTTGTCTCAGAATATGGGATGTGTTTCCTTCTATTCATTCATCAGTCCTTCTAGGACAGTCTATTTGGCTGAGCCCTTGGTCCCTTCTTGCCTCTCTTCGGATACCAGGTCTATCAGCCACCCCCCGCCTCCTGTGTTTCTACAATAAATATTACTGTGCGGCTCCAAATGGTGTAGAGTGTACATAATACAATTATACTCCATTAAATATGTCATGATATAGTATATAAAATTTAAATCCTACCGTAACTTTCTAGTATAACGTCCTATAGTTTAGTATTAGTATTACCTGCTACCTTTTAAAGTCTTAATATGTGCCAGATACTCTTCTATATGCTTTATACATAATAAGTCATTAAAGTGCAAGGAACTGGGGACTCCTCTCTGCTTTTAATAATATATTAACATATAGTTTTGTGGGGGGGTGTTTCTTCTTCTCACTTTCCTTCAGACAAATCCTTTGTACCTCGCTAAGCTGATTTTCCAGATGCCACAGAACAAGTCAACTAAATTTATGGATACTGTTATTTTCACCCTATACAATTACGCTTCCAATCAACGGGAAGAATATCTACTCCTCAAGCTTTTTAAAGCTGCTCTGGAGGAAGAAATAAAGTATGTATATAAGTATATATGTAAAAATACCAATACCTTTTGTTAGTGGTGGCTATCTCTGATTTACTAAAATAATTTTAAAGTTATTCTTATAAGTTATTTATACATACTAAAATTATCAAATTTCTTGAGAAATTGCCACATCATCGTAGATATATTCAGGTACAGCTTTCTCCCAGCAGTGATATCTTTTCTAATGCTAAGTTCACTCTTGATTTTGCAAGTATACAAAGCTCTTTGAAAGTCAGTGGGGGCTTCCCTGGTGGCGCAGTGGTTAAGAATCCTCCTGCCAATGCAGGGGACATGGGTTCAAGCCCTGGTCCGGGATCCTGCATACTGTGGAGCAGCTACGCCTGTGCGCCACAACTGCTGAGCCTGCGCTCTAGAGCCCGCGAGCCACAACTACTAAAGCCCATGCACCTCGTGCTCTGCGACAAGAGAAGCCACCGCAATGAGAAGCCCGTGCACCGCAACGAAGAGTAGCCCCCGCTCACTGCAACTAGAGAAACCTCGCGCGCAGCAACGAAGACCCAATCAGCCAAAAATAAATAAATAAAATAAATAAATTTATATTAAGAAAAAGTCAGTGTGAAAACCTAATTAAAATTATGTGAGTAGTAAAGCCAGAAACAGATGAGGATAATGATCTCTGCTAAATAGTTTTTCCTTCTTACTGGAATTTAAGCTGCTACTAATTTATTTTTTACTCAGTTAATGTAAAAAATGTGTAGGCAGCTATAATGAATTGGGGGGGGGGAACCCATGAGAAATGCCCTTAGCCAACTAGATGGATCTTAACTGTCTTCCTTACTTCTGGATCCCTTAAGCGATGCTAATCCTATAGGTCTCTGAAGCTATTAGCCAGGCACCTCTGCCCTCATGCTGTCTATAAGGCAGCATGAGAAATAGGATTCATGAGAAATAGCAATGCTATGTAGTAGAATAAGGTAAGTACTAAATGAATGATAAGCACAGTGTAACAGATCAGAGGGATGGAAAGAAAAGTGCCAATACAGTCAATCGATAAAGATTGTATGGAAGAGGAAGGAGTTGACCCAAAACCTTGAAGAATATCTACAGTTTTTATAAAAAGAAATGGAAAAGGGAAATAAGGCACTCTGGTGCTAGAAACGGTATGGGCCAAGGGGCAAGAAAGAAAGTAGATTAGTCTAGCCAAGAGGTGACTTAATTAGTGACCACCAGGAAAGTAAGATTGGGCCAGATCATGGGAGACATTGAGTATAGGCCCGAGTGCTGAGGCTCTTTTTACTTTCTGGGAAGGTGTGCAAGGTTTTTGACGTGACCACATTGAGTTTTTAGAAGATTGATCTATCTGCTAGCCACATATGAACAGGATGAATTGGAGCTACACAGTTCAGGGAAATGGGGGGGGGCATGCATAGGAAAAAGGCACAGATTAGATTTTCAACACTGAGTTTGAGTTTTAGGTGTAGAACATGTGGGTGAAATATTTCCAATATCCAGCAGAATACTGGAATTTCAAGGCTAACTCCCAGGAAAGAGACAGGGAGCATCCTAACTTGTATACCGTCACCCAGTATTATTATTAGTCTAGGTCCATTTTTAGTTCATTCCTGCCTTCTAGATTGGAATTAAAGCTGAGAAATTATTTTTAGACCCTTAAATTTCTTGAATAAGTCATCTTACAAATGATAGCTTCCTTTTTTTTTTAATAAAAATAATAAACGGGGGATTCTGAGACCCACTTTATTAATGGACACTCAGTCTTCCAATAGCCCTGATAAATTAGAATCAGGACATGCATTGTAGATCCTGCTCTACAGACCCTGTTACCACTGCAAACCTTTAGCCAGATAGGTCAGGCATGTTGTCTAGTGATGGAGGCAGATAGAATGGTCATACTTAGAGAGAAAGCTTTGCCTTAACTTCCCACAAGTTTCAGACTCAGAGGTTGTATTACAAAAGACAGCATGTGGGCCATGTCCACCAAAAGTCTCCTTTGGCTCAGGTGTGCTCACCAAATAAAGACGGGAGATAGCTTCCTTTTAAATCACACCGTCTTTGATCTTCAATGGAGAAAAATACAGCCCCCCAAAGCCCTTGCCCGCCAGAGAGAATATACACTGTTTAAAACTCTATGCATAGAGGCAAACCATTTTGTTTGGTCTGGGCCTTTTTTAGATCAAAGGTGGACCAGGTCCAGGACATAGTTACTGGGAACCCTACAGTCATCAAGATGGTCGTCAGCTTCAACAGAGGTGCCCGTGGACAGAACACACTGCGCCAGCTTCTGGCTCCGGTGGTGAAAGAGATCATCGATGACAAATCCCTGATCATCAACACAAGCCCCGTCGAGGTGTACAAGGCCTGGGTGAACCAACTAGAAACACAGACTGGAGAAGCCAGGTAGCAAAGCCTGGGCAGTGGTGGTTTTCAGTTGTGTTTTATGATCATTTTTATGTGTATATTTATACATACTCTTAAGCTCTGTTAAGCTCTGTTAAAAGAACAAAATTCACTGTGCAAAGTCGATTTTCAATCTAAGATGTGGTTACCTCCCTTAACATACCCAGGCAGGCCACATTCTTGGACTCCTACTCATCTTAGCGGTACATGGTATTTTCAGATTTCGGTACCAGTTGATTCCCGAAGCCACAATTTCTGTAGTTCTCTCCCTTCGTTTTTCTTTGTTGTTTCTAAACCCAGGCCTAGACCTAGACATAGACCTCTTCACCTTATAATACCTACTTTTTTTTTTTTACAATTACCAAGTGAGTAACTTGAACATGTAGGCCTCAACAAGCCGGGTGGGATTGGCTTATTCTAGGTAGCGGTCTGTTGATCCAAGCAATCCCAGCTTTTAATTTCCTGCAAAAGGATGCCATGTGAAATCATTAAGATATGCACAGAGAATTACATGGGTGGTTGTCACAGTACTGTTTGTAATCACAAAAGTTGGGGAAGGTCAAAATATTTTAGCTTTGGGGAATCTGTTAAATAAATGTTTATATAACATAATCGAGTAGTAAGTAACTATTTGGAATGGTGCTATAGAAATATATTTGTTGCCTGGGTAAACTGTTCATAACATAGTTCTTGGTTGTAGTTTGGTACAGTGACTCATTTTCTGTATCAAAAAAAAATATGCACGTATATACACACACGTAAGATCTATATGGGATGTGTATAGACACGAACTGCATTACACCCATATACACACATGCGTAGCAGAGGACCAGAAAGTTATACACTAAAATAAGGAAAAGTAGTTGTCTCTGGGGTCAGTATTGTTTTCTTGTTGGCTTATATGCAAATTTTTCTGTAAAGAACATACTGCTCTTTATAATTTAAAAGAGAGAGGGGGGGAGAGAGAGAGAAAGATAGCTGGGTCTACGTTACCTGGGTCTGCCTGTTATTTTGCCAGAAGAGCCCAGATGGAGAGCCTGGAGTCACCCTGCTGTTCTGGTGGCAGAGGGTTCCATGTGGGTTCTCCCCTGCCCCAAGCAAACATTTTATCATTGGAGTTGGTGGGCAAACTCTACTTCACGATACAAAGCTTGATGGTAGAACCAATGTGGCAAGGATACACGTGCCCTTACCTGAGCCCCCAATTAATCGGAAGCCCTCGTTGTGGTTTCAGCAACCTGCCTTATGATGTGACCACAGAACAAGCTCTGACATACCCGGAAGTGAAAAACAAACTGGAGGCATACATCGAGAACCTGAGAAGGGTCACTGACAAAGTCCTGAGTTCTATCATTTCTTCCCTTGATCTACTGCCGTAAGTTGTATATGTAGCAGCTTTAACTTTCTTCGCTAGAAGTTCTTGAAATACTATGTAAAATAAACCCCTGTAGTGAAGATAGGCGTTTTCCTCATATTGCATTTACTAGTTTAAAAGTTTGCCAACATTTGCACTTTAAATTCATAACTGTTCTCCAAAGAGGGAACAGTACAAAACAGCGCTCAAGTACGATCATCCATGGCGGTCCTGTGATTCCGTTACCATCTCATTTTGTGTTTAATTTTTAGGAAAACTGCTTGGCTTTAGTTGACTGGAACAATTGCTGTGTGTTTCTTCCTCACTTAGCCTTTTTCCATTATTTTCTTTTGTCATCTGTTTTCCATGTAGTTATGGATTGAGGTATATAGCCAAAGTACTGAAGAATTCGATCCGTGAGAAATTTCCCGATGCAACGGAAGATGAGCTATTAAAGGTAGATTTTCAAGGGTGATCTCACCATAGCTTCTCTTGGGGGTAGGAGCCAAAATTACCAACACACCATTTTGTAAAATTTTTCCCCTTGTACGACTTTTTTTTTTTTTTTTTTGCGGTACGCGGGCCTCTCACTGTTGTGGCCTCTCCCGTTGCGGAGCATAGGCTCCGGACGCGCAGGCCCAGTGGCCATGGCTCACGGGCCTAGCCGCTCTGCGGCATGTGGGATCTTCCCGGACCGGGGCACGAACCCGTGTCCCCTGCATCGGCAGGCGGACTCTCAACCACTGCGCCACCAGGGAAGCCCTGTATGACTTTTTATAATAAGCTACAAGTCTTCTATTCTAATGGCTCTCAAGATTATTGTTATGAGGTTAGTTGGGAGCTCTTATACATTATTGAGGCTCTTTATATTAGAGAATTTGGGGGGGGGGGGCAGTAGCATATTTTCACCAAAAATAATTTTGTTAACTATATTAATAATGTGTGATTATATTCACTACCTTTACTTAACTCCTTGTTAAGATTCAGATCAGAGAACGATTTGCTGTCTTGGGAAATGTCAGTTAATATTAACTTTTAAAAAACCCTCCAAACTCTTGAGTTTTCTCTCTCAAAAATAGTCTTTTCTTCTACATCACTCCAGATTGTTGGAAATCTCCTGTACTATCGGTACATGAACCCAGCCATCGTCGCCCCAGACGGCTTTGATATCATCGACATGACAGCCGGAGGTCAGATAAATTCCGACCAGAGGAGAAACTTGGGATCAGTGGCCAAGGTCCTTCAGCATGCAGCCTCCAACAAGCTCTTTGAAGGAGAAAATGAGCATCTCTCATCTATGAACAATTATTTATCAGAGACGTATCAGGAGTTCAGGTGAGAGGTATCGTTACCTTTGGAGAAACTTGCAGGATGGTGGGCAAGAGGAATGTGTGTTCTGTGCCCAGAGCTGGGCTTGGGGGCAGGAACCTCAGGGCGCTGCATGCATTTCTTGTACTGCTTGTTGCTGTGGGGAAAGAGGAGGGAGTCCAAGCAGGCGGGATTACTTCTGTCTGGTGTTGCCTGTCCCCCCACCACCCCCAGTGCCCCTGTTACATTGAGTCATCCCCATGTGTATGATTTCTGCTACTGACAAGAAGAAATATTTAATCTTCTTGGTACGCTATAGGCTTGTAGTACTTAGAATTAAAGAAATCAAAATAGCTAACTTCTGCTTTTCTGAACTTAAAAAGAGGGTATCATTTTGTCCATTCAGGAAAAGCTTGCCTTTATCTGCATCAAACAATAGTAGGAAACTGAGTATTTGGTTTGGGATGGTTGGGAGAATCCAGCTTCTATGTTTGTTGAGGATTGTGTGTGAATATGTTCTGTTCTGTTCTCGAACATCTCTCAAATATGCATGTAAGACTTAAGTCTGTTGACTTTATAAGCTCTCCAAATTGTATCATTAATCATTCCACGGGGATACGGGAGGAGGACTGAATCTAGCAGGAAGGTTCACTCACCCTGAAGCTCTCTGAGGAAGCACGTTCATCTTGGCGTTCACTTTCTCTTTTCTGCCATTCAGCCAGTCATACAAGTATGACATCTATGTGGCCTCTTTCATGCCTCACTTGGAAAATGATAATTTCCCATTCCTCAGTTTTCCTCTAGATTAGTGATTTATCTGTTGACAAAGGTAGTTCATGATCATTCCTCTCTTTATGGAATTTGTGGCCTCTTGTGAGAAATTTTCCCCAAATCCTCTTACTATGGGAAGTCTTAATTTTCTCAAGCTGCTAATTTTAGGTCTCCTCACTGACTAAAAAAGTAACATCCATTCCTTGCAAATCCTTGTCTGCTATTAGAACCTCTTTTTGCTTCCTTTTTTCTCAGATTATTCCTACCAAACATCTAAGTTTCCAACTCTTCTTCATTTAAAAGGAAATAAAACCAAAAGCCTCCCCTCATCTCTTAAATTCATCTTTTTTTTTTTTTTTTTTCTCTTCCGCTCCTATTAATCCTTTGTGTTCCTCAGCAACCATGAAAAGTTACAACCAAAAAAGTGCAGAAAGACCAGTTGTCACGTGGGAGCATGGCTGCCTGCCATTTACCCTGCCCTGGCCTTGGGGTGGGAAGGCACAGGTCTTTCTGGTGTACAAGCCTTGGGTGCCCTTAGGAGATACACCAAGGATAATTTCAGGCATATGAAACATTTGCAAATTTATAGAATAAGATATCGACTCTACCTGTGCAAAGAATCCCTCCTAAACCATCATCGCAGCACACCTGGCTCTTCTCCATCTCTCTGTTGAAATTTGCTGTAGCTTAAAATAGCAGACTTTTTAGAGTCTGAGCACTGGTGGAAGGGAACCTTGTATGTATCTGTGTGTCTGGTCTTAACAGCCTTTCCAGCCAGCAACTGTTGTCTGGATCAACTAAGAGTAGAGTAGGCTTAACTTGAATTTTTGTCAAATTGGTAACAGAAACTCTGAAAGGGTGTTGAAATCCCCAGGAGTTTGTGCCAATTAAAGTAGCAAATTTGACTAATTGCTTTATGGATTGTTTTCTCTACAAAGACTTGATTCTTAGATCAGGGAACATCAGTACTGCCATTTTTGTGTAGATTTCAGGGAGCATTTTTAAAATCGTATTTTTTAAATGACCTGCCCATAGTTTGACTACCTTGGGTCAGTCACAGGGCCTGAGGCGCTAAATGCTCTGTCTGTTCCTTTCTGAGGACCTGGGTCCAACATCCGGAAACATGGACTCGGCTTCGAGGTCCAGAGCCAGCCTTGGAAGGTGCTGGAACAGGTGCCCCGAGGTGTACAGTAGAAAACAAAGCACAAGCCATCACTGAAGATTTCCTCACCATTTTATTCACAAATTTGACTCTGTCTTAAGACTCTTGGTTTTTTTTCCTTTTTTAGGAAATATTTCAAAGAAGCATGTAATGTCCCTGAACCAGAAGAAAAGTTTAATATGGATAAATACACAGATGTGGTGACAGTCAGCAAACCAGTCATTTATATTTCAATTGAAGAAATCATCAGCACGCATTCAGTAAGAGAGGTTGGAGGAGGGTCTTAGCAATGGACACGGGGTTCAGACACCTGCTCTTGGAAATGTTTAGTTTCTACAGGGTGTTACTGTAAGCATGTGCCCCTACTTACGTCCTCAACCTAAAAAATACTTGAATTATGTATTCCCTGACCCTTATGCATTGACTAATCTCCTCTTCCCGAACAGGAAAAGTCTACCTTTGACATGATACACGTATTCCCTGACTCTTGTGCCTTAGGAAAACTCCTTCTCTCAAGCAAGGAAAGTTTACTTCTTCCGTGATCCAGTTACAGTCAGGTGGTGAATGTGTAGTTTAAGCCCCGAGCCCGGGCAGCCCTGATACTTTCTCCACCCACCAGGGCCACACTGCCTGGACCCCAGAGTCCGTCTCTCCCCCTTTCAAGAATTCTCTTCGCATTTCCAGTAATTTTCTGGGAAAAGGAGAATGCTCCCTCTCTTCTAATGTTTGGACATAAAGAGGGAGGGGATAAACAGGCGTATCCAGGTTGGGGAAAAGAAGACATACACCCCACACCCCAGCAATAGCCGCCTACAAAGAATCGCTTCTGTTGTTCTGGAAAACCCCACTTCTTAGAACGAGGCACTGTCGGTCTGCTGTGTCATAATGTCTCCCTCTGGTTCACGTGCAGACATCACCACCATCAACCATTAGCCTGTATTAAGTGCATTTTGAGGGCAGGGCAGTTTTCTCGGCATGGTGAGGGTCTTTGTTTGCTTAAGACCAGAGCTTATTTCCTGAACCAGCTAGGTTCTTAAAGCATAACCTTTTCAAGAACAGTTCTGGACATGACTACTCCAAGCTAAGTCCTGAGGACATGCAAGAAATCCGCCCAAGAGCTCCAGAATCAGAACCTGCATTCTCCCAAGATCCCAGGTGACTCAGATACACACTGAAGCTCAAGAAGCCCTGGTTAAGGATGCACCCAGCTTCAAATGATACACGCAACTGGCGGAGAGCACGACAAATACACACCTCTTAAAGGGCCAGCCCTTCCCCCCACCAAACCAGATATACTAACAAGTAGCAAAATTGGCTGCTCAAAATTTCAGTCTTCATATTAAACTCTTCTAAGTAACTAAACCTTAAATATGGGTTGGAAAGAAAGATTGAATCAACTTTTGATTTCCCTCTTTCAGGGTTGGGACAGGGAACCTCCTTGACATTTGCAACAAGCTCTCCATCAGTGTTTTGAGTGACCCTAAACAAAAGCAGATCTGAATGACCAGCTGAGGGCGTGAGTGGGTTGATTAAATAAAGAGGCTATACTTGTTTTCCCTATATATAAACACCCCAAATCACCAAGCAAACACATCCAGTATATGCAGCACTTGCAAAAATAGTTTTCTAACGAACAAGTAGACTTATTCATATTTGAGCCACGACGCATTTATCTATTTTTTTATGGCAAATTTTTCGTCTCAAAAAGATGCCCACACATTGGCTGCACATGTGCTGAGGGCAATAGCCACATGCAGGAAAAGTGAGAGATTCTTTCCCAAGGAGAGCTGAGAGACAATGTTACTGTATTAATTTAGACTGTTACTCTTCAAAGAGAAATAGTCTGTTCCTTTCGTCAACAAGAGTTGAAAACAGAATCCAATCCTGGGAAACATAACTCGTAACCAGTTTGGAATTCCATCATGTGTGATGTCGGAAGCAGATGTAATAACATGGGAGAAGTGTAATTGCAGGGAAAGACTGTCCTTGTTTACTGTCTGTCTCAAGTGAGGAGGTGTCCACATGCAGACACAAGCACGGCAGTAGCATGACCTGCCACGCCTGTGTCCACATACTTGTCCCTTGTTCTCTAAGGAACATGTAGAACATCAGCTCTTTAAGGAGACATTTTCAGGAAATTTTGATGTTCTGTCATTATCAGAATAAAGAGTAGAAGCTGGCTGCCTAAATCATCCCTTCCAGAGACAGCAGCCCATCAGTTGTCCCATCTCTTCAGAGAACTAGAACATAAACGTATCCATCTTGCTTATTTTGTTCTTGTCTCTGACTTACCTTACCCCAAAATATCCTGTGTACTACTTCCAGATTTCACCGTGTCTTTCTGTCATCTGTGTTACTTATATAACATCTTGCTTTAAATCTAACCATAGTAGAAAAACTAGCATGTCTTACAGTGGACAGAACTTTAAAAGTAGTTGAATATAGTTGCTTCCTTGAAGCTATGCATCTGAGGCCCCCTCTCCCTTTCTTAAAAACCCAATTTGTAAGTATCAGGGAATGTTAGGGAAAATTCAGCATTAAACAGATAACTCTCTCCTTCACTAATCTTAAAGATTAAAAGAGAATGGAAAAGGAAGTAATCAAGGCAGTGTTGTACCGGCATAAGGATAGACATACCAGTCAATGAGATAGAACTGAGAGTCTAGAAATCTTCAAATCTGTGGTCAATTTGTTTTTGACAAGGGACTAAAACAGTTCAGTGGGCAAAGAATAGTCTTTTCAACAAATGGTTCTGGGACAACTGGAAATCCGCATGCCAAGAATGAAGTTGGACCCTTTCCTCCCACCCTATACAAAAATGAACTCGAAATGGATCAGAGACCTAAATATAAGAGCTGAAATTATAAAACTCTTAGAAGAAAACATAGGAGGAAATCTTTGTGGCCTTGGCAATGGTTTCTTAGATATGACACCAAATGTACAAGGCACAAAAGGAAAAAAAACGAAAACAAAAAAACAGATAAATTGGACCTCCTCAAAGTTGGAAACTTTTGTGCTGTAAACATTGCCATCAAGAAAAGACAACCAAGGGAATGAGAGAAAATAATTGCAGATAATGTATCTGTTAAAGGACTTGGATCCAGAATACATAAAGAAAACCCACAACTCCATGGTGAGATAAATAATCTGATCTAAAAATGGACAACTGCACATCAAATGACACAATGAACACAGTGAAAAGGCAACCTACAGAATGGAAGAAATATTTGCAAATCATATACTGTATCTGATAAAGGGTTAATATCCAGAATATGTAAAGAATTCTCACAATTTGACAACAACAAAAAACAGCCCAATTTTAAAATGAGCTACAGACCTGAATAGACATTTCTCCAAAGAAGATATAGAAATGGCTGGCAAGCACATGAAAAGATGCTCAACATCACTAATGACTAGGGAAATCCAAATCAAAACCACAATGATTTTGCCTCATTGTATAATAGAGACAGCCTATAAATCTATCATTTGGTTTGGAAAAAGAAAAAAATAAAAACATGAGATACCATCTTACACCCATTATGGCGGCTACTATAAAAACAAAAACAGGGCTTCCCTGGTGGCGCAGTGGTTGAGAGTCCACCTAACGATGCAGGGGACACGGCTTCGTGCCCTGGTCCGGGAAGATCCCACATGCCGCGGAGTGGCTGGCCCCGTGAGCCATGGCCGCTGAGCCTGTGCGTCCGGAACCTGTGCTCCGCAACGGGAGAGGCCACAACAGTGAGAGGCCCGCGTACCAAAAAAAAATGGTTAAGATGGTAGATTTTATGATGTGTATTTTACTACAGTTAAAAATAAAAACATAAAAATAAAATTTTTAAATGGGCAAGCGATCTGAATAGAGATTTCTCCAAGGAAAATATACAATAGCCAATAAGCACATGAAAAGATGCTCATCATTATTGGTCATCAGGGAATGCACATCAAAACCAAAATGCGATAACTTCACGCCCACTAGGATAGCTAGAATTAAAAAGTCAGGTAATAATAAACGTTGGCAAGGATGTAGAATGACTGAAACTCTCATATACTGCTGGTGGAGATGCAAAATGGTGCAGCCACTTAGGAAATCAGTTTGGCAATTCCTAAATGTTAAACAGAGTTACTAGGTGATGAAGCAATTCCTAGGTATGGGCTCAAGAAAAATGAAAACATGTGCACACAAAAACTGGTCCATGAATGTTCACAGCAGCATATTCATAATAGCCAAAAACTGGAAACAAATGTCCATCAAAAGATGAATGAATGAAGTGCGATATATCCACATAATGGAAAAATTTTTCAGGGATAAAGAGGAACAAGTGCATGCTACAACCTGGATGAACCTTGAAACCATCATGCTCAGTGAGAGAAACCAGTCACAAAAGGACACACATTGTATGAGTCCACTCATGTGAAGCAACCGGAACAGCTATATCTATAGAGACAGAAAGTACATTAATGGCTTCCAGGAGGAAGGGGTAATACTGGGGAGTGACAGCTAATGGGTACACAGTTTCTTTTAAGGTGATGAAAATATTCTGAAATTAGATAGTGGTGATGGTTACACAAGTCTTTGCATATACTAAAAACCATCGTTATCATAGGTTTTAAATGCGTGGATGTGATGGTGTGTTAATTGTATCTCAATAAAGCTGTTGAGAGAAAAGAGATTAAAAATGAAAAAGACTAATTTTATTATATGATTCAGTGTTTTGTAAGTTAGCTACTCAAAACAACTAAAATTAGATTTCCCATCACCAGGGATACCAGTCCCACACTTTGGAAACATTGTTTTAATTTAACTCTAAATGAAAACAAGAGCAGCTGTGTTTTCATAGCTGTGCCCCCAGAGTTACTATGTTTCCTCTAAGACCTGGCAAACACCCAGCAGTGTTCCCCTTAATCCATTTTTGGAATTCTGAAAGGAAGAGCCAACTGGTACATCTAGGTCTCAGGCCAAGGAATCATATGGGCATTTCTGCTATCCATACCCATGAAAGATCTTCAATGCCAGACAGATTGAAATAGCTAATTGTGGTGATTTGAAAAAATATATAGTGTTTGATTACTGAATAATTTTTCTCTGAAGAGTTATGGAAATGTCCTTACAGTTTGCTACCATATTAGCCAAGAGACTTGTGTGTTGTTCTAGACTCTTTCCCCAACTTTGACTTTTTTTTTCCTCTTTTTTATTGATGTGTTGTTGATTTACAATGCTGTGTTAGTTTCAGGTGTACAGAAAAGTGATTCAGACTACTATGTGTGTAGTCTTTCAGATTCTTTTCCCTTATAGGTTATTACGAAATATTGAGTATAGTTCCCTGTGCTGTACAGTAGGTCCTTATTGGTTATCTATTTTATATATAGTAGTGTGTATGTGTTAATCCAAAACTCCTAATTTATCCCTCAACTTTGACTTTTGTATAAACATGGAGGGAGCACAGGGTTTAGGTGGAAGAAGGCTGCCTCTTGGCAGATCTTGCAAGATCTTGCTGAAAGAGTGTTTATGAACACCTTTCACAAAACTACAGTTTCTCGATGAAGAGTGGGCACTTGCCTCTAAGATAAAATGCAAGCTGTGTCTCTCTGTGATCTCTAATTTTAATATATGTCAGACTTGTATTTAAGGTTCAAACAATATCAGAAAAAAGTTATGAAAAACTGGGAAGGGAACTATGTAAATATGGTAGCCATTGAGAACTGACTTTTATTTTTGTATGTGTGTTGCTTTCTATATAAAGCTCCTGTTGGAACACCAGGATGCAATTGCCCCTGAAAAAAATGACTTACTGAATGAACTTTTGGAATTGCTGGGAGAGGTACCTAATGTGGAATCTTTCCTTGGTAAGGGCTTCTTCCCTCTGGTTTGTATTTGATTGGTTGGTTGGATGGTTGGTTGGTTTTCCTATCCTAGATCAAAAAATCTTTATAATTTAATACTTAAGTTTATTTAAAGGATAACTACACTAGCCCCTTCCTACATGAAGGATTCTGTAATTCTTAGTGTGCTAGATTATCAAACAATTTGATACTCTTAAAGCTCTAGATACATCAAAAACGATTTGTCAACCATAAAGAAAGAAAAAGAGTGAAATTTATTAGACATTCCTTGCTATGTTCTCCAATGGTGTCTTTTAGTAACAGTTCTCTCTTTTAGTAATTTTTTTCAGATTTCGAATATTGATGTCCTATGCTATTTTAATGTTTAATTCCGAGATTTTTTTAAGTGTATTGGAATGTGTTTTTTTTTTTTTTGCGGTACGCGAGCCTCTCACTGCCGTGGCCTCTCCCGTTGCGGAGCACAGGCTCCGGACGCCCAGGCTCAGCGGCCATGGCTCACGGGCCTAGCCGCTCCACGGCATGTGAGATCTTCCCGAACCGGGGCACGAACCCGTGAACCCTGCATCGGCAGGCGGACTCTCAACCACTGCGCCACCAGGGAAGCCCTGGAATGTGTTTTCTTCTCAGGACCATGATCTCCTGTTCAACTACCGAGCCCATGTTTCCTACAGAACCTTTATCTTACATTGTTGATGCCACTGTCACAATCAGTGAATTGGAAAAATAACAATATTTTATTCTACAGGGGAAGGAGCTGTTGACCCCAGTGACCCTGACAAGGTAAACACACTAAGTCAACTTGCAAAGACTGAGATTTCCCTTTTCCTGACCAGCAAGTACGACATAGGAGATGGTGAAGCTATAGATGGCCAAAGCCTCATGATCAAGTAAGTTTGGAGCTTAAAGAGCACATGTCTCCAATTATGCATCTTAAACCATGCAAATTCAAATAAGGCTAATTCCTCAAATAATCCATTTTAAAATATCTAAATATTGAAATACATTATGTTTATCCATCAAACATCTAACTAAGGAATAGTAGACTCTTTGTAATTTAAGAGGGAACTAAATATCATGATACCTTCTTAAAGCCTATCTTGTTTTTTAGTTTTCCTTGTAGTAATTTGATTCCTTTCCTTTAAGAAATGATTAACTCAGCTGGTGAAAGGCCTCACGTAGCTGAAAGGAAATATCTGTTTCAGTGGTCAAAAGAATAGTCAAGGAAATACCTTGAACCTAATTTATTTTCTGGTATAAAATGTTAACGTAAAAGGCACACACGATAAGACATAATGCTATTATCTGATTTATTAAACACCTTGCCTATTAAACTAAGCCTGGATATCTTGACCAACTTTGACTTTATTTATACCCAATTTCTTGTTCTCAAAGATTTCAAGCGAAGCTTTCACACTTTTAATTAATACTGTACTTTTTCCGTCAAGGCCTCGTGGACATTCCACATCAGTCCTTTACATACAGGGTAAGAAAGAATGATCCATCACCATAAATCGAGACGCCTTAAACCAAAGCCAGGTGCTCACCAAACAATACAGTTTTTAAGAACTAATATAACCAAAAGGATTCGCATTAACACGTTAGAACAGTTGTACGTTGGGGTGAGGTGGAGAATGGAAATGAGAAATGGGGAGAAAAGGAAATAAATAAGTATTTAAATAATACTTCACACATGACTTCCACGGTACAGGCCCTGAATTCTGAGGTTGTTTTAATTTGCTACAAGACCTTTCTGTTCTGCCACTGACATGCTTTGGACAGTACTCATTTCTAGTTGACTTTTTCCAGATATTCAATGCCATGAAAATGGAAAAAAAAAAAAAAAACTTAGTGTGCTATGTTGGAATATGTACATATGTGCTTCTTCTACTAGGCTTGTTTATTTTGTGCTCCGATTATCTCTAAGGATCTGTTTGTTCACGTAGCCAAATACTTGAGTATCTACTCTGTGTCCATGGCACTGGGCTTGAGGCTGAGGACACAGCGGTGAGCAAGCCATTAAGGGTCCCTGCCTTCCGGGGGTCTGCAGTCTGATGGAGAGCACAGCTCACCTGAGGGACGCAGGACTCCTACACAAACTTGGCTTCATAAGAGTTGAGGGCAGTTCCTTTAAACTACTGATGATGAAGTCAGATTGCACTTGCAGAGACAGCTCAGGACCGGGCAACAGAAAAAAGGGGGAAAACTGTGGAAGCTGCTCCCTGGGTTCCTCTGAGCATGTGCCAATTACAAAGGTAACTGGAAATACAGATCCTGTGGTTCCACCATGCAAATTAAATTAGGCCAGTTATCCTGTGATCTCATAAGCTTTGTCCTTTAGAAGTAACAGGAAGAAATTTTTTCATAATTAATTTTGTCTGTTACTTGAGCACCATTTTCTAGATGCAGTCAACTCAAATGTCTGCATTAATGAATGGAGATCATGATTTGGGTAGTCTAAAATATCAAATAGTCTGAACATCGTGTATATTTATACTTATTTCTGAATCTGAGTCTCCATGGTTCTGTGAATTTTTGGAGTGCACATTTCAAAAGCAAAACCATGAAAGTCAGGTGTGTGGGGCAGCAATGCATCTTAGCCAGGAAGGCCTGGTGCATTGTCCTACTTGCCTCAGCCCTTGTGTGGCTCCCTCCCCACTGTATGCTAGAAAAAAGTACTGTCTACTTCTTTAATCACCATTCCAAGTAGAGCCAGACAGTGGTTTTATTTATTTGCTTACTTACTCTTGTATTTTGTAGTAAAATACACACAACATAAAATTTACCAATCTAACCTTTTAAAGTATACAATTCAGTGGCACTTAGTACGTCCAGAATGTTGTGCAAGCACCACAACTATCTAGTTCCAGAACATTGTTATCACCCCAAAAGTAACCCTGTATTCATTAAGCAGTCATTCCCCAATGACCCTGGGGCATCGTTTCTGCTTTCTGTCTCTATGAACTTGCCTATTCTGGAAATATCATATAATGGAATCATACAATATGTGGCCTTTTGTGTCTGGCTTCTCTTATTCAGCATATTTTTGGCTGAATAACATTCCATTGTATGGACATACCACATTTATCTTGGACATTTGGGTTGTTGCTACCTTTTGGCTATAGTGAATAGTACTACTGTAAACATTTATATACATCTTTTTACTTGAATACTGTTTTCAGTTCTTTTGGGTATACACCTAGGAGTGGAATTGCTGGGTCATATGGTAATTCTGTTTTGAGGAACTGCCAGACCTTTTTTCCACAGTGGCTACACCATTTTATATTCCTACCAACAAAGTATGAGAGTTTCAATTTTTCCATAATTCACCAAAATTTATTTTCTGTTTTGTTTATTTTGTTGTCATAGCCATCCTAGTGGGTATGTAGTATCTCATTGTGGTTTTGATTTGCATTTCCCTAATGATTAATAATTAATAATGTTTCCATGTGCTTGTCAGCCTGTCTTCTTTGTAGAAATGTCTATTCAAGTCTTTTGCCCATTCTTTAGTTGGATTGTTTGTCTTTTTGTTGCAGAGTTGTAAGAGTTCTTTATATGTTCTGGATGGTAAACCCCTATCAGATATGTGATTTGCAAATATTTTCACCCCTTCTATGGGTTGTCTTTTTATTATTGAAGTATAGTTGATTTACAGTGTTATGTTAATTACTGCTGTACAGCAAAGTAATTCAGTTATATATATACATTCTTCTTTTTAATATATTTTTTCCATTACGGTTTATCATAGGCTATTGAATATAGTTCTTTATGCTATACAGTAGGACCTTGTTGTTTATCCATTCTATATATTAAAGCTTATATCTGCTCCCAACCTCCCACTCCATCCCTCCGCCAGCCCCACCACCACCCCCCTCCGGCCACCACCAGTCTGTTCTCTATGTCTGTGATTCTGTTTCTGTTTCATAGATAGGTTCATTTGTGTCATGTTTTAGATTCCAAATATAAGTGATATCATATGGTATTTGTCTTTCTCTTTCTGACTTATGTCACTTAGTATAATAATCTCTAGTTGTATCCATGTTGCTGCAAATGGCATTATTTCAGGGCTGTCTTTTTATTCTCTTGGTAATATCCTTTTCTGTAGAACAGTTTTTTAACTTAATGAAATGCAGTTTATCTATTTTTTGTTGTTGTTTCTTGTGCTTTTGGTGTCATAAGAATTCATTGTTCAATTCAAGATCATGAGGATTTACTCTTGTGTTTTTTTCTAAAGTGTTCTATAGTTTCAGCTTTTATACTTAGGTCTGTGATCCCTTTTGAGCTAATTTTTGTGTATGGTGGAAGGTCGGGGTCCAACGTTATTCTTTTGCATGTGGATGCCCAGTTTTCCACAACAATTTCTTAAAGAGACTATTCTTTCTCCATTAGGTGGTCTAGACACTCTTGTCAAAAGCCAGTCTACCATACATGTATGGTTTTCTAGACTCTAAATTCTATTCCATTGATCTATATGCCTATCCTTATGCTAGTACCACACTGCATTTATCACTGTAGCTTTGTAGTAAGTTTTGAAGTTGGGAAGTATGAGTCTTCCAAGTTGTTCTTTTTCAAGATTCTTTTGGCTACTTGGGGTTCCTTGCAATTCCATGTGAACTGTAGGATCAACTTTTCCATTTATATAAAAAAGACTATTGGGCCAATGTTTTAATAGATTCAATAATTTACTGCTTTCATAGGCCTCTGGGGTCTAGAAAGCCTTCCTCTGGGCATACTTCAAGATCCTGCTGTTAGCAGAGCCCTTCACTAAGCAGCCCAGTGGATCATCGTGGATAACAACTTGAAATGAAGACTGACCAAGTAGCCTTCCCCAAAAGTGGAATTTGGGTATTGCCCAAAACAGTCAGTAGAGTTCGCTCCATGATGTTAGGCTAGTCTTACTTCCAAATACATTATACCTTAAGTATATATTTCAAAATCTTGATACTAACAGATAATTATAAAATGTGTCATTGACAAGGAGCTTGGAGACCACCTAGTCTGAGTCTTTATCTCTGAGGTGAGAAAATTAAATTCTAAAATTATGGGAAGCAAGTAGATGGGCACTGACATGCTTTAAATTCATAGGCCATTGATGTTCCATTGATAGACGCTTGGAAATACTGATTCGAAAACTCTTATGGGGATGACTTTCTTCCAAGCAATAAACCAAATTCCTAACTCAAACATAAAATATAGTTCTTGAGACTCTTCATTAGAGAACCAAATCTAACTGAAATCAGACTGTGCCTTTCAGAAGTTACTAAGTAGTAGACAGTCATGGAATGCAGAGCTGCTGGGGATAAAAATAACTGGCTTTTCTCTATCAAAAAACTATTTTGCCTCCTTGTTAAATAGGTTGTGTTTTTAACTTTCAAAATGCCCCCCTTGTTATTAATTACAAAATCACTAGCTTTGCAGTGATGAGTAATTCATCTTCATGAGGGTCCCTGAATAAGGCACTGTTAATCCTTGTGCTTGTAAATTTAATTCCATGCTAGTTTCATAATTCTTAATAATTAGATGAGGATGAAGATGGTAATAATACCAAACACCTGTGTAGTGCTTACCATGTACCAGGGACTGTCCTATGGATATGGATATAGATAATAACAGATAACAACATGTATAACATAACAACATCCATGAGTCATATAATACTCTCAGCAACTCCAAGAGGTAGAGGTTATTACCTGGGTTTTATGTAAGAGAAAACTAGGCACAGAACAGACAAAAACCCTTTCCTGGTAGTATAGTTAGTAAGTGGGGCATAGGTTCAAATCCAGACAGGCTTAAATCTTTCTGGGCCTACACTCTTTTTTTTTTTTTTTAATTTATTTATTTATTTTTTGTGGGGGAGTGGGTAAAGTACATTTATTTTCTTCTATAGGTGTTTCTTTTTCAAAAAAAAACAAGGAAAAGGAGTAAAAGCTCCAGCACCCAATGTCCACTGGGCTTTAGTCCATGGGGAGGAGGTGCCCCACGTGCCTGGCCCCTAGGCTGACCCCACCCAGGGCGGAGGAGTGCCGCAGCTTCAACAGGGTGAAGCTGGAGAAGGAGTTCTGAGCCTGGATCTCTCTCTCCTGGGTCAGCACCAAAAGGAAACCTTCCCTCAGCAGCTCCCAGCTCTTCCACACAGAGCCCACACACGGGATGGGAAGTGGGCCTACACTCTTGATCACAAGGTTTTACAACTTGAGGGCAAGGTCACTGTTCTTTGCACTCTTAGGGATCATAGAATAAACAATAAGAATGATAGCAGAGCAGTTATTGTATACCTGATGCTGGGGCATTGCTTCCCAGGCCACAGAGAAGGAATGACACAGAGTAAGGGACATGAAGGCACATGGTGGAATAGGAAGAAACATTCTATTTCTGTTTCCCTTCCATATCTTTATGGAATAGGGAGCCTCGGTTTGGGCTATGGCCATTTTGCTAATACTACCAAGCATGGTGGTATTAAAAGGACAAACGAACAAAAGAGCCTGGTTGAGGAGTCCTAGGGAGACCTGGGATTACAGCCCCAATCTCACACATTAGCCGTTGGACTCAGCAAATCACTTCCCCATTTGTTTCCTCATCCATCAAATGGAGAAGAGGGGAGATGATGGGAAAGGGAGGACTCTGGGGAGTAAATGAAGTCACACAGTGACACCTTATAAATTATAAAGAACTGCACAATTGAAAATCTCTCTCGGGCTTCCTTGATGGTGCAGCGGTTAAGAATCTGCCTGCCAATGCAGGGGACACGGGTTCGAGCCCTGGTCCAGGAAGATCCCACATGCCGTGGAGCACCTAGGCCCGTGTGCCACAACTACTGAGCCTGTGCTCTAGAGCCCGCAAGCCGCAACTACTGAAGCCTGCGAGCCACAATTACTGAAGCCCACATGCCTAGAGCCTGTGCTCTGCAACAAGAGAAGCCACTGCAATGAGAAGCCCGTGCGCCACAAAGAAGAGTAGCCCCCGCTTGCCGCAACTAGAGAAAGCCCACGCGCAGCAACAAAGACCCAGTGCAGCTAAAAATAGTAAACTAAAAAAAAAGAAAAGAAAATCTCTCTCATTATAACTTATGATTCAACTTATAGTATGTGATCCTTTTGGCCTTTATTAAGCTTGCTTTTCTATGAAAGTATGTGTGTAAGTAGAAGGCATTATAGATGGCTTTTATTCATACTTAGCTGCCTGAGTGCTTTAGTTGTCATCTCTTAAGAATTTTTTTCCTATCACATAATTCAGTTTAGGCATCCATCATCCCAGTTGCAAGATTTTCTTGCTTGTAGTCCAAGCTGGCAGTAAATGAGCAATAAATGGCTAAGGAGATATTCAAGGTCTGGTGATAAAAATGTATAATCATGTTATTAGAATTTTAAACAATTGGAATTTTTTTTTTTTTTTTTTTTTTTTTGCGGTATGCGAGCCTCTCACTGTTGTGGCCTCTCCCGTTGCGGAGCACAGGCTCCGGACGCGCAGGCTCAGCGGCCATGGCTCACGGGCCCAGCCGCTCCGCGGCATGTGGGATCTTCCCAGACCGGGGCACGAACCCGTGTCCCCTGCATCGGCAGGTGGACTCTCAACCACTGCGCCACCAGGGAAGCCCTGGAAATATTTTTTAGCTTCTACAAACACCAATTCCTTTTCAACCTTGGGCACACTGTAAGGCAGATGGCAGAGAGGGAGGCTCAGGAATGGTCCTGGTCAGAATGTGATAACAGACACCCTTTGAGTGCAATGGCCAAACCTGAGGGACCACACCAGTTTACAAGCACCAGGCGGTCTCATTCATTGACCATGGGATTTGAGCAGAGCTGTGATGAAGAAACTCCCACGTGTATTTCTTTTTTTCTTAACTTTCCTAATTCAGGGAGGGTGGCAGAGTTTGACCAGCCTGTCTTACCTATTATATGAACAGCCATGGGGCCAAAACTTGAACCAGTTGATTTATGCTGGTCAGACCATATCTAGAATATTGTGTTTGCATTAAGGTGGGGAGGGGACATGTCTTAAAGTCATTGGCAAACTGAAATGTGAGCAGGACTGGAAACTCTCTCTAACTCCTATTGTGAAGAGGTTTCAGGAACTGAGGGGTTTCACTTGGAAAAAAGAGAAGAGGGGACGTAGACACAATGCTGGCACCCTGCAGGTTGTTGAGGGGCTGATGAGGAAGGGGAAATCGACTTGTTTCCTGCAACTCCAGGAAATAGGATGTGACCTTCTATAACGATTGAACCTCTTAGGTCTTAGCTGACTCATTTGTAAAATCAGGGATTGGACTGTTGCCCAAGGTCCCCCTCGGTGCTGATGTCCTGTGACTCACTGGATCCAGTGAGTGGACCATACTGGAAGGCAGGCCTCTCAGAGTGGGCTTCCCATTTAAGAATGGGCTGTTCCAGTGCTGTGCTCGCCAACAGAGATTTAATGTCAGCCACACAGTTACTTTTAAATTTTCTAGAAGCCATATTTTTAAAAGAAACAGGTGAAATTAATTCTAATATATTTATTTACCCCAATATATCTAAAATGTTGTCATTTCAATATGGAATCAGTGTAAAAAAATTGTTAATGATACATGGTACATTCCTTTTTTCATACTGAGCCTTCCAAATCTGGTGTGTGTTTTGCCCTTAATGCTTATCTCAGTTTGGACCAGCCATGTCTCAAGTGCCCACTGGCCACCTGCTGACCAGTGGATGCCATCTTGGGCAGCACAGCTTAATGACCATGTGAGTGCTGACCACACGTCAGACCCTAGAGAGAGGCTTTACGTGCATCTTTCACTCAGTCCTGAGAGATTCCCATTACATAAATGGAAAAAAAAAACCCACTATAGGGACTGTATAATTTGCACAAGTCCACACACCTAGTAAGCAACAGGAACCCTGATTCAACCTTAGATCTGTCTGACTCAGTGTTCTTAACCATTAGGCATACCATAGGGTGAGGTACTGAATTCCCTGTCATGAAACTGGATGGTTATTTACATGTAAGATGTCTGGGGTAGAACTTTGGCAGTGGGTTCCAGTAGAGGCCTGACATAAAGTAGAATTTCAAGAGAAAGGCTGTGTGAGCAGTTTGTCCTCCAGCCACTCCTGAACAAATAAACATTCTTTGTCCCTAGCAGGGCATACTTGAGTGACCTTGGTCATTTTGGTCATCAGATAGTGTCTCTGAAGAGTCGAGCTGGGAGTTTCCTGGAAGCATATATCATCAGTCATTCCTAGAATATTAGTTCAAATAAGAGACAGTCACTGTATTTACATTTGTTAAAATCACCCAGAGCTTTTATTTTTAACTCGATGTTCCAGCTTAATGCATTTATAATGATGATTGGAGGAGGGAGTTGTGTGGGACAGAAAGGATAGATACTTGGCTCTCTAAGCCTCAGGAACAGGGCCGTCTCCCACGTGGCTGTAATGAGCTGTGTGCCCACCTCTGACTCTTGGGGGAGCATTTCTCTGTGCATTCCCAGACAGCCTGTAAATCCCCAACAGCAAAGGGTCACGGGCCAGAGGAAATGGTTGTGATCATTCTTCTCATACAGACTTGAAATAAATCAGAAAGGAGAAAAATAATGGTTACAGATGGTTTATTGGATTTTATCCTGTTTGCAAAAATAATATATCTGGAATTCTCTTTAAAGTTTCCTCTTGTCCTTTGGGAGCAGTCGCCCCAATGCTTCAAAACATAAACGATGTTTTATTTTCATTTTCCAATTTTCATGCCATGTGAACATTTTCTGCTGTAGTTGAGGAAGAAATTCATCATCCAGTGATACCATGTAATGCCTTGGAAAGAACTGAGGTTCAACGCAATGAGAGTGAAACTTCGGACGTTGTTGGTTAGACCTGTTTGTAATTTAAGGCAACTTCTGTTTATGTTCCCCCCCACTTTTTTTTTTGAAGGGACTCGATGTCCAATAATGTTCCCACTTATGTAAAAGGGAGCACACTTGACCATTTGCCTTTTATGTTAAAATCTTTTTACATAGTTCCATAAGCTGATCTCTAATTAGTAAAGGGTGGCTGATTACCCTAAAGAACACATATGAAAAAATAGATGGTTTTAGCACTAACAGAGGGGTTTTCCAGCTTTTGTTACCGAGCAGCTCTTCAGTTCTCTCCCACCCGATGGGTTCGTCCTGCCACCAGACCTGAGGCTCCCAAACACCCATCCTCCTGGCTGCTGTGTCATCCAGCAGCCAAAGCCTCCACAGCCCACACAGGACTTGGGCTCCCACTGGCCTTCACAGTGTTTCATAACCTTCTCAGAGCAGGAAAGCTAACAGCTTCTCTGGCTTCTAAAGGCTTAGGATGTTTTCAACAGGCTCAGAAGTTTAAATGTTACTCAAGTTAGGAAAGGGGGACCTTTCCTGCACCCTCCACAGTCACGGGCCAAATTATCCTTCCTTCTCGTCAAAAAGTAGTCTCAGTCTAAAAAGAAGAACAGGTACTTAGATAAGGAATCTCATGACATACTTGTGCCCATGATACTGACACTATAATCTGACAACATCAAGCATATAAAACCCAGACTTTGATTATTAAGCATTCGCAAACTTTGGGGAGCCTTAAAGCAGATGTGGTGGAGCTCTGTGAGATGGCTTTATTTTAAGGGATTCTCTTTGAGGCTTCATCTCTGTAGGTGCTTGTTCACTCCCTTGGGAGAAGCAGATTTTTGTGCATTAGGACTGCTGTCTGAAAGCCTGTCTCTCCTTTCTGTATTTTGTAAGGACCAAAAAGCTGATCATTGATGTGATCCGGAACCAACCAGGGAGCACACTGTCAGAAATCTTAGAGACGCCAGCAAGTACAAAACAGGTAATTGGCCTTAGAGTGTAAAATAATAAGTACCTTTGATATGAGTTGATTTTGTTAACACATCTTTGTGCCAAATGTTTATCGTTACCTCAGAGAAACTGTATCTGACACGGTTTGGAAGTAAGGAATTCAACCGAGTTCAGCTATATGTAAAATCCATGGAATATCAATGTAATGAAATAGAAAAATGCAGCACTGAATTTATGCTGAATAATTTTGTCCTAGACTAGGAAGATAGTTCTGGGTCTTTCAAAGCCTCTGAATGTTCATTGTAAACTTTGAACAGTGAGTGTAGGAAACAAAGGAAAAGAAGAATGGACTACTTAAAAATGAAGACTGGGCTTCCCTGGTGGTGCAGTGGTTGAGAGTCCGCCTGCCGATGCAGGGGACACGGGTTCGTGCCCCGGTCCGGGAAGATCCCACATGCCGCGGAGCGGCTGGGTCCGTGAGCCATGGCCACTGAGCCCGCGCGCCCGGAGCCTGTGCTCCGCAACGGGAGAGGCCACAACAGTGAGAGGCCCGCGTACCGCAAAAAAGAAAAAAAAAAAGAAGAAGACTGTATTCACTGCAGTGGATGGGCAAATAAGTCACTTAAGAGATCGTTCTGGTCGACAGGATACAGAAAAATACCTTTCATATTTTATGTTTTTGCTAACTTGAAGAAATGAAGAAATGTCCCACACATTAAAACTGTTTCCCAAATGCTTCGGAAGCAAACGTCTTGAGTCCATTAGGTCAGAGCACCATTATCCTGGTGTAAATAACTGAAGTTTATTAAACTTTAATAACAATCTTGCAATAATCCTTTTATCAGCATCCTTGAAAATGCATCATTATTCAGTTTGTTCTGAATTAATTTCAGTGATATTGCTTTAGTTTTGATAATTGCCACTCCCTAAACAAACGCTAACAAAATTATCTATTTAGTTACTCTTAGCTGGGCTACATGTAATTTCCTGAATCATTCTTAATTTAATTGGTTGCCAAGAAATCATTCTGTCACAGTTTTTAACAAAAGTATATATATATATATATATATATATATATATATATAATGTCAAGTTATCTGATGTTTGTTAATGTGTGAATATTTTTAAACAAGGTGGGTAGAATATTTTACTGAGTATGAGAATTTTAATTCTTAATGAATATTTTATTTTTCCCCAAATGTAGCTTAATCACTAAGAGTGAAGACTTCCGAGATCAAGTATAGCTCTGTAACTCTAGGCACTTAGAAATATTTCTATGCCTTGATTTCCTCAACTGCAAAAAGGGAATAATAATAATAGTACCCAATTCAGGAATAACTCAGTTAAAACATGTTAAGTGGGTAGAGTAATATCTGATACATATTAAGTTCTCAACAATATTGGCTGCTACTGTTACTGTTTACTGCTAACCTGGTTTACTGTTACTGTGTCCATAAAGTTGATCTGTCATTTATATTCTTAGACTTTGTCTACAGTGTCAATCAGTTGTCTGATTGTGACATGGGAAGATCACCAGTCTCTTGTTATTACTGGTTTTTTGAACAAACTATCCAAACTGTCTTGATTCATTTATTTGGAAACTTATTTCGTGCTGGAATACTCTTAATTTCCTTTGGTTCAAAGAAACCCTGCAGGTTTTTCAGAGTCGGAAGTTTGAGAATGATTCCCTTACCAGAACAAAGCCTTTACAGCTTATGAATCTCTGTAAATATGGCTGATGTTAGAGTTTAGTTCAGGGTTCTCATGGCCACGTTTTAATGGATAATCTAGTTTTAGTTTCCTCACCTGGACTATTGTATCCAAAACCGATATCTTTCCATCCAGAGAACTATAAAATATCAGTTATCCCTGATAATATGTCCATTACTAAGGTAACTTGTCATCTTAGCAATACCGTAGCTATTTAGAATTTCGCTCAAAGTAGGCCTGCCACCACTGCTATGTTTCTCGGAAAAACAAAGTAATTCCTTCCCAAAGACCTACTTCAAAACCCATGAAGAACGTATTGTAATTCTGTCTCTGGACCTTGGCTCGAGGACCTCTTTCATTTTGATATTAACTTGCCTTGTACAGCTTCTGAATCTGAGATTAGGGCATCAGAGATAAGTCAACATCTTGATATTCCCTTTCCAGGAGATAGATCATGCCGCAGACATGGTGAGCCGTGCAGTTTTAGATTCCAGGACTCCCGAAGACATGAAGCATAGCCAGTCTATGGTTGAAGATGCACAGCTGCCCCTTGAGCAGAAGAAGAGGAAGATCCAGAGGAATCTTCGGACATTGGAACAGACTGGACATGTGTCATCCAAAAATAAATACCAAGACATTCTCAATGAGATTGCCAAGGTTGTTGGAAAGAGTATTCTTTCTCCTTTGCTTAGCAGACGTGTTAATCATTGGTCACACACATGCTGGGACTCTGAGGTGACATGAGGAATTCATAGTTATATACATATGTTTCCTGTCCTCCTCAATATTACAGATTTTTTAAGGTTTCAGAGAAGTTGATGACTTTTCATAGAGAATAATCATAATTCCCCCAAGTCATTAGAAGAGTTGAAACACACCAGACATAAATGCTTAGGAAATGTAATAGACAAGTTTCATCTATTGCTTTAAACAATACCTACTAGTTTTAAAAGTGACACTTTTAGGAGAGTTCTCTCTTGAGTTGTTAGTTGTCATATAACCCAGTTGCCCATGGGACCTGCCACTGATATGGTACCTCTGTGTCCCTGAGAATTTTCCTCTAAGCAGTTTAGCCTGAATGCAGTTCAGACTTAAAAGTTAGTTTCTGTTTTCTCCTCCCGTATTTTGACAGTTGAGAAACTTCCTGAGAAAAGGATATCAAATTAGTGCAAGGAAGCATCACAGGAAAAGGCTAGATCTGTTTGCCAAAGATAAGGAAGTATATATTTTGGGTTAAAAAATTTTTTTTTCATTCTTTTTATCCAAACATGCAAATTAAAATGGGTCTGGAGGTTAAGGACAGTTACATGATCAGAAAAAAAATAAATTTTCTTAACTTCTGGGAGGGAAATGCACTCAGCTTCATTCTTCCACGGAAAGTTATGGTCAGTCCTGGCAGTAGGCTTATTCCTCCCAGCCTGAGTGCCTCAAGGGAAGTAACGTTTTTTTCTATAGCTCTGGGGTGGAAAATATGTCTCTTAGGGAATGTGTAGTAGAGAAATTGATGCTTTTGTCTTGGAAAAAGCAAAAAGCTATCGTGAAGGCATCCCCCAAAATATTCTACTTAATGAAGAATTTTTACTCAAGAAGGATGTGTTTGTCTGTCTTTGGATTCCTAGAGGAATCTTTTTTAACTGTCCACAAAGGAAAAATAATATTAAACAAGCACCATTTTCTTAAATGAAACATTTTTTTAATTTACCAATTAGAATTACAAAAAAAAAGAACTGTGTGTATGTAAGTTTAAATATAACATATCTCTCGTAAGCTGTAAGCAGCTTGGTCAACTTTATGTTCTAGGAACTCTATTTAAATCCAAGTAATAGTTATCCATGTTGAATTTTTTCAATCAATCTTGAGACCCCAGTTGTTTTTGCAAATCTTGAGGAATATTTTTCAGATTAAAAAGTGTATTGTTTTTTTAATTTCTAAAATAGGGGATTCCCTGGCAGTCCAGTGGTTAGGACTCTGCACTTTCATTGCCAAGGGCCCAGGTTTGATCCCTGGTCGGGAAACTGAGATTCCCACAAGCCACATGGGGCGGCCAAAAAAAAAAAGAAAATGAATGTAATGATGAAATGTAACCCTTTTCAGGGTAAAGTATTCTTCAAAATAGAATGTTCAAAATATTCTGAAGAAATTTTCTCCTGCTAAAGTCTTCCTTGTGCCCTTTTAAAAACACTATTTCTCCTTATACAATTAATCTAAAATTGCTTCTCTGCTTTTTCATCAACCTTAGCACCTCTCTTAAAATGAAATACAGACACTCCCAGTTCTAAAGTAAAAAGGGAACATTTTGGTGTTGAGAGTTTAAAATGAGGTGACTAAAATAAACTACAACAGTCACAAATAGTGATTTAGTACTAGATATTCTTCTTGTCCCAAATGGGCAGTATCATAAAGCAAACTCCTGCTTAAATCTCATACCGTGGCCTTTCCTTGTTATTTTAGGATATTCGAAATCAAAGAATCCATCGTCAGCTTCGAAAAGCTGAATTGGAAAAACTTCAACAGACCCTGAACGCACTTAACAAGAAGGCAGCATTTTATGAAGAGCAAATTAATTATTATGACACCTACATAAAGACTTGTTTAGACAACTTAAAAAGAAAGTAAGTTGAAATCATGTATTCTTTTGTAATGTCGTGATATATATGGGGTATCCATTCTTTTACAATCCTGGGCTGTCGGGTTGGGTGTGCTAGCAAACTTTTGCTTTATTATATAACCAAAAACTAGAATCTCAATTTTATGATTTGCCACTGTGAGCTAAGAAGTCAGGAGTGAATTTAGAAACATGTTACTTCTCTATTAACGTTGGCATTAAAGTAGTTTACCCTGTTGTGTTTCAAACAAGTAGCTTTAAACACTTGGGGAAGCACTTTCATTATTCCTTCTTTTTTAGTCAAAGGTGTGTTTTAAACACTATTATTTAAAAAAAAAAAAAAAGCTACCCTTGGGGATGATAACAATAAACAGTTTTTATATACTTGGAAATGTTAGGTAGCGCCAGGTATTTGCTATTGTACAGCACAGCTCACTGATTTTAAATTACTTACTGGTTTTTAAAAATTACTTACACAAAAGACAAAATTTGTCAGTTCTCTATTACCCATTAGCATACATATCATAGATTTTTTTTCACAATATAGCTACTTTTTTTTTTTTTTTTTTTCTTTTTGCGGCACGCGGGCCTCTCACTCTTGGGGCCTCTCACTCTTGTGGCCTCTTCCGTTGCGGAGCACAGGCTCCGGACGCGCAGGCTCAACGGCCATGGCTCACGGGCCCAGCCGCTCTGCGGCATGTGGGATCTTCCCGGACCGGGGCACGAACCCATATCCCCTGCATCGGCAGGCGGACTCTCAACCACTGCGCCACCAGGGAAGCCCAATATAGCTACTTTTAATGAGTATTCTTTGCTCATAATTGCTCTTATCAGCAGACTAAGGTCAATACTGATCAAATTTTAATTACCCATTTAAATACATAATTCAGTATTTTTATGTAACCCTTGTAGTCAAATTGACACTAGGAAATGGTGCTATATGGAAAAATCAATTGCATTAATCATAGATTCAATGAAGGAATATAACCAAATTTAAATCTCATTTATCTGTGCCGCACTAGTTCTGAATTTTAATTCATTTGCTTGCAGCCTGTAAATTACTTTTATGCTATTCCTGGGAGGAAAAAAGTTGGTAAAGCTAATATTTAGTAGAAATAAGCTTGTCAGGGGTTTTCTTTACGTATTTATTGCAACTACGACAAGGCATTTTACAACCTCTGCAGTCAGGTGAGCTAGATTGGGATTCTCGCTTACATTGTGTGATCTTGAACCAGTCCAGTGATCTCTGAAGCCTCAATTTTCTCATCTTTAAGAGAGAATTGGGAGTACCAGCCTTACAAGTGTTGTTATGAGAGCTAAATGAAATGATACAGAAAAAAGGAATTTATTTCAGAACACTATGGCAAGGTTAATTTTGTAAATGTGAGGCAGCATTTAGAAAGCACTTGGAACGGGGATGGCCACGTACTATTTGTTAAATAAATTAAAGCACTCCTAGTGATACCTTTCTTTAGGAGTGTGTACGCAGTTTATGTTATGGCACCTAAGCTGCTTGTGAAATGACTTAATCGAGCCACATGGTTCAACATGCCTGAGATAGCAAAGTACAGGTTCTATGAAACATATTAGTCTGTAATTCAAACTTGAGTCGCATCGAAAATAGCTTTTCCTTAAACTGTTCAGTAGTGAGATTGCACTGCACCGGGAAGGTTGTCGCCGACTATCACACAATATAAAGTTGCCCAGGTTCCATATAGTGGGGGCCAGGTGTGGACAGTGGTGTGCCCTCTGTGCTGGTTTTTGCGCTGCCTGGAACGTCTGAGTTTGCCATCTTCACGACGGATGGTCTGTTCTTATCTTGTCAGAAATACTCGGAGATCAATTAAACTTGATGGAAAAGGAGAACCCAAAGGGACAAAGCGAGCGAAGCCGGTGAGGTACACCGCAGCAAAGCTGCATGAGAAGGGTGTCCTCCTGGGCGTAGACGATCTTCAGATAAACCAGTGAGTGGCACCGAAAATCTGCACAAAGCACACCGCCCTCTCATCCCTCCCATCAAATCTGACTCCCACTTCAGTTTCCTGTGGCCTTTGAAGAAGGCTTCACTTGGTCTGTCAGGGCTTCCCCTTGCTCACAGATGACAGGAAAGAACACGTGTATTGTAATCTCTAGTCTTCCCATAAGGCCTGGAGCATCTGATGCTGCTGGTCAGACTAAGTGCTGATCGAGTGATTGTGCTTCCCGTGGCTTAGCCAGTGTGTTGGGATTTGCCAGCCTCGCCTCTCCCTCCAAAAGAACTGAGTCATAGCAGTGAGAAAAGAAAAGCTGCCTTTTGGTCTAGCTCAGTGAGAGTTGTTTACAATTGCAAAACGGTACCCCTCCGATTTGAAAGCCACGGACGGTGTGCTGTTGCCTGGGTCAGAGCCACTCCAGCAGTGTGCTACTACTGTGTGTATTTGAGGTGGAGGAGAAACCCTCCTCCGAGCCCCACACCAGGCACTAACGGGTTCGCCATTTTAAAAGGACCGTAAGTCCTGTGCTCCATCACTTCCTTTTCCATTGGAGGACGCCAGACTCACTGTGTGTGCTCCTCTGTAACTCCGGCTTCCTCCAAGGCCTGGCTTCTCTTGCATTTATCCCATCCAACCTTCTCTTGACGGAGACCAACTCAGAGAAAATGCTTCTTCCCCTTTGAAGTTGCTGTAAAACTAATCGTCTAAAATGCTCAACTGGCGTGTCAGCAGTAAAACTCAACATTTATAGTTCTGTGAATCTCATATAATTTCAACTGTATATTATGCTCTTTTAAGAGCAAGGACAATATTTTGCATTTCTCTTGTAACAAAGCACCTACTTCAGTGCTCCGTGGGCTGCAGATCTCAACACGAGCCATATTTCCAGTGAGCCAAACTGGGGACTGATGGTGGGAGATTTGGGGTAACTTCCTTAGAATTTCCCCAGCAGGCTGTTCACTAGGAATGGTAACTTAGGGTCCATTAATTTGTTTCAGCTTTAAGCGTATATTTGCAGTTCCACATGTGTGAATGGTCCTTTCTTTACTAGGTTTAAAAATGTTACATTTGATATCTCATCTACTGAAGATGTGGGCATCTTTGATGTCAGATCAAAATTCCTGGGTGTTGAGATGGAAAAGGTGCAGCTCAATATTCAGGTAAGCTGGGATTCCTGCAGATTGGGGTGAGTTTTATAGTGGGGGTCCTTCTTGGCTTCCCTGGCTTGCATTCTTTTTTTTTTTTTTTTTTGGCTGCATTGGGTCTTCGTTGCTGCACACGGGCTTTCTCTAGTTGCGGTGAGCGGGGGCTACTCTTCGTTGCAGTGCGCACGCTTCTCATTGCGGTGGCTTTTCTTGCTGAAAAGCATGGGCTCTAGGTGTGCAGGCTTCAGTAGTTGTGGCACGTGGGCTCAGTAGTTGTGGCTCGCGGGCTCTAGAGCGCAGGCTCAGTAGTTGTGGCGCACGAGGTTAGTTGCTCCGCGGCATTTGGCATCTTCCCGGACCAGGGCTCGAACCCATGTCCCCTGCATTGGCAGGCGGATTCTTAACCACTGTGCCACCAGGGAAGCCTCTGGCTTGCATTCTTCATGACAACAATGAAATTTAACGGGAGACCAATGCCAGCCTTATTTGCCAGTATTACTTAGTGTTGATGATTTTTTTAAAGCTATGATTTTCCAAATTATTGGAACTTAAACTGCTTTTAAATGGTAAACCATAGCAGTGAGTTTTTCTAAGCTATGTTTTCATTTTGAAGCTTAGAGAAAAGAATAATATATGTAAAAGTATTCAGAGCTATTAAGTAAAGGTTGGAAAGTTTCCTTTTCTTAGAAAATTGCATTTCTTCCTAAGATAGCATATACCCAGGATTGGAACTTCCTGGATCTCATTTCTCCTTCTTCCCTTTCTCCTTCCTAGAATTATTTTTGCATCAGTTTCTTAAATTTCTTTGTTAACTATTTGGGATCACAAGAAAGAAAGACATTGTGCAAAACCGATATCTGTAAATAGAAAAATGGTGTTTGCAGTCAGAATTACTGCTATTTTCTCATAAGAACCACATTTAAGCCAAATATACTTGAGCAGAAACAGAAAACAGTTAATGTGCCACCAAAAAAAAAGGAGGGAGAGTGCAAGTAAATGTTTATCTACTCCCAACTTAATTCTTGCACAGAATCAATTTAGAGCTGTGATTGAGTTTTCTTTTTTGATCTGATTGAGTTTTTAAATGGAAATAACACCTATTTACCTGGGCCCCCAACTACTTGTAAAACTGTTGCCAGGTATTCTGCATGTATCTACATGGAACATCATGATAAGCCACTGGGAATGGTGTAAGTTCCAGCCTCACTGCCTCCCTAGCCTGTTGCTGAGATCCGTGGAGTTACACCTCCACCCCTAACCCATGGGATAAAATACCAGGGCCCTTCTTTTCTGTCTAGCATTCCTTATAAGCCTAAAAAGAAATGAGAGCTGAATGGGTTTTATAAAGACACTGAGATAATGGAGTAAATTAGAGTTAAGAGAGAAAATTGAAGATATTATGTAATTATGAAAAGTATACTTAACGGTATTATTTTCTTGTTTATTTTAAATGTCACTAAATGTATCCATCTAAAAATTTAACTGAAAGTCTTGAGTTACTCTGTGGAATACTTAGATAAATATGGGAAGAGAAAAGAGTGTGCTTGTGGTGATACGCCTTGGTTAGTGGTTCTTCTGTAGCAAAAACATATCATGTGATTGCCAAGAAGGAAATGATCCAAGCCCAATAAACATCAACTGAACAACAGATGAATCACAAGTGACCAGGAGACACCTGTTTAGAGAGGCCTCAGGAATTCCACAGGACTTCCTTTTAACACTATGCAAACACCAAGCTTCACTTGCTCCTTTGTTAAAAGTTTCATAGTAGGATTAGCTGTTCACACCATTCATTTAGACACGCAATTGTAAACTGTTACTCCTTAGCTGTATGCAGGTGGCTATTATGCTCCAGATTTTTTTCAGTCATTGACATATCATCAGGACCAGCTACATAATTTGCAGGGCTCAGTGCAAAATGAAAATGCAGAGCCCCTTACTCAAAACTGGTGAGAATTTCAAGATGATGACAGCAGAGCATTAAACTAAGTGCGGGGCCCTTCTTCTAATCATGGGACCATGCTCAGGTCGGATGCCCACAGAGCCGGCCCTGCATATAATAGCTGTCAGACATAAAGTCACACTTATCTTTTCACACAATTTATGGCTTTCAGACAATTCTAATATGAAGCAAATTACCAAAGAGAAATGTGACGGCCCGGTCTTCAGTGGGAGTCAAGGACTTTGTTTCTAAGAGGACAAAAAGGGAGATTCCTTCTAATATTACGCTTCTAGGTTTTCTACAGGCCACTTTTTCCTCAGTTCCTAAAGATGATATCCTAATTATATCCTGTAGCCATATACATAACAGGAAGGTGTGAGTTACGTGAAGATGTTCTGCTTATATAAACAATGGCCAGTGTTTATGGAGGGCTGCAGTCTTGGTATTCTTCCTTTCCCAGATGAAGAACTGGGATTCAGAGAGCACGTTATGGAAGGGCCGCTGGAATCCAAACTCTTCATCTCTCTACACTGCTGCCTCTCTCACAGGATTCCAGTTGTTCCTGACCAGACAAGAGTGGCTTACAAAGTGTTTGCAGACTTCTTGATCTCATATGCCCAATAACACGCCTATGGGGTTGGCAGTGTCAGCCCCAATTTACACACAAGGAAACAGAACCTCAGAGAAGTTATATGATGTTGCAAGGTTGTAAGATAGCAAATAGTGGAGATAAGACTAAAATCTGGTCTTTCAACCGCAAGTACAATCAGAGTTCCTCTGTTCCCCATGGGGGGCCCAGCTAATTCCCCTCCATACATGATTCCTTCTCAATTTAACCATATTGGTTTCGTTCTTTTCCAAGAGTCTTTGACAGATGTTGCCTTTCCCAAAGGAAAAGTGAATCTCCACTACGCTTTAATAGGCAAGACCATTCTTGATGAAAGAACTTCACTTCCCTATGGAATTTCCATCCCAGAAGCATATCTAAATAATGGAGGGGTTTAGTTGAGTGCAGTTGGAGATAATTGAGAAAGTAGAGCAGAAAGCCGGCAAGAGCCCTTCCCTCAAAGAAGACTCCACCTTCTGCAGGTGGCCTTGCTTGTTATAGACACAAGGCATTATCATTGAGAAACAAGAAATTTCCAGAGCTACAAGCAGGAAAATGAGACCCGGGTACGAGTCTAGGGCAGTTCAGGAATATCTTCTATCTGGGAAAGCCCCCCTGTCCTGTGCTGTTGTAAAATGTTACTGCTTTAGTCTCATGCATTTGGCTGGTGTGAGCCAGTTATTAATTTATAAACGAAGGAAATTTTATTAATTTTTCTTTGTTTATACAGCAGCAATGAAACAGAATGATAAACTTACTTGAGAATGAGGAACAGAATACAGGAACAGAAGTAGTCTAGATCGGAACGAGTTGCTTTGTACAGTGGTCTCCAAATTTCACTCTCTCAGTTTTCCTCAGTAAATAGAGCATTTCTCCGTATTTCTCTATATTTATTTATTTATAAAGTATACATGCTCTTGGCACTTTACTCAAAATCTACTTTATAAAATACATAGAAAATGTACATGCTTAAGAAATGAAGAAAAAATAAAAATAGGAGTTTTAATATTCTTTTTCCTCCTCAATGAACTGTCTCACTCCACCTTAGAAAACCCTGGCTCTTCTAAAGGATATACCTCATCTTGCTGTAACATTTGTGTCTTGAGTTTTTCAATTATAATTAAACTTTTAATTCTATGTCTAATATTAACGGTAATGGTTTTCTCTCGTAAAGTCCTTATCAATTCTAAAACTCTGTTTTCTTTCATCGAGGTGAGTGATTCTCAAACTATGGCACCCAGACCAACAATATCATCATCCCTTGGGAACTTGTTAAAATGCAAGTTCTTGGGACCCACCCCAGAGATCCAGAATCAGAGATTCCTGGGGGTAGGACTCAGCAATCTGTTTTAACTGGCCTGTGTTTTTAAACCAGGTGATTCTAATGCACACTGAAGTGTAAGAATCCCCACCGAGGTCCTTAGGTCAACCGAATCTTATTGTTGTCAACAGTCTTCTAGAATGTGTTTTAAATGTGGGAAATGTCAAATTGGAGATGTGATTGATGTTCCTTACAATTTCAGGATTTACTTCAGATGCAGTATGAAGGAGTAGCTGTGATGAAAATGTTTGATAAGGTTAAAGTGAATGTAAACCTTCTCATATACCTGCTGAACAAGAAATTCTATGGGAAGTGAAGTGCCTGAAGAAATCTCATGGATTCTGTATCACCTGGATTAGGAAATGAATCTGTTTAGTATTTTTGTTTTTAAACATGATTGAAATCAGTGCTTATAAACGTGTGATTTTTCTTTTTTAAGACCAAAACCGTTCTGAAGAATGTACCCATGTGCCTTTTTGATAATCTGATACTGCAGTAGAATGATACACAAAATGAATTAACGTAAACACTGCCACATTATACTGTGGTGCAGGTACTCTGAGGTAAAACTTTGGATATTCTGTGATTTGTTTTAAAGTAGGGAGAAAATAACTTTAGCTGATTAGGGACAAATGTGTAAACCTATTTTCCTATAAAAAAAATTTTTTAATGTCCCATTTGAATACTGTAAGTCTTCATAGATTTTTTTTTTTGATCTGTGGAGAAATGGAACCTGAATTATTTGTAATGAATTATTTAGAGAGATACTTGGTTCTAAGCCCCACCTTCTGGGAGTTATCGATTTTAAAGAAAACTTTTGTGCAATTCAAAGTGAAGTTTTTATAAGTAATTGAAAGTGACAGTACAATAACACTTTCTGTATAAAAGTATATATTTTATGTGATTTATTCCTACTTAATGAAGTGCACTACTGCCTCATGGTAGAGACTCTTGGACCCAGAGCCTCTCAGTGACTAAGGAACAAGGTGGATAGAGATCATAGGCCTCACCCCACCTCCACCCCTCACAATTTATTTGAATATTTCAATTGTGCCTCTCAATGTTTTGTAATGCAATAAAATCAGTATCTGGATGGTTTTTAAATGTATTCTTTGAAAATTGTTTTATGTAAAATAAATATTACTGAATTACATTAATTTGACTTCTGTCTGAATAAATCCAAATCATTTAGTGGGTAGGAGAAGGTTCTTGGTGGGACTTTGGGGGAAAAGAAGTACAGTTGACCCTTGAACAAGATGGGTTTGATCTGTATGGGTCTACTTACACATGAATTTTTTTCAATAAATAACTGTAAAAAAAACCATGAATTTCTTTTCCACATCTTTTAATTTTTGATATCTGGCGTTAATAATATGTATAACATCTACAGTGTTTTATATCATATAAGACAATATTAATGTAGGTACTGGCAGATTTGTTTTATAAACAGATCACATAAACTTACAGTATTGATAAATACAGTGCAGTACTGTAAATGTATTCTCCTTATGATTTTCTTAATAACCTTTTCTTTTCTCTAGCTTACTTTATTGTAAGAATACAGTACGTAGTACATATAACATACAAAATATATGTTAAGAGTTTGTTATTGGTTAAGACTTTAGGTCAACAGTAGGCTATTAGTAGTTAAGTTTTAGGAGAGTCAAAAGTTAAATCAGGACTTCCCTGGTGGCGCAGTGGTTAAGAATCCGCCTGCCAATGCAGGGGACACGGGTTCTAGCCCTGGTCCGGGAAGATCCCACATGCTGCGGAGCAACTAAGCCCGTGCTCTGCGGCAAGAGAAGCCACCGCAATGAGAAGCCTGCGCACTGCAACGAAGAGTAGCCCCCGCTCGCCGCAACTAGAGAAAGCCCACACGCAGCAAGGAAGACCCAACACAGCCAAAAATAAATAAAAAAGAAATTCTTAAAAAAAAATGTTATACTCAGATTTTTGACTGTGTGTGTGGGGTGGCACTTCTAACCCTCACACTGTTTAAGGGTCAACATCTACAGCTGTGCCATTTAGGGTATAGTTTATGGGGAGGAAAAGTAATTTTCCCTCTACCCTTCTAAGTTCTTGGCTGAGACCTCCCCCCCCCCATAATAAAAGACAGATTAACAGGAGGAAAAGAGAGGTTTAATGACGCATATACCTCCTATATACCTGGGAGACACACAGGAACTATCTGCCTAACTAGACCCTCACTTCCTGTGCTTTGCCTGCTCCCCAGATGGCCCAAGCCACCACCTTAAACACCATCTCCAGCTAAAGGCAAAAGACGATGGGGGGAGCAGTTAGGGGAGGTAATCGGGCAAAGCAGAGTAAATGAGGGTATAGTTATGCAGATTTCAGCTTCTACCTTTTCCACTGATAAGAGTTGCTAGAGATTTAGTCACTCTTCCTTGTTCAGAGAAGGAAACACCCTTAACGAATGGAGAGTTCCCTTATAAATGTAAATGTCTTTTAAAAGACTGTAACTTTACTTGGTTTTCAGAGCTTCTCCTATATCTGCTGTTTTTCAAAAATAACCAGCTCAAAGTAATCCTTCTACCAGAGAGGCATATTGTGGGGATGGCACATTTTCCCCTTCAAGAGTGAGCTGCTGGGACCAAGAGATCCAAAACCCTGTGGCTGACACAAGGTAGAAGTTTGTTTTCTCAAAGGCAGGTGAGCAGTCCCACAAGTTACCAGGGATCCAAGCTGGCCAGTTGGCTCTGTCCTTGTCACTGATTCCTGGATGGCAGGAAGGGGGAAAGAAGTCCGGGGCAAGTCGTTTTGTTTCAAGCTCCATATGTTATTTCTGCTTACAGTCCTTTGGCCAAAACTTAGTTACATGGGGCTTCCCTGGTGGCGCAGTGGTTAAGAATCCATCTGCCAATGGGACACGGGTTCAAGCCCTGGTCCAGGAAGATCCCACATGCCGCGGAGCAACTAAGACCGTGTGCCACAACTGCTAAGCCTGCGCTCTAGAGCCCATGAGCCACAACTACTGAGCCCACGTGCCACAACTACTGAAGCCCGCACGCCTAGAGGCTGTTCTCCACAACAAGAGAAGCCACTGCAGTGAGAAGCCCACGCACCGCAAAGAAGAGTAGCCCCCACTCGCCACAGCTAGAGAAAGCCCACACATGGCAACGAAGACCCAACACAGCCAAAAATAAAATACATAAATTAAAAAAAAAAAAACTTAGTTACATGGCCATGACTAGCTTCAAGATAGGCTGGGAAGTAAAGTTCCTAGCTAAGTCATGCGCCCAATTAAAACCCAGGGGTAGAGGGGGAGGTGGTTCTATTTGTAAAGAAAGGGAACAGTGATACCTGGGGACCAATCAGCTGTCTCTGCCACAACAGTAATCCAGACTCTCGGGCTGGACCCCCCTCACTCCAACACTTTGTATTCTGTTCATTCATTCAACAGGCTTTATTTTCCACGGAGGTTACCCAGTATTCAGAAACAGTTCGCTTGTGCTCATTTGGCACACTAAACTTGAAGGTAAGCCCGACAGAATTTGGAAAATTCAAATTTTAAAAGAGTAGAATCTGCTACTTTGATGATTGTTTCAGGCTTATACAGATTTTTGACAGAGGTAAATACCTTGAAACAGTGTTGTCTCAGCAGTTTGTAGATGTGTGTGTGTGCGTGTGTTTTTTTAATGGATTACCCTTACTACAGGCTTCTGTAAAAGGAATCAAATAAACATACAGTAAAGCTTCACCTTGAGAATAAACCTCCCTGTACCCTACAGCTAGCATTAGGTGAGGAACAGGAACTGGGAGGAGGTAGGAGTTACGTTAAGCTTCCTTCTTCGTGCTCTAGGAAAGACTTTTAGTGGAAATGTACAGGAAGAGCCAAAATTAGGGAAAGATGTTTGGAGATAAAAGCCAACCTTTCACAGCCTCTCAAAAAGGGGCGTGTCTTAAATTATCTTTACTGATACTTTGTCTTTTTTGTGGATTCTGTCTAGGGTCACTCTCTTTCAGACTGAAGAACTTTAGTATGTAAGATGGCTAACAATAAATTGTCTCAGTTTTTGTTTATCTGGAAGAAAAAGGGGGGGGGGGGGGGGGGGCTCGTCTTAACTTACTCCAGCACTGAGTGACATGCTTGAGTGTTATTTTTATGGAGAAAGATCTTTCTATCATGCCAACATCCTCGAGGAAAGCTGTGAAATGTTTTCTCTCCGTTGACCCCCAAGATGAGGTTATTGTTGAAGATATTACCAACCGCTTCTTTTTTGAGATCTTTAAGGGACATGGATGAATGAGTGACCCAGAGAAGGAGGCATATTTTGGGGTGGCATATTCTGCTACCGTTCACCAGCTTCCTCTCCAGGGCTCGTAGCTTTTCTTACTCATAGGGAGAAGGGGAAAAACTGGTTTTGCTTTTTAAAACACGGAGCAATTGAAACACTAACTTCATTTTTGCATAGCTGACTCCTGTATTTTGATGTATGTTTGATCATGTTTCCACTGTTACAAAAATGATTTTTGGTCTGGAACGCTGAGGGGGGTCCATGCTTGCCCCGAACTCCACTTTTTAGCACCTGGAACTTAAAAAGGCAAAAAAGACTTAACAGGGCTCTAACTACTCGCAAAGAATGTGCTCTAGTGATCTCCAAGACAGGGCAAGCCTTTGCATACTTTAATATTTTGGAAGTTTGTGATGAAGAAAGAGACCCAATCAGTGAGATCACTGTCTGACATGGCATACGTTAAAAAAAAAAAAATTACAAGCCCAAAATGGACTCATTCTCGCTCTCCACCCACATCACAGCAAAGCAAGACTTGATTGCACTTTTAACCCCGCCCAGAAATGTGACCTTTAAAACAGTCAATCTTAAATTTCTGGATCAACACTATTGAGCTAATCTGTATGATAAAGACCGCTGCAGTACCCTTCCCCCAAAAGAAGATGGCCTGGCTTGAAACAAATCCTTTCTTTTCTTCTGCTTAGACCTTCTTTCCCCACCCTCCACCAGCCTATAAAAACCCCCTCAGTGTGCCTTTCTAGTTGTTACACAGGACGATGCCTGATTCTTACATCTTTCAATAAAGCCAATTAGATCTTCAAATTTACTCAACTGAATTTTGATTTTTAACACACATCTCCCTTATGTCACTGAAAGACCAGAACCATGATGTGTATGTTGGTGTATGTGTGTGTGGTCAGGCACTAATTAGAGGTGCTGTTCATGACGTAATTTTTACAACTTGGACTGTGGTTAGGTAGGGGTTTGTGGTACTCCTCAGCATTCCAAGAGGCAAACCACAGAACTCTGAATGGTGGAAGTTGTCTCTATTTTGAGAAATTCTGGTGAGTACTGGGTGGTCTAACTGCTGATCAGCTTTTAGAAAAATCCATTGCCTCTATTACTGTAACCAAAACTTAGTAACAGGTTAAAATAGAGCCTTCTAAGTCATCCTCTAAGCTCCAGAGGACAGAGACTGTTACAGTCACTGCTGTATGTCCAGAGCCTGGCAGTGCCTTGAGAATGGTGGGGAGGTAGAAGCCCAGCATCGGATCCTGCCAGGGGGTTGAGAAGGAGAGAGACCGCCACCACCTCTCAGGAGTCCCAGTATGGCTTTTGGCCCTTGTATAAATGGGACAGTTACTGATTATCTCAGTTTAACAGTGCAAATGCCCTCTTCAAATAAAATAGCTCATACAGATTGTCTAGGTTGCCTCACTGTTGTTTCCTCAGAGTATAACATCTCTTAGCTAAAATATATTGGAAGGTGTGATGGTTAATTTTATGTGTCAACATGACCTGGCAAATGGATGCCCAGATAGCTAATAAGATACTATTTCTGAGTATATCTGTGAGGGTATTTCCAGAGTAGATAAGCATTGGATCTGCAGACTGGGTAAAGATTACCCTTACCAATGTGCACAACCATCATCCAATCTGTTGAGGGCCCAGAAAGAACAAAAAGGTGCAGGCAGGGGGAATTCTCTTTCTCTCTCCTTGAGCTGGAACATCTGTCTTCTCCTACTCTGTGACAACAGAGCTCCTGGTTCTCAAGCCTTCAGACTCTGCGGACTTAACACCAGTAGCCCCCCAGTTCTCGGGCCTTCAGTCTCAGACTGGGAGCTATACCATCACTTCCCCTGGTTCTCAGGCCTTTGGTCTCATTGAATTATACCACTGCTTTC